CATCGTTGTACAGTCTCCAGTAAGGAGTCCGTACTTTTCGTGCTGGATGGAACAGGCCTGCCCAAACATAATTCATGACGATACCTGTTCCGACAGCCATCCGAATAGCCTCAATAGCCTCGATGATTCTGTCGATAACGTGGGGACTGGTTTCGAATAGGTTAGGGTACAGGAGGTTAAGCAGATGGACCATTGCGTCTTCGCATCCAAGTCCAACTACGCCCAAAGCAATATGCTTTACTACGCTTGCCGCAGTTTGACGGTGGACCTGGTCTCGATCAATCAAAGCGTCTTCCAGAAGTGGAGTGACAGCGTAAACATAGTCTTTAGCCATCTCGCCGATATACTCAAAGAGGAAAGACATGGCCTTGAGCACGCCGTTTTGCACATTTAACTCGGGGACGCGATATTCGTTCATAAGAGCGGGAAGAACCGTAAATGGGGCACATGTCTCAGCGACTATGCCAATTGCAACTGCGGTACAGACACGAGACTGACGTTCCTGGACACGCAAGTTGTTAAGAAGAGTGGCAAGGACGTCTTGCGGTCCAATAGCCTTAGCAATGAAACCAAAGGTATTGTTAGCGGCTCGTCGAATGCCCTTTTTGTGAGCTTTCAACATGTCAAGCAATTCGAAGCAAATTCGCATCCATTCTCGCGCATTAACGGATTCTGGTCCACGATCAGCAATACGACCAACGAGATCTATGGTGTTTTCCTGCACTTTCTCATGACGATTTCGTAGGATTGGCGTGAGACGAGGAAGTAAGTCCCGAATGGGTGGTTGCATTTGGTTGATGCCAACAACCGTGACAATAGAACGTAATGCGCCTAGTATAGAACCAAGAACCTCCGGATATTCCTCGCCGAGATATTCGTAAAGGAAAGTTCCCAGCTTTCCCATTAGAGCGTCTTCACCACATTGTTTCATAACCATTGCGATCCGTGAGATGAGGTCTGCTGCCTGCTGTCGTACGGTGGCAGACTTGTTATTTAGTCGCCACAGAATTGTACTCACAATCTGAGGCAAATATGGCTTGCAACGAGAACCAAGAGCGTTGACAACAGTTCCAAACCCGTTAAGGATCACTATATCCTCGACGCTCTGTTCTTGAAATGCGAACAAAACTCCATCAATCAATCTTTCCTCGAGCCTCTCTCCAACGTCTGCGGCACCAAGGGAGGCAATAACTTTCTCTACCGTTTCGATCGTCATCTTACGGTATGCCTCACTCTCATCCTTGAGATTATTGACAATCCTTTCAAGAATTTCACCGGCGCCAACTTTCTGGCCTAGGTCCACTGTTGTCTCTACCACCTGTCGGTAGTTTCTCTTATCTAGAGCCATGCGCCGAACCCAGAAACTTTTGAAGAAGTCTTGGAGTACGTGTTCTTTAAGGTAAACCGCTGTAACGCCATCTGTGCCTGCACATTGCGAAACAACTTTCAAGACAACCTTTTTCATCTCTTCATCTGGCGACGAAAACTCTCGGAGAACAATTTCCATAATTTGGCTGGTGAAGTAATTTGCACCCTCCTCATCCATCAGAGGGATAATATAGCCCACAGCCTTAAGGAACCCAGCCAGACCTTTGCCTCGCTGTTTCCTTGCCCCCATCCAGAGTGGGCCAAGGATGTCCTGGAAACTTTCGATACCATATGGATTGGCAGCTTCAGCAAGGGCGGCTATAGCTAAGCTAGTTACTGTCCGTACCTTAGCTTGTTCATCACTGAGGTTGTCACCAATGCAGTCGACAAGGCCTTGGAGATGAGGTAAGATAGCACAGCCCATAAGGATGGGAATTTGCTGCACAATCTTAACACCAGTGTGTCTAGCCTGCCAGGATTTCTTGCTTCGGCAAACAGCTCTGAGGAATGGAAGAAGCGCGGGTATACCAAGGGCAGAAGCGACAACGGCAAAAGCTCTGGCGGTGGTATTTCGTACATATTCATCAACGTGGTCAATATCCGGACGCATGGTACTAATCATATGTGCAAGACCAGCTGCTTTGCTTAGGTTAGAGATAATTTCACGGCCTTCCACTCGAGCATAGTAATCCTGGTCAATGAGCAGGGGTTCGATGACGACCAAAATTTTATGTACGTAAGGTCGAACAAGGTCATCTAGTTTGTAAAGGATGCGATCAATGACCTTCACAAGTAAATGCCGCTCCTGGTCCTCGAGGGATTTCTCCATGAGTAGTGGCAGAATTTGGTTAAAAAGTGGTCCAGCTCCAAACTGCCTTGCATTATCAGTGAGCTGACGCAGCGCCGTCTTTCGCATTGGAGGTGTTCCGTTCTTGACTTTTAGCAATAGCCTCATTATTTTTCTTTCTTTTAGCTCCTCAACGGACATGGAATTCTCGTCTGCGCCATCCACAAGTTTTCCGAAGTATGTCATATCCTCAGCCTTAAAAAACTGCAAGTCACCAACACCTGGGATCTCGGTTGGAAGTTGCTTTCCCATCGAGCGGGCACTTTCAGGCTCTTGCATCATGAATCCTCCTATGCCACTGGCGCTTTGCATGGGAGCAGGTGTAGCCATGAGTTTACGGGCGGGGGTTCGAATCGGGGCGTATCCAGGCGGTGGTTCCAAGATTTTGTATCCCTCTGAGGGAAGCATCATATCTAGTTCCTCATCCGATAGTGGCGCATTGCGGGCAGATATATCAGATCCAAATGTAGGAACAGTAACAGGCCCAGAAGCCTGAGGTACAGGAGTTGCAAGGCCCTGATTCCCGACTGGTGTTGCTGCTGTGAGAGTGGGCGCTTGATCCCACCTGGATCTACGCTTGGGTGCCTCCGGCTGGCCTCCAGGTGCAGGAGTCTGATCCCACCTCGACCGCTTGGGCTTTACTTCGGCGGATTCGGGCTCATTGGGCTTGGCAGTTTCTTCCGAAGATACATCCCATCTCTTCTTCCTCTTCCTTGTTGGGGCCGCGGCGGACTCGTCATTATCCTTATCGCCGCCTGCTTCCTCCAGCTTCAGGGTAGCTTCATGCTCGACTGATCCATTAGCACCTTCACTGGCCTGCTTATCTTTAATTAACTTCTTGACGCGTTCTTCTTCTTTTTCGAGTTCCCGAAGTGCCATGATATCTCGATAGCTTGCGCCCTCCGTCTCTCCATTTGCCTGGCCATCTGCAGCAAAAGGGTCTGCTCGTGTGGGTGAAAGGGCTCGATCAAAGCGTCGCTTCTGGTAATCAGTCTCCCTCTCTGAAATCCTGGATGTTTTCTCGCGCGCCAGGAGTATATCTTCTTCCTCGACACCCTTCCCAGTAGCAAACTCCTTCATCTGGTCAGAGGTCGCAGTATATTGCCCCACCAGCCGATGACCATTTTGGCCATCATCATCAGCCATGTCCTCATCTTCACCATCTACAGCAATGGACGTATTATAACCAGCATATTTATCGGCGTCCGCACGATCGTACAAGGTGGTATCGAAGCTTTCGGTGAGAGATGCCTTGGTCGATACGTCAGTGCGCTGGTTTGACATGTCAAAGGTTTTTGAACCTTTTTTGCCATTCCGCTCCGCCTGGAGACGTTTGATGGACTCGATCTCTGCTAAAAATCACACCATGTTAGGCGACGTACGCGACAATCTGGGTGCATGACTGCTCGAGGACTTACCGTCGGCCATCGTGGCGATGAGCACTATTTCTCAGATCCAAGGGAGTGAGGGCGAAAAAATGGGGTTATAGGTGACCATAGATGATATGAGCCTGTCGAACCGGTCTCACGGCACTGTGAAAAGCAGCCTGCTGGGGTTATTGCTGGTATCGCAACGTTCTTCAAAGCTGGTCGTCCCAAATCTGCCTCCAGGAAACTGAGAAATCTTTTTGGGTGTCACTGCTGCTGATTAATCACAACTAGTTGAATTACATAACAAAGTTACTATTACACGTGACCGAGTCTCCCCGCTTGGCCTAAAGGGGAAATATAAAAACGAATATCGAATCTAACGAGCTTCTCGTTCTTTTTGGCCCCCAAACATCAAACTAACCACGTTTAATGAATTGCTTGCAGGTTTTACGGCATATAAATTCACGTTTTGAGATGCCATGCCGTAATACCGGTTAAAGGCCCCCGCCATCCCGCTAAATATCCAATTGATGTTGGGCCTTTATATCCACAGGATAGACAGACCCTGCTGTAGACCATGGGACAAGGCTGCTTAATCCTATAACAAGCGGGCTTCCGCTTGACTTGGGCATTTCTTATATATGAGATACCTAGAAGACGTCTCTCTGAGGCTTGTACGATTATAATACCGGGTCATGAGTTTCGTAGCTCAGACGTTTCATCGTACAGTCTTTATCCGCGTTACTATATTTACGTTCCTGTGCATTTCTAGACGGACTCCTTTGTTCTTCTTATGGGACTCAAGGTGAAACTTTTTGGACTGATACTCCGCTCATGGATATCACATATTCTTGCCTTTAGAGGAAAACGAGCCTAAATCCTTCTACCTGGGCCTGGAACTTAATATACCCAGTTCTCGCCCCCAAATATACACACGATGCAACCGTGCATTCCCCGATTAAAAGGGGATTATCTCCGCCTGCAAGCGCTCCTCCTATACTATGTATGGATGTTCTTGGTATCCTTTGGTCTCCGGATCCCTGGACAGCTTTCTGAAATTGGATATAACACTTCCCATCGGGGCAGAAGTTCTCAAACCGATATGCTTGAATGGCCCCACCTACGCACACGGCTGGCGATTATTGCATTCCTTCAGACTCTAGCCATTGGGAAGTGTAATGTTTAGCGACCAGAAATGGATCCGGGCTGTTGCCGTCAGGAGATTCGACTCAACACAAGGTGTTACTGTTCATTTGCGGGCAATTGTATCCACCCAAAATCTCTTTGAGTATATGTACCTTTTTATTTAAAGTCCAGCCTCTCCCACTCTATATCCATATTTCTCATTCTACCACCTACCTGTCTGTTGTTCTACTAGTTGCCACCAATTGCAACGAAATATCTATCTTACGAATATGCATATCCTACATCTCCTTGTTCCTCTCCTAGCAGCTGCACCTATTACCCAAGGTGCAGCTATACGTCGCAAACTGCAGCCGACTAACTTACCACCTGCGTTTAAAGAACTTGAGTCGTTAGGGCCACTATCACACTGCGACATCTCAACCAGACAACTTCCAAAGAGAGGCCACGCTCCAGAATTACCGGACCCTGAAGCAAACCTTCGACTTAAATATATCACATTCGGCGTTGGCACCCAAAACTACACCTGTGCTGGCGGCGTTACCAAGCCCATCCCTATCGGTGCCGTGGCGACCCTTTACGATGGCTCTTGCCTAAACAATATAAGTTCTCGAGCTATGAGCATTCTCAATTATATCACATTGCATACTTCAGTATCATCGGCAGCTTGGGTGCTGGAAAGCTTTTTAAAGATGCCCAAGCTCGGCCAGCATTACTTTAACGGAGGGAGGCCTTTTTTTGACTTGACAACTCGTGGCGGCTTAGACAGAGCCTACGTATCTGTGGTAGCAAGCGTTCCCGCTCCCAGTGGCCTCGATGTTCCCTGGCTAAGATTAAACAAGGTGGAGGGATCTGGTATAGAGGTATGGCTTTCTCTTCGCCCTATACATAAAGTTGGTGTCTATTTACTCCACACTAAAACTTGAGTTTGTGGCTGACATTGATATGAATCATGGAGGCTATTTTTCGAGTTAAAACACATGAGGGAGTAAGCCCTGTAACGTGTCAAGGACAGCCTTCTGAATTCCAGATTGGCTACACCGCGCAATACTGGGTATATGGCTAAGGGCCATGCTGGTTACAGAAATGTTTAAGTTGTTGATTTTGGTTACACTTCTTGGGGCGTTGTTTATTATCCTCTATCCAGGCTAGCTACAGTAGTTACAGTATTCACCTTATCTTACATGACTTCCAATGCTACGTAGCTAAATGATCCACTAGCCAGGCCTTTGGAAGACCACTGATGTGCTGATAGTAGATACGTTTATTCAAATGCACTAAGCTAACATACGTATAGAAATAAATGGACGTTGTCCCTCTTGCAGGGCATCGGTATTATTAAGTACATACTATTTTCGGCCAGCCGCAAATAACTTGCAAAGGATAGGAGAGGTATGTGCCACAAAACCCCAAGGTATATAAAAAAAAGAAAGAAAGGGAAAAAGAAATAAAGCGCTAATATCGCGTGGACATGAAATGGCAAACAAATATCATAGAAAGGCCGTGGGACTGCTAAATGAACAAAATAAACGGTATATGACGGTTGCCCGTTAAGTTTATCATTATGCGCTGGTGTTCATGAGATATGCAGGGATATGATAGAAAAAAATGATTAAAAAAATGTGAAGCATAAATACCGCTATGGTATATGGGTCATAAATGTCGTTAGATTCGTTGAGAAATAAACAAATCACTCATAAATGGATTTGGGGAGTTGGAGAGTATGAAGGTCCCCGGGTATCGCTGATGAGATAAAACAGAAATGTACGCATGAGGGATATATAAAGGGATTAGACGCTCGCAGTCCTCCTGGTGACTTCGCTGGGCTTCTGGGCGTAGGCAATCAGGAGCCTGAACCCAGTGCCTCGTCGCCTACACTCTCGAAGGAGCATCCTATCGGTCCAGATGTCCTTATTCTGATCACTGAAAACAGCCAGTTCGTAACACCGTGTGTGCCACCATCGCGCGACTTTTGCGACCATCTTAGCAATCGACTCATCGTTTGAAGGTGAGGGCGAAGGGTCAGATAGGAGATCGCCGAGGGACATATTCACATCGTCCGAAGGAGCACGTTTGTGCTTTCTATTGGATAAGCTATCTGACCGTTGCGGGAGATTAGAGCTGCTATACTGTTGGGGCAAGTTTGCAACGGATTGGTTCGAGCTCGATGTGTCTGATGATTGCACAATTGTACCGGCAACAGGGACAACAACCATGCATCGATTTAAATTTGCGAACCCACGCTTGCCAAGCAGCCTCTGGATGTTGTCGCTGGCTGGCTTTAGGCAAATATTAGGATCGGTCGTGTATATTCGTTCTTTCAACATTCGAACCGCCTTTCGAGTACGGCTTCCCATGTTAACCATGTCTAAGTCCATGACACTGAGCTCAAGATATCCTCCGGGGCGTAAGACACGATAGCATTCAGAGACTACAGTGTCATATGCAGCTTCGGAACAAGCAGCCGGGAAGCGCATGACGGCAACAGTGAAAAAGCCCTTGGGAAATGGAAACGGAGTTTTGATACCAGACCGATGGATGGTACGATGATTTGATGGTGGATCCCATGCTGCTGGATTGCTTGATGTAGACTGAGGAGGCACGTTTGGAGTGAGATTGTATACTACCGCGGACGGATAAGTCAACGCACAGTAAAATGACCAGTCATCATTGCCTAGCCCGTCAATAACCAGGATGCGAGCTTGGTCTTGAGGCTGCATGTGGTTTTTGGCAGGGCTAAATAGAACACGACCGAATGAAAGCCAGCGGCTGGTCATTAACGAGCCTGAACGGACATTTGCTTGCGCCATAGGATCTATCTGGGCCTGATCTTTTCCCGTTGAAGGAGACTGGTTTTCTTTGGGAGTAGGTTTGGCTGCGTGGGCGTCATTCTGTAGCTCCTCACCTAGAGAAGCATAGGGGTTGTTGGTATGAGTGAAGTCTGCAGAGGAATTTTTGCTTCCAGCATACGTTGAAATGAGATCCCCTAGCGAGATTGGTTCCGAGGGTGTGATGGATGAATGTAGAGCGGAGAGAATCATAGAACGGCTTAGATGGATCGAGTTGTGGTCGGATAGTTGAGGTGTTATAATATCTGGGCATTGCAGAGGTGAAACCGGTGGAGAAGTGTCATTCGTTCCACTTAAACCCTCCTGTAAAGCCTTGGAGGCTCTAGTAGCCAGATTGAAAGATCGGGGTGTATTCAAGAGGCCCTCCTCGGGAGTTTGCGGCGATGTGACTTTGTCTAGAAAATCATCATATTCTTGCCATATTTCATCGTCTGTCAATTTTGAGCCCGGGGACGGCAGAACGGCAGTGAAAGCTGCCAAACTCCCGCCATCTACACTCCCAGAGGATACGGAAACCTCGGATCCCTTCCTTGGACTGAACGAAAGAAATTCTTCTCGAGACGGGAGACACAAAGCAAATCGATTGGGTATAGCTTCAACCAAAGGTGGATGATTTGATGCCACGGCTGCCGCCGTTACCGTTAGGGAGGGCCCTTCTCCGATACTAAATGGGCGTGAAAACGACTGAAGAGATGGTTTATGTTGATTCCTGGAACTTGGAATGACAGGAGGTATCCTACCAACGGAAGCCAAGCGGCTGGGTCGGTCATTCTCGGGTGGTGAAACTGTAGGTAACACGTCCTTGTTGAAAAACACCTTGGGTGAAGATGGGCGTCTTTCAGAGGCGCTGTTAAGTAACCCTGCTGGTGGCTCTGGCAACAAGATTGACTGACCGTGTTTCGTTCTAAGTCCGAGTCCAGTCGTCGTTTCGAGTTCTTCCTCGGTGGGCGGAGACTCCTCCACCCGCGCCAGTATATCCTCCAAAGAATCGGAATCAAGCTGTTCATTATCAAGAATAGCATAATGGGCAACTGCTCTAGAAGTTGAGACCTGAGTTACAGCTGCGGGCATCTCTGGAGTTGGCCCCGAATCATCCTTTGCCTTTTTCTCCCGAAGGTTCGGATTGCTGCGCTGGAAGAAATTCCATCGCCCTGACCTTTCAGATTTCTTCTTCTTCGGTTCGTTATTTGGCTTAGAATCGGGCGGCGAGGATGAACTAGGGGTACCACGATAATTTATGTCAGAACGGCTATCGATGCTAGCATCAGATGGCCGTCTGGAAGCTGATGGTCGAAGTTGAGATACCGACAGATAGTTACTGGTCGATTTCTGGCCTCCAAATAGCTTCGAGTTGCGGAAAGAACGGCGACGCTTCACTTCTGGAGATAAATGTTTCCCAGGATCCAAGAGGGTAGATTGCGGAGAGGATGTTATTGGTTCTGGGCTATGAACCAGTGTAGGCGGAAGTGCTTGAGATTCAGTAGTGGAAATCACACTCTGGTAGCTCTCGCTCTGTGCGCTTTGCGTACGAGTCAATGTCGAGCCATCCACTCCGCCGCCGTTGATGATAACTGGCTCTAAACGGTCGAGAAGGAAGTCATCGATTTCGTGTCCCATATGGCTGCTGCTGACACTATTGTTCCCAATTGACCTGCTGGTGCTTGTTGATCTTGCTCTGGATGTGGTGCTTCCGATGCTGGTTCTTCTTCCTCGTTGAGCGTATTTGCCATAACCCTCGTGTCCGGTTCCTGCGGGAGGACATCTGCGTGATCGACCTTCACTTAGTGCGGATTGAGTGACTTCGGGAACCGTCTTTGACTTTTTCGGGAAAAAGCCAAGTCTTCTCGGAGCATTGGTGGTAGGTTGCTGCTGCTTTGGCTCCTTGAGCTCCTTCGTATCATTAGATACGTTTGTTTCTTTCCCTGAGAGCGATGTTTTCCTGAGAAGATTTGCCTTGGGAGTTATAGATCTTAGCTGCGGGCGGGCACTGGAATCAGTCTGGCCCACTGGTGGAGACAATGCAGTAATCTTATTTGAACTCCTTGACTGAAGTGAATCTGTGGATGCATTCACAATCGATGAAGAGATAGCTGGTGATTTAGAGCGAGTATTGGAGCTTTCTGAACCTCTCCGTTTGTGAGTGGGAAGTCTCGAAGAGGCAAGGTTACTCCAGATAACGGGCGACGATTCCAATTTCAGCGGCTCTGTTCCCTTGCGGCTAGGCCGACTTGGAGAGAGCCGGGTAGCTGCTCCCGAGTCTGGAAGTGACGGTTCTTCGAGCCTTGGAGTACACACACCTTCCTTTCTATTCTCCGAGGTGGGTTTTATGTCACTTGGTAGGGTACTTGTTGATTGCCACTCAGCGTGACTAGGAGCTTGATGTCCGGTTTCTCTCACCCCGGGACTAGAAGCTGGCAGTTGAGGAATAGGCTCAGTTTGAGATCGTCGAGGAAGCCGAGTCGTAGGAGCACCCGTTCTCTTGGTTTCATCAAATGACGATAAAGCTGCCAGGTTTGGGCGAGACCTTTGGTTCCTGAAGATAGTTGGGCTCGGCTGCTTTAGGCGAGAGCTATGGATCGGATGTACTATTCCAGGAGAGTAGGACGAAAGTGATGTTGGGGTTGATCCTCTACTCCACATACCAGGGGAGTCGGTGTATCTGGTTGAAGGGCTGCTTCCCCCGGTAAAGTTAGGGGTTGGGGGAGGTAGGTTGGAAGTATTTATCGATGTTGACAGACCAATGAACTCCCTCGGAATGCGAGACTGCGATCCTGATGTTAAGGGTCTGGCCTCAGTTGCGGGTGTCTGAGAGGATGGGGTTGGAGTAGAATACTGTGGTCGAGTAGGGACATTTTCAATTGGTGCTGGCCTTGTGGGTACCGATTCTTTAAAATCTGACTCAAGCTTATCTGGAGCTTCAATTTGGGGTATCTCTATGTCTATTTTCTCAGACTTCGGAGCTTGTAATCTTGCCCTGTTCTTCTCTGCATATTGTTCTATTGAGGGTGCCTTTCTCCGGAGAACATTTCGTGGTCGTGATTCGGGTAAAGAAGGTCGACCAAATTTCCAGGAAGGCATAGATGATGTTGTTTGTTGCTGTGAATCGTATGGCATATTCGGTGAAGGCGCATTGCTTGGAGGTGCAGCATAGTACCGAGATGTTGGCATGAAGGAGTATGATGGCTGTTTCGACGTCCCAGTAGAAGTATTGGCTTCCCTGGACGACTTCTTTGAGGAATTCGACCTCACCATCCTCAGCCTACTATACTCCTCCGACTCCGAAGCAGACGAGTCCCGCCTACCTCGGGGAATTGTGCTCTGCTTGGGTCTTCCCTGCCCAGACGAAGCCCCGGTTGGTGGTATAGGTATCCTTGAAGAAGACATCATGATTTCAGTTGTTGATCCTCTAGTACGTGTGTGTGCCGGAGCATGAGTGACTGTCTGTACAGCTACCCGTGATACCATGATGTGAGAGCCCCCGATACCATGGATAGCAGGCCTCGAGACCTTCCGAAACAATAGCCGGTTCAGAACGACTTATAATCATATCGTATGCCACATTAGTGACGGTCAAAGGTTGGCGTCTGTCACTTGAGTCAGTGGGGACACGGGATGAAAAGATATGGTGCATAGCGGTCGCCACCACGAAGGCGTACTCACGTTTGTTTATGATAAAAATAACAGCCTAGCAAGCAACTATATTCCAAATAGCTGAGCAAGGCCGGCAATCTGACTGCTGAGCAAGCTGGATGGTATCAAAACCCGAAGCTCGAGAATTTAGAGGCAAGATAGTTGAACAAGAAGCCGGGGTAAGCTGGATTAAATATAAGGTAACTTGAGCAGTAAAAAAAGGCACAAAAAGTGAAGCGAAAGAACCTTGAAAAGAATATTAATCATCGGACAGCTTTTTCTCGGGCACAAATAACCATGCAAGGAAGAAAAAAAAAAAAAAAAAAAAAAGGCTAAAGGCGATGGCACAGTTCTGGACAAGGTCCGTTGTCAAACTCGAGAGAATGACGGGAAATGTACCGCCAGGTCGATGTATAGTTAACTATAGTAAGCGTCAAGTAAGGCTCTGCTTGCTTGCTTGCATCCACTCCGCCACACAAGGTCGGCGGGGCCGCTTAGCGCGCACAGCGACAGGCAGCAGCTGTGGCTAACGGCCGTTTGACCACGTCGACAAGGCGGTATAAGGGCCCTCTCCTTGACTATGAAGGCTATGGCTCTTCTGTAGTGAAGGAAGAAACGGTCAGGGCCTGCAAGGAGTTTGCCGGGGGAGGAGGGAGGAAGGAAGGAGAAGAGATAGGCAAGACAGGCCGGCATGGACATGGACATGGTGGACGGCGGCGCATTTTAAGGCAAAGAAGGAGAAGAAGAAAAAGTCCCGAGAAGACGGCCAAGGGGCCAGGGTCATAGGAAAAAGGATGATAAGCAAGTACCCCGACTCGCTGACGATCGCACGTTTCCCTTCTCTCCAGTTAGACGGCGATAGAGGCAGGTAACAGGCTGACGATGGAGAGACGAGAGACGAGACGACGCTGTGGATGGAGTCGAATGGGCGCTTGCAGGCGAGCGGAGACAGGATTCGCATGGATAAGTATCGAGACCCAGGTCATGCATGATATCTCCACTTATAGGAGGCCACTCAGAATGTAGCATCGCAGTATCGACGATGGTGCTATTCCCGTCCACGAGAAGTATGTTCAGGCTGGCTGGCTCGATGCTTGCTTCAAGTTCAGTTGCCGGGCCGAATCGTAAATCTGTTCAACCTGCCGACGCTGCTGGGCTGGCTGTCAGATCGTACTGCTCCAGTATAATAACTAATATTATAGATAATGCAAAAAGAAGCTCGAATGTCCCTGGAGGAGATGACATATCGATGCAGAGGCCGTCACAGCATCCCCAGTCTGTGATACGGAGTGAAAGGCCCATGTCAACAGAATAGCCTTTTGATCTGAGGGATCCGTTCCACGGTCCATCTCATGGAGACTTCCAGGGCCATCCGTAGGTGCCGTTCCGTGCCGTAGAAGGGAGTAGCTGATCCAGCGAAAAATTAACATTAGTCGAAGTCGTTAACGAGCTACCAGAGGCTTTGACTGGCTAATTAGCAGCATGGGGAACATGCGGAAGCGCCGAGCCATCTCCATCACGGCATAGCAATTCTCAATGAAAAGGGTACTCCTCGCCCCTTGGCCGACCCGCGAGCGATGATTTGCTTCATGCACGGAGTCACTCTGGGCGTTAACTTCTGTCACGTCCCATAATGAGGAGCAACAAACCAGGGAGAGAGAGAGAGCGCTCAGAGAAAAGAGAAACGTCCCCTTGCCGTCTCCTGGTGGAGAAATCTCGTTCGATATCAAATAGCACCGAGGCCCATGTATCCGTTTGGCTCAGTACCTGCCTCTGTGACTGGGAAGAAGGAAATTATGCATATTCTAGAGCCAGCCCTGGATCGGAGCAAAGAGCTGGAAGTAGATAATGCGTGAAGGACGCTGCAGGTCGATACCGAGCGACGGCGCGGCTCACTGGCCAGAGGCACATCCAGTCACATCGAAGAGGCACAGCTTTGCTGCATGATTCGCCCACTGACAGCTCCCATCCCTGTCCGAAGAAGCAAGCAGGAAGTTTAGCTATTCCTGTCCTTCATGGAGGTTCCCACATGGTGCAAGAGCGAAAAGACGAAGTATCGTCGCCTTTTCTGAGCCTGCGTCTTTGCCACCGTTGAAGGGTCGTATAACTAAACAAGCCAGACGATCACAGCAACTAGTGAGTTAACTTAGTGAGGGTCAAGCAGAAGAGTTTCTCCTGTCCCTGAGCCCGCTGCTGATAGCACGAATTACGTGCATTAATTCGTATGTACGGGCCTAATGATGGATAACTTGCTGCAAGGCTGCTTTTGTGGCTGTGAGCGCATGAGGCGACTGTCCCCAACCGCTGCCTCCATGCTTCGTATAATCCTTCGGCCGGCCATGTTAACTGGCTTCTCTCCGTAGGCCAGGTCCCTGGATCTCATGCAAACCTCAGCTCTCGATGTATGCATATCATAATGGCCAGCCTGCGCCAATCGACTGTTCGTCTGCGTTGTACCTGGTGATCGATGATATCAGAGAGACGGAGAGCGACTCCTTCATAGCCGATAACTCGCGCGAGAGGGAGAAAAACAAAGCATTGAGGAGCGATAAACTAATTCGGCGGGCGATTTCTAGAGCTTACTGACCTTGGCTATGACTCCTGTGGTTATCTGTAGACGCGCGCAGGGTCAACTGACGCTGCTGATGATCTGCGTTTTGCTGCTGTGGTAGATGTACATCGCCGGCTACTTCTGTACTTCTGGTGTTGTATATATATATATTTTTTGATCACCTCATCATGATATTCAACCCCCCCTTGCGCGTTGCACTGGATGGAGACTTCGCTTGTCCGACCTCCGAGAGATGAAAGTTGATTTGATATTTTCGTTTTGATATACATATTAATAACATACGCAAGAAAGTAGCAGAAGATGAGAGGAAAATGTGAAAGATCAGACTTCGTTCCGGACAAACTCCTAAGCCAGGTAGATATTGAAAGACACACGGAGAGAAAATAGCAAAAGCGATACCAGTCATATAGCAAGAAAAGGAGTGTTTTTTTTTTTTGGTCAGGAAGTGCGAGAGAGAGATAGGGAAATAGCCCCGGGCGCAGTGATGGTCGACAACTCATAGTGCACGAAGCAAAAGAACAAACGGTCGGTTGGGCGAGGAGCAGAGATAGATGAAGAGGCCGAAGAGCCAAACACTTTCTGTTTATTTGGCAGCAAAACGCTCCTTTCTCTTCTCCATCGCAACACGGTCTGCCTCACTAAACTTCTCTTTGCTGCTGTTGTTGTTGCTGTTGCCAGTCTCGTTGCGGCCGCCCCTGCGTGGGCCTCTCCCCCTTCCCCGTCCGTGGAAGTGTCTACGCTTTCCCCGGCCGCTGTCTCCATCATCACCCCGTCCTCGCTTCCGGGTGGGCAAAGCTTCGTCCAACCCTTTTATTTTGGCCGGCTCGTCACTCACGGGGCCGAATCTCTTGACTCTCGCAAGTGCCTTTTCAGCCTCCGTCGCAACAGATTCTTCGACAGCTCCAAACTTCGCAGCACGGGCTTTGCGCTTCGCAAGTTCAGCATCGGGATCCGTGGTTGCAAGGCCTCTGCTGTAGTCAACGGCAGGTTTCTCTGTGCCCTTCTTCTCTTCGGTGGCGGCTTTCTTATCAGTGCCGTTTGTCGCATGTTGTTCATCGACAGGCTTTGCTTCCGCCGCACCGGTTCCAGCAGCGCCGGCTGAAGTTGTTGTTGTTGTTGCAGTGGCAGCTTCGGTCTTCTCTTCTGGCTTCGCAGCTTTCGCCTTTTGTGCAGTAGCAGGCTCGGTGACGGTCTTTTGCTCTGGAGCCGCTGCTGGAGCCGCTGGGGCTGGCTTGGTAGCTGCAGGAGCAGTCTCGGTATCGTCGTCCCAATCGATAACGTCTTCAGCCGCAGGTGGAGCTGGAGCCGGTGCGGGAGCAGCAGCAGCAGCAGCTTTATCTGCTTCCTGGAGCCGCGCAACCATATCTGCCTTCTTCCCCGTGTGACTGAGGCCGCGCGACTTGAGAATCTCAATCAACTCGGCGTTGGTCTTTTTGCTGTATTCCACTGCCATGATGACGACTAGCGTGTGCGATTGCGTGTCAACGGAAGGAGAACGTAGGATATTGAGATATTGCAGATAGTATCGACTCAAGTGAGCTCTATGATGTGGGCTTGTGAGAGATGTAGCAACTTGGAAGACTGGGTCGGAGTCGAGGCCTCCTGGGAGGACGGAGGAGGCAGGCGTCGAGCGTTCAAAGGCGGCGGGAGAGAAAGAGGGCTAAGAGCAGCAACACAGTAGCATCGCCTTTGATCAGTATAAAGAAATGCAGCGTCTCTGATTCAGCATCTGCTTCTTCTTCTCGCGCTGCCGTCACCTTCGGCTCGTTTGTTGCCTTTGACGTTTGGAAAAAAGTCGCGTTGGAGCTTCCGGCTTAGGTAAGCAAGTCATCGCGCTAAGCTTTTTGTGTTCTTGGCAAAAGTCAGGTGATGCTTATATAATATAATTACTAAGCTGGTACAAAATATAAGTTCGATATGGAGATATCAGACAAAAAGATAAAAAGACGAAGAAAGACAAGGAAGAGGGCGAGGGGAGCTCAGTTCAAATCAGCCTTGCGAAGAAGACAGAGGATGGACCTCGGAATTGCAGTTTGTTGGGCTTTTGATCCCTGCCTTTATCTGAATACGTGTTTCCAGTGCTTGTTCCACGTCGGCAGCCGCCGCAAGCTGCGCCACGTTAAAGATCACCAACTGTGGCGCCCGAAGGTCGGGTCGTCTTTCGTTGGGATAAATTCTGCACTATGACATCAAGCCTACGGGGTGAGAGTAAACACGGGAGGAAAAAACCGTTGTAACATTATCAATGCGTTAGTTTAGCTGAAAACCTTGGGAATTAAGAAAAAAAAAAAGAAGAAGATACCCATCCCATTCAACCTTCTTTTTTGTTCGCTGCCCTATTTCAATCTGCCATTGGTTGAAAGTGTGTACATCGGAGGGGGGAGGAAAGGCGAGAGGGAAAAGATAGTGCGCTCCACACGTCGATAGCTGGGACCCAAAGGTGAGTTGGTGTATATACACCTTGGGCAACAGCTTGACAAATAGAAGATGCACAACATAGTGGTACATGGGCAGCGTAAGCTCCGTAAAAGCTGAGCAGTGCTGAAATCTGTGGCAAAGTAATAGGGAGTAGCCTTGGTTCAATCGTTCTAGATGCCTAGATGAGCCTTATTTCTGAACTTTGGTCTTCTTTTTCGGCCGCTCTTCTTCAACATCATCCATTTCAGCGTCGCTATCCCCACTGCTGCTCGCGTGTTCAGAGTCGAATTCTTCAGCCACTTCGGAGTCAGAGTCTCCGACGAAGTCTTCGTCGGGAGACTCTGAGTCTTCAGCTGCAGAGCCACGGTCCTCCTGGACACCGGCGTCGTCATCACTCGAGTCCATCATCTGGTCGTTCTCGAGGGCAGTAGCAATGAGAGTGGATGCCTATGCGGTGGGATGTTAGCATCTGATTGGTAGGATGTAAAAAAAAGAGGAAGTGGAACAGATGGGCCTACCTCTTCAACCATCTCGTTCTTGAACCGGATGTTCTTGGCCTTGAAGAAGTCTTCTAGTGGCTGCTGTTCCTCACTGTAAGCGGAATATGTCAGCATATAAGTCAATGTAAGGTATATCGGAGAATATACGAGACGCCATACCGATTGATATTGCTAAATTGATGCTCGCCCTGTCCTCCCTTGAGAGTCATGGTGATGTCAAAAGTTCGGCTGGCTGAGACTGTACCACCGACTCGGGACATGGTGATGACTGATATGTTTTCTATTTGAATGTATGTGGCTGGCTTGGGGACGAACATGAAGCTCTTATCAAGACAGAATAGAAGACCCTCGTTGGCCTTGGTTGAACATTTCACACCGCTATGGCCGTGATGACTGCAGGATGTTAGCTACTCCATACCTATAGAAAGGCGGCAATAACAGCAGTAAATGGCTTGTCTTACCTGGCAAAGTCTCTAGATGGCATGATGACCTTCTTTCCTGAGAGTCCTCGGAAGACCTTTGTGACGACTTGATGAATGGGCTCCTCATAGTGAGCTTCAAGCTTATCCTTGTATCGGGTTTGAAGGAGCTCACTGGGTGACGTTAGTTAGGCGTCTGCGGTAAATTTTCTTAACAAAAGCTAGGGGTCCAAGCTTACTCGGTCATATTTAAATCAATGCTGATTTCATCGTCTAGCTTCAACTGCATGACCAGGAACGGGTATCTTGTCTGGCCCTGTCGGAGAGGCGGGTCCAAACCGAGAGTAATAAGTGTGTGGGTGTCATCGTTCTTTGGAAGGAGGAAGAACTTCTTGATAGATTGATATTGGATCTTGTAGTCGTACGTCTTACCCCTGAGTCGGAATGAGCTTTCGTACATGTCCATGTCGAACCGACCTCTGCATGAAGAACGTTAGCAGAAATATACCAGATGAAGAAAAAGAGAATTGTAAAGTTCCCGAATAAAAGTCTCCAAACGAACCTGGGAGTAAGATGCAGGACATCGAGGAAGGTAGCAAAAGTGTCGCCGGCAACATCACCAATCTCTGCCTTGTCCATGAGCGTCTCGTAGAACAAATTGGCAGCATTCTGCTCTTCAACCTCCTCTTCGCCGTCGGCACTCTTGTTTTCTTCGCCTTCACCTTGTTCGTCGCCTTCTTCCTTCTTGGGGACTGTTCCCGGGATGTAGAATCTCATCTCGACAAGCTCGTCTCTGCCCAAGCCGGCCTTCCGTCCTCTGTTCTTGGTGCTACCCGCAGGCTGTTCCTTGGCAGTAGATGCATCATCGGTGGGCAGGAAGAATTCAACGGCGACTTCATTCCTGCCCGCGAGGTTTGTGTTTGATATTTCCGAGTAAGGGACTTCGAATGCAGGACGGTTCTGGACGTTGAAGCTGAGCTCTGCTTTACCGAACTCGGCCTTGCCCCAGTTCCAGCCTCGCAGGGCATGTTCTCTGTTTGTGAGGTTGACACCGTACCATATCTTGAACGCTTTACTGGCTCTGTCGAAGTCCTGTGGCGCCGCCTCCTGGTTAGCATGCGCATTATATCAAAAATGTATCAACCATTGGGAGGTAGCAACAACGTACGTCCTGTTCGAACCCATCGAGCTGGATAACACCACAGGTACGTGAGACTATCTTCAGCTCGTACCCTTTCGCCGCTCTGCTCCATTCAGCAGCACCGATATTGCTCTTGTCGAGGGTGAAGGTGTCGCCGCCGCCGGATGGCTTCCAGCCCATGCCGCTCTCCGCGAGCTTGCATTTCCCGGACTGCTTCGACAGGTCAAGGTATATGTTTTCGAAGCTCTCCCTAGCACCGAGTCAGTCTCACCAGTCACCAGGCAGCAGTCTTCAATTGGGGGGCGAAGGGAGCAGCTTACATCTTGACTGGGTCGCGCGTTGCGTTGCTGCCGGTCGAACGAGCTTCACCGAGAAGCCACGAAGGTCAACCAACCAGCCACTCAATCACCACGTCTTTTGCTGGACTCGAAGCTGCCGTCTCTCCTGCAGGGGTCTTCTTCGCTCTTCCGGCTTCTCTTTCTCTCTGTCTTTCGTCCTTTTTTTCTCTTCGCTTTTTCTTCTTCTTCTTCTTCTTTTTTTCTGTCGCGTTTTCGGCTTCACGAAAGCTCTTTATCAGAGTTGGGGCTAAGCCTGATTAGGAACATCTCTATATCTTCTATATATTTTTGATTTCATTTTTATATTTTATATTTTATATTTAAATCTTTATTAATTATTATTATATTCAAACAATCGTTGATAGACTGAGCAGGAACTAGAATAATATCTCCTGCTCTGCACTGCAGTGTTGAGTCTGATGTACTTGTATGGACATGCTTGATATCAGCTACCTTACCCCGAGTATCTCGACTGCCTGGAGTTATCTTCCTTAGCAGCCGGAGACAGCGCAGGCTTACGGAGTACTATAAGCTGAATAACCGGCATGGTCATCCCTGAGACACCTGGCAGGCTCCATGGTGCAGGAGTTCACTCAGGCTTTGCTTTAATGGCCTTTTGGTGACGGAGTAAACAGAGCTATGTAGAATGTTAGCAAGATAGACAGACATGAACTGCAGCTGGCCACCAGCTCTTCCTACTATATACTGACACACTGTACCTACTGTCTATCACTGTCCTTTCTACTGTCACTATCCTGCATCTATCCTGCATCCAACTGTCCTGTCCTGTCCTGTCATGTCCTGCTGCTCTCGCATCTACTTTTATCCGGCCCCCTTTTGTGCTTCTTTTCTTCTTCCTTCCAACCTCCAGCCCTGCGAACTTCATCCCTTCGACCTGCTCGACCTTCGAACTTCTCGACTCCCCGGCCATCGACCCTCGCCGCCCGCGGTCATTCACTCTTTTTGCTTGTTGAGCTGGCGTCCTGGAAGCAGATGGAGTAGCCTCTGCTGGCAAAAACGGACACTGAGCTCAGCCTGGTTTTACTGACCCTTTTTCACTCCTTGTTTTCTTGTCTTGTAACGGCTTTCCTTCCTTTTTGTGACCTGTAGATCGCGCCATGTCCGATCTGTTTATGCCCTGAGATTGTTCTTTGCTGCGCTTCAGACTCTCTCTCTCTCTCTCTGCCAGGCCGGTCTGCTCGTCTCTTCCTTGTCTAGGAGATCCCAGGTGGCTGGCATCTGAGATCCCCCCGTGTGCTGTTTACAAGGCGTTTTTTATCTCTCACCCTCAGCGACGCGGCCATGGGACACCTCTCCCAGCCCGGATGGGCGCCGTTTGCCTGCAACTTCAACCTCATCCTCAACGTCTTCCTCGCCCTGCCTCTTGCTCTCACCTCCCAGGCGGCCCTCTTCGAGCCGACGCCTTCTCCGAACCTCGACCTCAATCCGCTCGGCCGCATCGCCCTGGTGGGGAATTTCGACGCTGCCTCGCTCTACTCCTACAAGCCTACCAACAAAGAAGGCCTCGCCGGCTTCAATGGCTCCCTCAAACAGTCGCTCATCGCCCCCTTGCCCGACGGCTCCCTCTTCCCCATATCCTCAGCCGACGCCGATATCCTGGCCATGTGCCCGTTGAAGGACAAGGATGGCTCGGTCACCAGCGTCGTGGTGGGCGGTAACTTCACCAGCCTTGGAGGCGTCGAGTCCAACGGCGTGGCCGTTTTCGACTACAAAAACATCCGTGTATCTGCCGTGCCTGGACTCTCTGGGACGGTCAACGCACTCTACTGTGACAGCGAATCGAACATCGTCTACGTCGGAGGAGAGTTCAGAAACGCAGAGTCCACCAACGCTGTCATCTGGTCTCCCAAGTCGGGCCTTTCCAACCTGCCCTTCAGCGGGTTCAATGGGCCCGTCACATCGATTGTTCCCGCAAAGGATGGCCGTGTTGTCTTTGGTGGCTCGTTCGATGGCTTAGGAAACACAACAAGCCCGGAGAGGAAGGACCAGCAGATTGTCAACCTGTTTACTGCCGAGATCTCTGTCGGTTCAGGTTCGACTGCTGGAGGCTTTGACGATCCTAGGAGTATCATCTGCCCTACTGATGGCCAGTCTGGCCCCGGAAAGACCTGGTTGCTCACAGACAATGCCCCGGGCTACTGGCGTGCTAACTTGCACTATGGGTTCAGACCAACTAAGTTACGCGTTCGCAACGTTGTTATGGATGGAAGAGGAACCAAAACATTCAGATTTACCGCCCTGCCCGATGGCGGAATCCTGAACATGACCTATGTCGACCCCGAGAGCGGCCAGAAAATTCCATGTGATGCCCGATGTCCTCTCTCTAACGATCCAAAGTATGCTACTCGAGACTTCTCCTTTGTCAACAATGTTGGCATGAGCTCGTTCCAGCTGGAAGTCTCAGAATGGTACGGACAGGGTGGTGGATTTACTGGCATTGAGCTGTTCCAGGATGGTACGATTGCTCCCTCTCGCTTCTAATCTCGATCTTTTTTCTTTTTCACTTTACTAACCAGCTATCAACAGATATTTATGCATATGCTGTTAATGACCTCAATGAACCCACCTGTGCTGGTATTCCGTTCGCCTCTACTGCTACCACAACCGGTGAATGGAAGGTCCAGCCATCTCACGATAGTTCTTCTGACTATTTATCCACCCAAATCGATGCATCTACCGACACTGCCACCTCAGTCACCATACAGCCAGACATCAAGCAGTCGGGTAACTACTCCGTCACCATTTTCACACCAGGTTGTATTCAGGATGGAACCTGTGCCACCCGTGGAACCGCCAACGTAACTGCCACTTTCAAGTCTTCCGAAGACACACCTATCGTGGCCTCGATATCACAGACCAACAACTTCGACAAGTTTGACCAGATCTATGTCGGCCCCGTTGATGCTAGCACCAGCAAATTCAGACCATCCATCACTATAACCCCCCGCCATGACCAAGGCATGATCGACTTTGTGGCATCTAGAGTCCGGTTCCAATTGATTTCATCTACTGGCGGCCTGAATGGACTGTATGAATATGACCCAAAGGCTACAACTGTTGATACCAACTTCACCCAGTCTGCCATCAACAAAGCCGGTACTGAACTTGAGCCTGAGGCAATCATCAACTCTCTCGTGTGGGACAAGGATACCTTATTTATTGCAGGAAATTTCACAAAGGAATCCATTAACAATATTGTGTTACTTTTAGATGGGACATCGTCCCCCTTAGGTTAATTTTGCGGTCAAAACTATGCAGCTTCTTGACGGTCTGCTCTACGTTGGTGGTAACTTTTCAAACACTGCCGCTGGGGACAATGACAAGCTTGGTAGTGTTGCTGCATACTCTATATCTGACAAGACCTGGCACTCCCTTGGTGCTGGAGTTAACGGCCCTGTCACTTCACTTGTCCTGTTCCCAACCAATGTTACCTCAGGCAAGACCGAAACAACTATCGCAGTTAACGGATTATTTACGGAGATTAATGCGGCTGATGGTCGCCCTGCAATACCCGCGAATGGATTTGCTGTCTGGGTACCATCAGCAAAGAAATGGCTGAAAGAACTGGACATTGACCACTTGGCATACGTTGGCCAGCTCACTGCTTCCAGTCAGGTAGGCGATGAGACCCTCCTGGCTGGAAACCTTGCTTCTGGTGGAATCGCTTCACACGGTGCTGTCAATCTAGTTGACAACAACAAGCTCGGCCTCCGTGCACTACCAGTAAATATAGAGCTCGGTCAAGGTATGCTACCTGAGCGTAATGCGAAGCGCAAACTTGCAACAGGTGGCAGCAGCGGAGTCATCACCGGTCTCTTTGATACCGAAGGTGGTCGCAACCTCACAATGCTAGCTGGTCACTTTACTGCAAAGACATCTGACAACTCTGTCGTCAATAACTTGGTCTTCCTCAATGGCGCACAACATGATGTCGTGACTGGCGCCGGTCCCGGAATTGATGCAAACTCAACCTTCTTATCCCTTGCAGTTAACAAAGACATGCTTTTGGCCGGCGGGAAAATCTCTGGAAAAGTTGCAGATGCAAACATCAAAGGCCTCGTTGTCTATGATCTCAAGAATGAACATCGTTACGCCTCCAACCAGCCTTCCGCATTAGACGGTGACGATGTTGAAGTTCGCGCCATTGCTCCTCGTCCTGGCACCAACGACATCTTCGTTGGTGGAGTCTTCCAATCTGCTGGCTCTCTGCCTTGCCCGTCAGTTTGCTACCTTGAACTTGATGGCAACCAATGGAATCGCCCGGGTACATCCCTACGAGGAGATGTTACCGTCCTCCTGTGGACAGAGAACGATCAACTGCTCGTTGCTGGAAACCTCACTGTTGAGCGTAACGCGACTATGCTCGCTAGATACAATGCAAAGGAACAAGAATGGTCCACTATCACAGGAAAGAACTCCGAAAGCATCAATGGTGAAGTGCGTGCCCTTGGCCTTTCACAAAGCGATGGCTCAAAGTTTTGGATCGCCGGAAAATCCGCTGATGGAGCCTCGTTCCTTGTTCACTACGACGGCACTGAATTCCGCTCTGCTGGTCGCTTGTTTGGAGAGAGTACCCTAATTGAGGGGCTGCAAGTTCTTCCACTCACCAAAACTCACGGCAAGACCGATCTATTGGAGGAGAATCAATCTCTTCTAATCACAGGCAAACTCCAGCTGCCCAACTTTGGATACGTGTCTGGAGCCCTCTTCGACGGAACTACACTTGAACCATTCATACTTTCTAGTATGTCTGATGGTCGACCAGGGAGCATATCTGGAATATTCTCTGAGAATAAGATCAACGTTGCTGGCCACCGTAAGTCCAACCCCCTAACATATCACATTCACTGCTTCAAAAAAGAAGTCTTGCTAACTCTTTGATGCTAGGTGGACAAAAACCAAGAGGCATCGTAGTCCTCATCTCTTTCTGCATAGCCCTAGGCTGTGTCTTCTTCCTTGTCCTCTTCGGCATTCTCCTTAACCGCTACCGCCGTTACAAGCAAGGCTACGTCACTGCACCTCAAGGCACAGATCGAAAACCAGATCTCAATCGCGTTCCTCCAGAATACCTTCTGGAGTCCCTCCGCCATCGGACCCCCGGCACACGCATCTAATTAACAGAAGCACGCAAAAGCTGGACGGCCATTACTTTCCTCTTTCATCTCCTCTTTCTCAAAGTTCACGTACAACCCACCTTTCCTTTAGACCACAAACTTTTCCTTCTTTCGTCCTGGAATCATTTTCCTTTCTCTCTTATGGTACTTTTAATCGGCGTTAGGAACCTAGGAAAGTGAATACCCTCTTCCAAAACTAATGTTCGGCGTTTCAGGATCTGCTGTTTGGTCTCTCCCTGTCTTTTCTTTTTTTTTCCCCCCCCAACCTGGTTCAATCCCACCCTCATACCCTTGTTACTTGATCTTGATCATATGCGCCTGCTGGGCTAATTCAGTTGCATATGGACGTAATTCGACGTTATCTGAACTTCCATACACGACAATACATCAGTCAAGCTAGGGTTTTCCTTGACTAATAATAGTCCCTTCTGCAGAGTTACTAGGCTTTCGCTGGGGAATGTTCATTTAGCTAATTGTGTACTCCAACCATGCGTTTACATTCTGTCTTGATTTTCTTCCTGTTAGACTCACCGGCTTCAAATACCTCTTAGATAGCATAGCCATCGCACTTCGAAAGATACTAATGGAAACATGACCTGTGTACTGTTATCTTTATCTGGCAGCTAGTACCAGCATCTAAGTCCACGGGTTTACTGCGTGTAGGTATTGATTTAATCGGAGGCTGTAGTAGTCAGCCCTCCCACGATGATGGCGAGAGTGGTCGAAGTTAAGAGTTCTTGGCCTTCTCCCTCTTCCGGCGCTAAAGGCGTTAAGTTTCGGCATCCCACGCCTCGGCCATAGCTAAATCGGAGCTCCATCACTTCCTCGTCAGAGCGGCAGCTCACAACAGACGATATCGTTTCTCCTTCACCTTTATTACCTATCCGGGCATGAATATGGGGTTTTCTCTAGGTTTTAGCCTGTCTCTTAATTCTGATCATAGAAAGGGAACTTGCTGAGAATTCAACCGCACATCCGTGTGGGGGAATTATCTCAAGACGATGCGTTCACGAACAGGCTGGTAAGTACCACTAATAGCTCTACCCTCTAAAGATAAGTCAGTGGTGTGTGTGTCCCTTACCACTGCTTTCCTACTTCTTATTCGATTGCCGACTAACTTTGGCCGGTTACCGCTTGCTAGCCTCACATGTCGAACGCGCAAGTTGAAATGTGACGAGCAGAAACCGCGATGCTCCCAGTGTCGGAAGGCGGGCAGAGAATGCCGTCTTAGCGAAGCCGTTGTGTTTAGACATCAGCAAAATGCCTCAATGAACCAGGATGAAGGAGGGGTCGGGCCGAGTAGCTTGAAGGGATTCTATTCTTACAAAAATACATTTGGCGCAGATAGTGTCTGGCTGGATATACCGAAGGAAGGTGGGTTTCTTTTCACTCAGAGCTCATACAATTCTCAGAAGAGTCGACTAAGCCGGTGCTCACTTTGAAGTGGTGTTTGTTGATAACTCGGACCCTTACGCCGATGAACTGGAAGAACACTTCAATACAGATACCCCTTTAGACACCCATGGTGAATCCGCATGGAGTCATGGTGGGGGATACCTGCCACCCTTTACGGAAGCTCAAACACATGGCCTAGATGCTCTTTCAGCCGCAGCAACGGCGGAGAATCATCCCATCTATCAATCTGTTGCGGATCACATTGCTGAGAATAGCAACAGTCATACTAGGCTTGAGACTACTGAACACCCAGAAGCAACAATATCAAACTCATCTCCAACTATTGCCAGGATCCCAACTGAAGCATCCCCTGGGTCTCTGTCGCTATCACTATTGTCGCCCAATAATAACGTCGGTTTCATGTTAAACGCGCCCTCCAATGGTATTCCACAACCGATTGACACTGGTCTTCACTCCCATGAGAACCAGAGGCCCACTTCTTCGGTTTCTCAAGGGTTGCCGCAGGTAATGAGAGTTACTTCTTCAGTTGAAACTGAGCATGAAGCGGCATTTTTCCTTCGACATTTTTCAGAAGGACCTGGGCGGTGGTAAGTGCAAATAGTGACCACTATAGAATGCCTGACATAGAGAAAGCTAACTAGATTTGCCATCTACTTGTATCAAGGATGGATCTATTTGATATTGAACGTTACTTTAGTTCACAAGTCCCAGTCAGAGCACTCTCTAGTCCACTCCTGAAATATGCTGCATGCGCATATTCTGCAAAGCAGATTGGCCGCATTAAGGGAGCTAATGCGGTTACTGGAGGTTCCTGTCTGAGACAGGCCATAATGGAGATATGGCCTGATACAGAAAGAGTTGACTGGAATTACTACGGGATGAAGTATTATGAAAAGGCGATCCAGCTTCTTATGGAGGAATTGCAACACAATGGAAATTTTTCTCCAGTATCTAGGTCACAAACAAGTGGAAACTTACAAGCAGTAGACCCTGGTGGACTGGAGAACACTAGCAGCAAAAGACGGAAGGTCTCCATTGCTGAGGTTCAATTATCTAGTCCCCATTCTGACGATGTCCTTGCTGCCATCTCTATTATCTTTGCCTACGAATTTTTGGATAATACGAGCCCAGTATGGGATAGGCATTTTAGTGGTGTGAAATCTTTACTGGACATTATGAAGGCAGGAATGGTGCCATCTGAAAAGAAAAATTTATCTGGACACTTGAATGTTGCAACCTCGAAACTACCTCGATTTTCCAAGGCAGGGAAGGCAATCTTCTGGAATTTTGCGCGTCAAGACTATCTTTCAGCCTGTAAGTCCTCCCTGTCTGAGAGTTATCAAGGCAAAATGCTAAGTGTGCCATAGTTATCAATGAAACCCTAACCAGATTGGTCACTAGTGACCTAACATTATGGACAGAAGCTGGGCTTATTCTCAATGATACAGGATTCTTTCAACAAGAAAGCGCTACTGAACGTAATGAATCCACGAAGGAAGACATAATATCAAATACCCTGATATGGATCCTTTCAAAAATCGTTGATTTCATAGCTGTTGGTGATGGTAGAAACCATGGAGAAAGTTCCACTGGAGTATCCCAAAATACCCTTCTGGATAGATGGAATCGACTTCAGGCAGAGCTAGACACATGGTTCCATGCGTTACCTGACACATTCAAGCCTTGTGCTAGGATTGACCCGCCTCCAGTCCCTCACTCTTCCCAAGATGTGTGTCCATTCCAGGAGATTTGGTACAGCATCCCAATGTGTGCCTCAGCGATGCAACACTATCATATGGCCCGCATTCTCCTACTCATCAATAAGCCACACGAGTCAACAGCACGCAGAAGTACTGTTACAGACAGACTAAACTCCTACAGATCCATTGAGAAAGAGATTCAAAACCATAGCCGTGAAATCTGCGGGATATCTGCTTCTGGGCTCGAAGCATCTGCACGCATTCATTCTATTCAGCCATTATTCGTCAGTGGCCAATGTTTGACCGATGAGTTAGAACGGAAGGCCATTCTACAACTTCTCTGCAGAATCGAGGCAGATCTCGGCTGGGCTACTAAGTATCGTGTTCATCAACTCCTTGCAGAATGGAATTGGGACGAGACTGTCCTTAATGTTTTTCCAGAGTGATGATAGTCGGATCAAAGGGAGGAAAAGCTTTCTTCGAGTCGAGTAAAACACTCACGGATACATACGGCCTACTCCATTCCTATGAATGTAGCTATATCGGCTCACAGCATGGATTATTTCCCTGTCGTCATCGCTTAACACACCTACATGGAGAAATAAACGTTGAGGATGAGGCGAACAAGTCCGAGGAGGGCAGACGATCAGGGAAAGCAGGCTGGCTCTCTTGTCCTTGAACTACGTATTTGAAAGCGTAATCATACAAGGATCCCAGCTAAAATCTGAAGCTCTGAAAGGCTTTCACACTCTGCGATACTGTTATAGCCTCTGCTAAAGACTCCCAAATCACTTGTGCTTTACGTTGAAGTGAAGAGGAAGTTGGTTCTCAAGAGAAGGACATCTGACTCCTGCTGGTTCGGAGAGAGCTCTGCAAAGCCTTACAAACCCAGTAGTCCAAGCAGCTTTTGTCATTAAGAATGCTGTCCTTGCTTTCATCGCAGCTGTCTAACTCGACTTTTGGGCCATCTTCCAACCTACAGGTACGAACTCTGACTAGTAGGTGGGTTTTGGTGCGTTACCAAACCTCCCATACTATATGATCTCTAAATCGAAAGGCCCGGATGCCCTAGATGACTTGGAGACGATAGCTTCTAAAATAACAAGGGATGTCCTCTATTGAAGAAACGATCTCTAGTGACATGTCTAGATGGGGTTGGTATATAACCATCCTAAACTGAGTCATATAGTCAATATGTGGCGTTTATTTCCGAACTCTATCCTTACATCTCAGAAAAGGATATAACGCCTAATACTTCAAGTTCTGGAACATTTCTTGCTCAAACTTCTGTATTGCCTCCTCCTCCTCTTCTTCAGTCCTGTCAGATCTAATCTCCACGTCTGCAGTTGAGTACACCAAATGAGAATCCTGAGCAGCCATCTTTTTGAGAGTCGAGTCCTCGGCGTTCAAGTTGAGTTGGAATTTGTAACGCCGATAATCTTTGCCGGCTTTCTTGATGATTTCTCCAACGTCGATGCGGCTCCCGATTTTCGCGTCATGGTTACCCCCTTTTGCCGGAGCTGCGCGGTGGCCGGGTATGCCCTGGCCACGCAAAATTGTTGCACGGCGGTTTTTTGACTGCTTGATGTATGCCATGAGGGTCTGAAGTGACCGGTGGATTTTCGGGGCCATGGTGTCACGATAAAAACGCTGTGGCTGAGTACACGTAGCTGATTGGAGTTTGCTGTTGTGGATGAGACTTGTTGGCGAATATCTAACCGAGCCGTATCAGTAAGAATGGTGGTGGTTGGGGAGAAAGAGAGAAGGGCGGGGGTGTTAGTTAAACAGGAACGTACAGTTATGGACTCGATGCAATTTCTTGTTTAATTCTGTTTACCTTGTAGGTGTTTTCATGGTGTCATCTTGTACACTTATATAGCTGAGCAAAGTCATAGGGACCAGAGTACCAAGTAGAGACATATCCAGATTCAGATGGCTGGCGGCTAGCTATCCAGAGAACCAGCCAGTCAGGCTTGCTGCTGCCTTGTCAACTTGACAGTCGCCGCAGCATGCTGCCACAAAATCTCACGCAGGGGCAGGCTGGGGCGTAGCAGACCAGGGTATCAGTCATTTTTCAAAGCATCCAACATTAACAATTTGGATTTTATTGGTTATTTGGCTTTGTTGGTGAACGCGTTATATGCGGACAACTTGATAACCTCGTAAAGCCGTTCGTTAGCAAGTTATTGTTACGTACGGAGCACTCTGGTTGAACAGGCCCAGCCAATCTAACTTTAGTTAACAAGAATTGGCTTTGACACGTGATATTCCTCCTGGGGCTGCCCAGACTCCTGGCGGTTAAACAGAATACAAATCCACGCGATTCAATCATACTTGAGCATTTGTCTTCTCGGGAAACAGGCGCTAATTGAAGCAGCATATGTTTTGGATTTTGATAGTACCTAGCTATGCATCATGTTGCGTCGGCAGGTTTGAGGTGTTTCGTGCGGAAAGTTAGCACCACACCCTCACGACTACAGCAATATAGTCGCACGAAGTTGAAAGCGCGGGCTGGGTCCCCTGACGTCTCTCCACCCAGCATGAGCTCTTCTCCTCCAGTGGATGGAGAAGGTCAGTATACCTTGCGTTCATATCAGACCGTGGCCTTTTGATATTCTATTGCTTACAAGTATACCGCCAGATTGGAACTCGAATGATGCATTTTTCACTTTCACCCGTGGCCGCTTTGTGGTGGATGAGACCGAGAATCTTCGCAAACGAGAGATCAGGTTCGACTTAAACCAGCTAGCACAGGTTGCCGCAGATGCGGTTGGCGCTTCTTACTGCGTTTCTGTCAAGAAATACCCAGATGGCATGTTCAACAAGGCCTTTGTCTTGACTATGGACAATGGTCGAGAAGTGGTAGCTAAAGTACCTAATCCAAATGCTGGTATTCCGCATTTTACAACGGCAAGCGAAGTTGCCACGATGGACTTTGTGAGTTCTCCATGCTCGGTTTTACATATATATTACTTCTCAAGTCTTGCTGACTTTCGGTCGATTGGATGTTCCCAAGGCAAGGAAAATACTTGATACACCAGCGCCTGTTGTCCATGCATGGAACTCGCAAGCTAAATCTCACCCGGTTGGAGCCGAGTTTATTATAATGGATAAGATGAAGGGTGTTCCTTTGTCTCAAGTCTGGGCTAAAATGCAACTACCTCAGAAACTCCAGGTGTTACTGGCAGTAACACGCATGCAGAAGCGATGGCTGAGCGTGTCATTCTCCCATTATGGGAGTTTGTACTACGCAAGCGATCTCCAGACACCGGCTGGTAGCCATTATATTAAGGATGGAAAGGCCGTTATGGACTCGGAATTTGCTCTTGGGCCAGCTACAGGGCGAGAGTGGGTTGATGCGGGCCGAGCAAGTCTGGATATCGATCGAGGTCCATGTACGCGCGGTGCCCCATTCTTACTCTATGACTCAGTTGCTAATGGCTTCTAGGGACTTCATTGACACAGTATTTACGGGCAGTTGCGGATCGAGAACGAACAGCTATTAGGTTATTAAAACCTCCAAAGCAGATTGCCTTATTTTGTGGTCCAAGGCTCTACCAACCAAATCCGGAAACAAAGCTCACTGCCTTGTCGCACTACCAGCAAATCATCGACGCTCTTGCGCCGAGTGATGGTACTATCAAGTCACCGTACCTCTGGCATGATGATTTGCATGACGACAATATTTTTGTTGACCCTTCCAACCCGGAAGAAATCACAGGAATTATCGATTGGCAGTCGTGCCATATCTCACCTCTCTATAACCATAATCCTGACCCAGCCTTTCTCAGCTGGGATGGCCTTGAACCGGAGACACTCGATTTACTTCCACGGCCAAAACTCTCCGGGCTTTCTCCTGAAGAACGTGCCGCGGCTCTGCACGAATATTCCTACCATAACATATTCATTGGGTGGAGGAAACTCATGCAAGCCAAAAATCCGGAACTTTACGCAGCGGTTGAGTTTCGAAAGACAGCACCATACGGATTAATATTCCTTGCCCATAGGATGTTTGAATATGGCGAGGCGCACTTCGAGTCACTTCTAGCTGATCTAAAGGATACTTGGCCCGACTTGCCTGCCGTACCTGGCAACAAGCCGTTCCCATTTGACTTCTCTAAAGAAGAGTACGAGCGAATCAAGACCAGTTCTGACAACGCAGTGGCAGCTACCGACCTTGTCACGGAGGTGAAGGAGCAGCTTGGGGATTTATGGCCAGATAAAGGATTTATTGAGCATGATCGGTTTGATGAGTGCAAATCTGCTCTTGAAGACGTCAGGCTCCAAATCTTGGAACAGCTGGCCCAAAGCGAAGAAGAAAGAGCTGAGTTTGATCGTCATTGGCCGTTTAAATGAAGCATCCACTGATAGGGTTGGTTGTCCTAATAAAATTATCGGCGTGAAGCCTAAATAACGATAATGGAATGATAACTAACCCAAGGCCCCCTTTTAAGCTTAACCTAAACGTAGTGGAGAAAGGGAAAGTCTGCCGAACAGCAGATTTCCGGGGAGACAGTAGTTAAGTTAACTAAGCCGAGGGGTCGACTGCTTAGTCACTCGGCAGACCTTCCCCATCCAACCTAAGCCCGGGCTAGCCCTTCCTGCTCGCTGCCAAAATGCGTAGGTGGTCGCGTGGTGCACAAAACGGACAGGCTTTGGCGAAGGTTGCAAGATGCACGCTGCACGATGCCGGTTCCCTGGCCGGATTCCTTAGTTATACCGCTGATGGCGGCGGTTGGGGCGGCAGGATGATTATTAGGAAATGTAACTAGCCACTGCTCGCTAGTTATTTAATGCGCTCAAGTTCCCTCTGTTGGTTCCTCTCGAAGATGTCAACGCTATTACTATTAACAAAAGAAGTTATTCGTGATATATCGAACACCACCGCTTAATTCAAGTCAGCATGTCTCTAGATACGGATGTTCTTATTATTGGTGCCGGGATGTCCGGTATCGGATTCGCTATTCAGCTTCAGAAGGACTTTCCCCAGGCGAGCTATGAGATATTTGAGAAATCAAACGGTTTGGGAGGGACATGGTGGGTCAATACCTACCCTGGCTGTGGATGTGATGTTAGTCTCTCCACTGAATATACAACCAGACGAGTGACGTTTCTACTACTTTAGCTAGAATGTCTTATTTTGCGATTACAAGCTAAAATGTTTACTAGGTCCCGTCCCATGTATACTCATACTCATTCGATCTCAATCCGGAGTGGAGCATGAAATATGCTCTCCAGCCCGAGATCCTAGCTTACTTTAAGTCAGTTGTTGATAAGCATAATGTTGCACCATATATCAGATACAACTCAGTTGTTCAGAGTGCTGGGTTTGAAGAAAAAACAGGGACGTGGCTGGTCACAGTAAAAGACCTCAAATCAAATATCACCAGACATCGACGATGTAAGATATTGATATCTGCAGTCGGTGCTTTGTCAATTCCAAAGGAATGCGATATCAAAGGATACGATAATTTCCGTGGGAAGCTATTCCACTCCGCACAATGGGATCACCAATTCAATTGGGCTAATAAAGATGTCATCGTTATTGGTAAGAGGTTTTGTCTTCTCACACACAGATACTCAATAAGGATATTGACTCCTATTCATAGGTAATGGCTGCAGTGCCACACAGTTCGTACCTATTATGACGGATGGCGACAACCAGGTTCGGAAGCTCACTCAGTTTATCCGTCAGCCGCATTGGGTGATCGAACGCCCCAATAACAAATACAGCCCTCTCTTCAAATGGACAATGCGTTATATCCCTTTAACAATGTGGGCGTATCGAGTATGGCACTTTAGCCGGCTTGAATACTCATTTCGTGAATTCTATCTCGAGTATGGGCGACCCCTTCGTGAAGACCAGACCAACACGCACCTAGAATATCTAAGGCGAACAGCACCAGCGAAATACCATGATATTCTAACGCCGAAAATCGAATTTGGTTGTAAACGAAAGGTTATGGATACTGGGTATTTTGATTGCCTGCATCGGGAAAATATGGAGCTGATTGCTACAGACCCCATTGAAGAAATAAAGGAAACAGGTGTAATAACGAAGTCAGGGAGAACCATTAACGCAGATGCAATTGTTCTTGCGACCGGATTTCAGACGCAGCAGGTCCTTCACCCCCTAGAAATTAGAGGCAAGAAAGGTGTCTCGCTGATGGAACATGTAAGACACCCTTATTCCCCTTTGAGCTTTACGCATAAGTAACCATGCTCACTCTATGGTGTATAGTGGCAAGATTTCGCAGACAACACTCCGCAGGCCTACTATGGCACATGTGTATCTGGGTTCCCCAACTTTTTTATTATGATGGGCCCAAACACTGCAACAGGTCACCTGTCGGTGATATATACTTCTGAATGCCAAATAAACTTCGCGATCCGTGCGATCCGGCCTGTTATGCAATCCCTCTACCCATCCCCGCTTCAAGCCTTCAACCCATTTGGAGGAAAATCATGCGATACAGTTGCAGTGACTCCGAGGGCAGAGCAGGAGGATAACTCATGGGTTCAATCTGCCCTTAAAGGGTTCGTATGGGCATCCGGCTGCAGCAATTGGTACGTAGATGCATCTACTGGGAAAAACACGATGCTTTATCCAGATTGGCAGTTGAAGTACTGGTTGCGCAGCATATTCATACCATTCAAGTCCGATTTCGAGTTCAGCTCCAGCGAGGTACGGGTCATGGGTAAAAACAACGGACAAAAGGGCAAGCCATATCAGACATCCATGTTGGTTGGATCAGGCTTGGGTCTTGCGGTTGTTGCTACATTCGCAGCAGGGATAAAATATGACACGAAAGTCAGGGATCTAGGATTCAAGGGAAGCCACCAAGTGGTCGCTATTTGGAAGGACCTGATGACCCAGCTGATCTCGTCCAAGGAATAATAATGTACATGTTCTGCCTGTTATGCAGTCGAAACAAGAACCTTACTTTCGTGACCTGGATGCTCGTGTCCTTCGCTTCTTCGGCACAGGCTCAAAAGCACTAGGGTTAGCTTTAGGCCCCGTATCTTCACCTTCAGATAGTTCCCTTTTGACGGAGATTCGAGTGGTAACTCGAATTCCATCTTCTTCCGCCTCTTCCTTCACTTGCGTTGCTTCTACTTTCGACTCAACTTTAAGGGTTTCTGTAGACTGGTCGTGGAGCTCAGTTTTGGGGTTCAATCGGTCCGAAAACGATCTGAGATTGGCTGTAAATAGAACACTCTGTGCCCAGCCGGCTTCTTTGCCCCATAGCTCTCTAAAATGGTCACCAACAGCATCGTATGTTGCTTTATTTAGAGTCTTCTGCTTCCCCTTTCCAAATTTGTAGTCACGTTGAGCAATTTGCCAGACTATTTCATTTATGGGAAGAAAATAGTGAGTATTATATGGTCATACCGTTGATATCAAATACTATGACTTACCATGAGTATCAACAGGAACTGACTCTCCCCAGCCGAGGCCCATTAGGCACACGCAATCCGCGACTTTCGGGCCAACGCCTTGTAAAGCAAGCAGCTGTTCATGTGCCTCTCTATACCCGGATTCATCACCCTTAGCCCCGGACCCAGGTGTTGCAGGCTTCTCGTTAAAGGCAGGCTTTTCGGGATTCCGCAAGCTGTTCAACCATCCCGGCTCCCGTTGGTTTGCCACAATGTTTGCGGTCTGATAGATATATTTGGCCCTATACCCGAACCCAAGCTCCCGCAAATGGGATTCAACACCGGTACCAGTCAAGGCTGAAGGCTCCGGGAAATCATAATATTTCTGGTCGCCCAATTGGCCAATAAACGGGCCATAGTTGATACATAGCTTTTCCACCTGTCAAGTCAAGGTTTAGAGCGTGGATTTATTGAATATAAAACAAGATGTGGGCTTACCATCTGGGATATACGAGCTATGTTGTTATTACTGCTGCAAATGAAAGACACGAGAGTTTCCCAAGCATCCTGTCTCATGATCCGGATACCAGCAAACTGCACTGCTTTCTTTTTGAAATTCGGGTCAGAGGCTGCCCATTGTTCGTATAAATCTGACAGATTATACTCTAGATTGAAATAATGATGGATCAAAGCCTCTGTATCGTCGTCGTCGGGAGTTGCACGTTGTGTTGTCGCATTAGAGACAGGGGGAGTAGGAAGCGTAGATGATTCGACAGACGAAGGTTTGAACGATCTGTACCAAAGTGAGTCCGAGTCCTGTTTCAAGGATAGGACACGCCCGTAGAGCGAACATGTCCACTCGTCGTCCAGCTTTCGCCAGCTGCATTGCATCAGTTAGTTAGTTAGCCAGTAAATCCAGGAACCAAAACCAAATGCACATCTAGTAGGTCGTTTTCTTACCGAAAGCTTTGCCCACACCGAAGAGTCGTATCGATGCACAGTTCCGTTAACGTCAACGGCAGCTTGCGCCACTCCGAGAATCTGCCAATTGACATGTTTAGATGCTAATGTTGTTCTTTATTTTCCACCGCCGTCTTGTTGTCGCGACGTCAAAACTTGAACCTTCCAGATATCGATAAGCTTATTATATAAGCATATGCCAAGGCCGCGTCCCAATGTGGCTTAAGCTGGACATCGAGAACTTCTGGCTCAGATGGACATTTCAGCCAAAAACTTCTGCAAAGCCGCAACGGACGCAATATCAGCTCCTAACTACGGTGTCCTCCCTTTTGTGTATCTTAGCCTGGGTGGAATTGTGTGGCGCGCGTGCTCTGGAGCTTCATTATACCTAGCGTTGGACAAATCCCGCTGCATTCAGCTCTCTCCATAACCTGTCTTGAATCAGCTAACAGGATGAACGGCGAAGGTTATAGCGGAAGAGGTAAGCTTATTCTGCAGCATGTTGTTGATCTAAATTTGTATCTGTTCGTGACTAATGGTTTGATGATCAGAGAGCGGTCGCTCGAGGGATTATTATGTGAGTTTATGGCCACCCATATTCCTACCAAACGAATACCCAGTTTCTGATGGTTGCGGACTTTTTAGGGAGGCCGATCCGGCAGAGACGACCGTCGAGATCGTGGTGAGAGGCGTGAGAGAGGTGATAGAGGTGACAGGGAGCGGAGAAGGTCAAGGTCACCTCACCATGGCTCCAGGTCGTCGCGTCGAGATGGAGAGATGGATTCGTACTCTTCCAGCCGCGACTACCGAGCTAGAGAACGAGAAGATCGGTACCAAAGCCGGCGAGATGACAGGGGCGACTGGGATAGAGACAGAGGAAGTGACAGAAGGCGCGAGCGGCGAGGTGACGATGACGACCGGTCTCGACGCGACAGGGACTTATTTGAGGAGAAATCCCGTGGCGGTCGCGGAAGAGATAGAAAACGGAGCGCAACACCACCCCCCAAGAAAAGAGAGCCTACGCCTGATCTGACTGATGTCGTCCCGATCCTAGAACGAAAACGCCGATTGACTCAGTGGGACATCAAACCTCCTGGGTATGAAAACGTAACAGCGGAGCAGGCGAAGGTGTCAGGGATGTTCCCACTACCAGGCGCACCACGTCAACAAGCGGTTGACCCAAGTCGGCTACAGGCCTTCATGAACCCTCCAGCTGCTTCGGGGTCAAGTAACAACACTCTTCTCAAACCCTCTAATTCCAGACAGTCAAAGCGACTCTTTGCGCATAACATCCCACCAAATGTTACCGAAGATACCCTGCAACAATTCTTCAACTTGCAGCTCAATGGTCTAAATGTCATCAGCGGTGTCGATCCCTGCCAGTCCGTACAGATCTCAAAGGATGGGAAATTTGCACTCCTGGAATTTAACACTGCGGCTGACGCAACTGTTGCCTTAGCGTTCGATGGCATCACCATGGAAGAGCATGAAGCTAACAGAGAAAGCAACGGGGAATCAAATGGAGAAGTAAAGGGCCTAACGATAGTGCGGCCGAAAGATTACATTGTTCCTATCCCAACGGATGAGGAGCCACGTCAAGAGGGTGTTGTGTCGAGCAACGTACCCGACTCACCTAATAAGATTTGCGTATCAAATATTCCTCCATTCATCCAAGAGGACCAAGTCACCATGCTTCTTGTTTCGTTTGGTGAATTGAAATCTTTCGTTCTTGTCAAAGACGTTGGAACTGACGAGTCCAGGGTACGCATTTATCCCGTCTCCAACATATCATTAATATATACATAGACATATACTAACCAGAATCACTAGGGAATTGCCTTCTGCGAGTATCTTGATCCAGCATCAACTGGAATTGCAGTTGAAGGGCTCAACGGCATGGAGCTCGGAGATAGGAGACTTAAAGTTAACCGTGCAAGTATTGGCACCGTACAAGCTGCCGGACTTGATATGGGTGTCAATGCGATGTCCATGTTTGCGAAAACCACCTCACAGGATCTTGAAACCGGGCGAGTGCTCCAGCTGCTGAACATGGTGACTGCTGACGAATTAATCGATAATGAAGACTATGAGGGTAAGATTTTGCCACTTTTCTAGGTACTCTGTGACGGTTTCCACTAATAATAATATCTTGTCCGTCATTTAGAAATTTGCGAAGACGTACAGGAGGAATGTTCCAAATACGGAGTAGTTGAGGAGCTTAAGATTCCCCGTCCTTCCGCCGGTAGCAGGCAAGCTGCCGGTGTAGGAAAGATTTATGTCAAATTCGACTCACCCGAATCTGCGACTAAGGCCCTTCAAGCTCTTGCTGGCAGAAAGTTCCAGGACCGTACTGTCGTTACTACTTACTTTTCAGAGGCAAGCCATCCTAATTCTAATCTGTGCCGTACCTGTTTCATCTTCTGACGCTAACACTATTATAGGAGAATTTTGAAGTCAACGCCTGGTAAATATTGCCGAGCTTATTTGCCTGGCGGATCTGATCTATATCGCTCGGAGCTATCCTTAACCACCATTTTCCAACGAATGGTATGAAACACAGGTCACATTGTGTCTCTTTGGCTTTTCCCTAATCCCACCTTGCGGTATACTTTATTCTTCTGATTTTTTTTTTTTGAAGGAGAGGCTATTCTCGAGACAAGTCCAGTGTACAATATCGAAGCGCTGTAAAATCTAACTTACTTTCCAAAACCTGCTTTTGTGCTTGATAGTGTTCCATAGGCCCTTAGCCATCCATGGGTGGCCTCACATCTCGAAGTGGCATGACGTGTAGTGGCCCTGGTGACCCATGGCTCTATAACTCTCGATTCAAGGATGGCTCTCGGGCCGTCGTATGTGTACAGGTAGCGGGTTTGTGGGTAGAACATGGACTGCAGAGTCGAACAGTCCGTGATGGCAGATGTGCTGGCCTGCGGGCTCGCTGTCACATAGTAAACAAGACTTTCCAGCACAATCGAAGACGAATAATACGTCAGAGCCATGCAATGCAGCCTGTTCCGTTTGAACAGACATTCAATAGTGGACTTCACCAGCTGCAGAGTCACCAAGAATCTGATAAAACGGTGTGACTTTGGTGGCCGTCCTTTGCCCCGACGAGCACCGTCCAGCACGGGTTTGGCAGCCATCTGTGGACATCAGACTGTTCCGGTGCGACAGGAGGTGCATCTCGAAGCCCGCCCGTCTCCTATCAGCCAACGCCAATAATGGCAGAGACAGCAAGCAAGTACCTCCGTGACGGCAGATGCTACGTGCCATGATGTAACCATCAGTATTCTCTGCGCGAGTCGAATAACTAACTACTCTGAAACCTCCTATTTGCCAGTTGGCTAACTGGCCGGTTAGCTCTGCATGGAATCATTTCGTGGACCATATTGAAAGCCTCCAGACACCACCAAACACCATAACCAACTAGTTAACTAGCTAACGAACTCGATAGTCAGCTATGATCTCATCGGCTGTGTCACAGTGACCCCGAAGTTGCAGACCGCCAGGCGCTAAATAACTAACTAGCATTGCACCAGCTATAACTAGGTAACTAACAAGTTACGACACTGCATGCCCCGGAGGAACCGTGGAGCAGGAACACGACATCCATCCAGCGAGTTATGATATGGTCGTCGTTACTTGAGATGTTATAGCACTCGCATGTGGGCAGGCGAACAGACGCTGTTGATGCCCAACACGAGCCGTAACCGTATCGAATTTACCCACGCTGGCTCACCAACAGGCACCGGAGCAAAGGGTACCCTGGGATAGGTCCGGGTATCTATCCCTTGCGATTTTTGACTTCCTTTCCACATGGAAAGGTCCCATCTGTCTGCGAGTATCCATGGCTTGTCCTCGGCAAATACAGTTACAGTGGATGCAGTGATGACATATCGCAGCGAGCTTCATGTGCGAAAAGGCCCCAACACGAGATGGAGAATACCCATCATTCGCATCAGTACGAGGGGGGCAGCCAAGCTGGGAGGCGTGTAACTCAGGATTGTTTTCCGGTCGCTCCTTAGAAAAGGCCATAATGGGGACCTACTTATATCAATTGAGTTACGCAGCACCGGGTCGTTAATCCCATACATAAAAACCTCGCTAATGACGGAATAATAGATACCCTGGGCGGGTACGGCTGTCCAAACATTAGCACGACAGGGGGGAGAAAATGCGGGAGAAGAATAAGATAAGAAGCGAAGGGCCTTCGGGCGTAACTGGCTGGGCCAGCCGGTTGAGAAGTTTCGCAGACAAGCCGCTGGGTGGTAACCAAAGCGGCCTGTTTCCAACAGGAGTATATGTAGACGCTGCATGCATAGTGTCCAGACGGGGTCCAGATGGTACAAAGCGGGCCTCGGGCGGGCGACAGTATGGGGATGCGTATGGGGTCGGGCGGGAGGGTGCAGTTACAGGGCCGGCATGAAAGCGGAGCGCGCAGCAAGGATAGCGAGTGGAATGGGCGACGAAGAGAAGCTGAAGAAGGATACCTACAGGGAGTAACTATAAACGGGTTTGTTACTGATAGTGGAGTGGGCAGAGTAATGCATGATGGTAGCCGTGTAGATATCTATGAACATCAATGGCATGAAAAGTACGCTCCTATATACGTACATGCAATGAACAGAAAATACAAGCAAATATTCTAGTTGACCAGACCCATCCCCGTCCGTTCCAGCACCTGATGAACACCCAGGATGATATAGATGGTATATTTAAAAGGGAAAAGAAAACATAGAGATGGATATAAGAACCAACAACGAAAATCAAGGGGTAGGAGAACAGGCCTTGGTGATAGTGTATTAAAACGAGATATCGGTTTCAACGCGGTCAGGAAGGATAGAGAGTGAAAGGGACAGATTGCGTATGTGTGGCGTGTGTAGTTGATTGTAGATGGATCAAAATATATGAAAATAAAAAGGAGAAAAAAGATTAAATAAAGTAAGAGTGATGCCTCCGGTTGACATGTTGTCATGACAGCGTTATCCCTCAGACACATGAAGCCGGAAGGGAGCGTTAGGTAAAAAGAAACTGGCTGATTTTGTTTGCCTTGGGGCAAGGGTATGTATGGCATGGTATCCGGAATGGTGTGTAATGAGCCTCCCGATGACCGCGGCGAAAGGTAGGGGGGAAGTGAGGGAGTGAATGAAAAGGATTAAAAGCGTTGTGCAGTGTGTATAGTATTGTACAGCGCTCAATGGGCGTCGTTGTTTTATTGTCCAATGCCCTTCAGAGAGGTGCGATGCGAGACCCTAACCTTACTGCTGCCACATATACACGTAGGAATGTTCGGGTTGAGTGGAGAGCGAGATGGATAACTAGAGTGGTATAAGTGGCGCCGTCTTGGTATGCCGGCAAGCGAGAGGGGCATGGATGGATGTTTCCATCGCCCTCCCACGAGGCTAGGGAAGGGAGGGGAAAGGGGGTACCACCACATGGGAGGGACGTAAGATGCCGTTTCCGTCTCGTATCTCGGTCGAGCGACGGTCTCTGGTAGTCTTGTCGAAAAGACGGACATTCAGTGTTGGTTGTATATCTCGGACAGAGCCTTTCAACCTAGCCGTTTTATACAATTATACGTTTCGGTCAGAGCAGCGGCTTTCGGAAGGTTGATAGCCTCGAGTTCGGGCAGCAGCAGCGCCTGGGGCAAAAGTCGATTGCGGATCCCAGTCTCGTACGTTTGGCTCGGCTCGCTGAGCGCTGGGTGGGCGAGGCCTAGAGAAGCTCATGGCAGGGTTCGGGTACTTGATTTCGTCCCTGGTGCAGTCTACGCTTTCCTTTGCCCCGGATACCTTGAAGGTGGTCATGGATAGGTCTGACTGGCGGGACATGGAAAGCAAAGGATCGGGCGACTTGGTGTTGTTGTACCGAGACGAGGAGCTCAGCATCGCATAGTCCTTGTTTGGCGTGATCCCCCGGGGCGGAAACTCCTGTTTGGGCTGAAATTTGCTCCTGAAGAATTGCACCCAGCCGGGGATCATGGAGACGCGGCCCAGGAGCAGCACCGACCAGAAGCCGCAACAGGGCAGCAGGAGCAGAACGGTCAGTACCAGGCCTTCGGAGGGACCGCCCAGGCTCATCTGGCTCTCGGGGAGGCACTTCTTGACGTTGCCGTTCGTCAGGACAATGCAGACAAGCCAGGGGTGAGCCCGATCGATATTTTCCGGGGTCTTCTCGACGGATCGATCGAGACTGATGAAGACGAGGGTGAAGAAGATGGCGTATGTCATGACGACCAGGACGACGGCAATGCCTCTCCATTGCATTTTGATGACATGTTTGACACGCTTGAAGGTCGCGCGGTAGGTGAGAGTCGTTACGCTGCCGGTGTATGACGGGAACGCAGAGCTCGTGTCTGTGGGCGGTTTTTCTTCAAACACTGATCGAATATAAACCTGCATGCAGTAGAGCAAGGTGATGAGATGGACAAGCATCGATGCACCGGAGATGGACAGGATGGGTCCCCAGAAGTCTGCGATGCTGTGGTCATGGTTAATATGGCAGATGGTTCCAAACCTGTAGGAGACACCCGTCAGAACCAGGCCGATGGTGATGCCCATGGGTGGTATGGCCCAGCCGATGGCCAGAGAGCCCAGGAAGAACCGTTGTCCGAGCACCAGGTTCCAACATATCTGCAGGTGAAGTGACAACGTTCGAAAGAAACCTTGAAACCGGGCAGTTAGCAAGATGATGGATAAAATATGGCAGATATAGAGGCAAGGACATACTCCATGTTACACTTGTCCAAGCACCGAATAGGACAACGGCACCGGACCAGGCACAGGACATCTCTGAGAACATGTCGTTTGGGGTAATTTCATTGTAGCATTGCTGCGGTTTTGATGCCAGGGGTATAATGAAGCCCAGCTATAGCATTGTTAGATATTTATTCCATAATAATAATAATAATAAAGGCAGATTGTTATAGGAAGACATACTTGTAAGGACATTATCCCTAATATTAGGCAGACATTCAGATAGTGACGATGGGTCACTTTTACCGGTAATATGGCGTAGGACACCAGCAGCAATGCATTGGCAAGAAAGGCCGCAACGGCGAGCCAGTTGGCTACTTGCGTCCTATGTGCGAAGCCTAGCAGGTTGAATATCTTGTAAGCGATGGTTCAATTCATCTCTAGTGGGCGAGGAAAAGGGTGCAAATAAGATATGAGCAAGAGGGCATTAATCCGTCCATACCTGGGGAGTATTTCCATGCACCTACTGGACATGGTAGACAGCAGGAGATTCTAGTATACTGGCTAGTGCAGAACCGGCCTTCCACGACTGATAAGAGAATGGCAGTTAGATATATGAACAAGAAGAAGAAGAAGAAAAGAAGGGGAAAGAGATGTCAATTGATGCATGCATGGACTTACAGCCTCCCCGCGGAGGGAACAAGTTCTCCTGAAGGAATGGCGATGGACATAGCCCTTGATGGGGGTGCTTTGGGAGTAGGTCTGGCATCTTGATATCGGCGTGGCAGCGGCGGCGGCGTCAGAGCAGACGAATAACAGGCTCTTCGGAGCCAGAATAAAGAAGAAAGAAAGAAAGAAAGAAAGAAAGAAAGAAAGGTAGAGAGAGATAGGCAGATGCGAATCCTGCGTATCCAGCGTATCCTCCTCTTTCCTACTCAAAGCACCACGACAGAATACGGCCCTTCGGATTCATCGATGGGAGAGGCAGACGGTAGTTTTGCCCATGAAAGCTGCGGCTCGAGACCAGGCCGTCGAATCCAGCGTGGGAGCGTATAATATTTAATACTCTCGAGCGGAGAGGAGGAGGAGGAGGAGGAGGGAGGGGAGGGGGGACAGTCAAGAGGCCGGCGGTTTGTTTGGTATAGAGCTAAGCTTCAAATAAAATAAATAGGCCAAAAAAAGTACGCCCAAGACGAAACGAGGGACAGCAGCTAGGGGGTGTTTAATTTTCCGTGACTGCAGGTCTGAACCGTTATAATAAGCCCACGAACTAGATGTAGCGTGCGTGGCAAGGAAGGGGATGGAGAGGGGGGGGGGAATTGGTTTGGTTTAGTTAGTAGTATCAAGAGGAAGCAAAAAGCGAAGGGAAGAAGAAAAAGAAAGAGGAAAAGAAAGATCCGGCCGGGCAGGGAGGTTGTTTTGTATAAAAAGAGAAGAGGAAGAAGGAAGCAAGCGAAGGGATGTAAGTACGAAAAGCAAAACCTGGGGAAGAAGAAGAGGCAGAGGAGTCGAGGCCAGGGCAATATGGATATGAAGAAGAAAAAAGAAGAAGAAGAAGGAGTAAGAAGGAGACCCTCCGTGCTAGGCAAAGGCAAAAATAAAATTCTCTAACCATTCATCCGTTGGGACCCAAGATTCAGACGCAGATATAGTGTGATATAGCAAGCTAAGAATAGGATAGGGCCGCTGGTGGGTGATTGCTTGGGAATGGCGGGTTCGGTACTTTTGCCAGCATCAAATAGCACGCGCTGGCCGGTAAGTTAGCTCAGAGTGGGACAGCTTAGCAGAGGCCAGTAAGTAAGTAAGTACTTAAGAGGCCAGTAAGTAAGTAAGTACTTAAGAGGCCAGTAAGTAAGTAAGTACTTAAGAGGCCAGCAAGCGTGTGGTTTAGTAGTATTATTGTAGTATATGTAAGTAAAGTAGCGAGTGCAAGTTAGAGTAATGCAATTGAACGATCGTCCCAGGAAAAAGCAAGGGGGATGGGAGAGAGGAAGAAGAAAAGAAGCAAAGAAGACGCAGGCAAAAGAAACGAGCCCCGATCCATCCACTTGTTTTTTGCGGGTAAGGATTATACTTAGCAGTAAAACCCATGGGCCCTTATAATTTTGCAGCCATCTCCGGTCGATGTGGGTGCGGAGCGTTGGCCCTCGAGATGGGCTTGTCTTGATCCATCCCCTTTGCTGTCGTCTCCTCAGGGGGGTTGGAAATGATGGCAGGGGGTGACCCTTGATACGGAGTCAGGAAGTACTTTGAGTATATACTTAAGTACGGGCTCCCTTGCAACAGGCCTAGAGGACCTACTTGGGGGGAGAGAACCAGATAGTAGGGAGCAGCCAGAGCCATGAAGCCATCCATATAGGGGTGACGAGGATCCAGGTGGGCAGATGGCAAAAGGCGAATGAAAAGGCTGAAGAAGTCCCGCCCAGCAAGAGCCCAGCAGCCAAAGAAGGCAGACGAACGCTCGCAGGCCGCTTCTTCTTCGTCCTTTTTTGCTTTTCTTTTGGCCTCTAACTGCCCTTTTGCTGTGCGTGCTTGCGCTGTGGCAGGCCGGGCCATCGAAGGGGGACGAGGGTTCACGGCTCCAGCTGTCCAACCTATCACGGCCGGCAAGTCCCCTCCACCGCTGCGGCCCAGGATGCAGGAGGCCATGCGGATCATGAGAGATGGAGCCAGGAACAGGCTTGGGCTTGGTTGAGTGGATGGGCGGCGGCGACCCTGCGCCCTCGAGCTGCTGCCACGGACCAGTATCATAACTTAGTCGAGTATTTGATGTGACGGGCCAGTCGTCGAGGGCTTCTTCTTCGTCTTGGTGACGGCGATGGATGGATGAATGATGATTGATTGATTGACTGGCGGCCACCACGGAGATGAGCTGCGGCCGAACCATGGCTCGCAGGGCCGCGAGGACGAGCGAGATGACGCTGCTGGCGGGCCGGAAGACTGGCCGCCCACGCCACACTGCCACTCGCTGCTTGGAGAAGTCTCCTCTCCCTGGGCGCTGGCTGGATGGCTGCCTTACGGTCGTGGATGGAGCCGCCGGTCAACTTTCGTCTGTCCATGGCAGCGCGAGCGTCGCCGGCGGTGGAGTGACCAAGCCGGCACAGGCATTCGTCCGTCGTATCAGGCGCAGCACTGGAGGCCCAGGTCCCATCGGCACTTCTCGAGATGTCCTCAGCAGCGCACTAGGACTACGTACGTTGGCTGGTTACTCTGTTACGCGGTGGTTCTGCTGGTGACGTTCCAGGGGTTGATTTGATGTCGGGATTTTCGATATAATAAAAAAAAAAAAAAAAGGGGCTCGATGGCGATGGCGATGCGGCTCTGAAACCAGCCAGAAAGCCGCGTGACGACAGACTCCCAACGGTCCATAGTCGCAGGTAGACAGCTGGTCGAGCGAGATACGGGGGGGGGGAAGGGGGTCAAGCAGTCTGACGTCTCCAGATGCTGGCTTGACCCAGGCTGGGGCGCAGCTCCAGCGAGCCATCCATGTCTAGTACTTACTGGGCTGGCTTGCCTCGTAGGCGAAGACAGCAGCCAGCAGCCAGCAGCCAGCAGCAGGATCGTGATACGCCCTTGTTCCTCGCACTAGCGACGCTGCCGGGCATGGGCTGATGCAGGTCTGTCTGGGCAGAGACTGGACTCTTACGGAGCACTCTAAGTATATGCTTGCTTTGCTTCTCCCGGGGGAGGGTCTCTCTCTCTACGGGACCTCTTTTGACATCCAGCTTCTCTCTCGACAGTATGTAAAATAACATGCCCCTGGATAACCTGGAGAAGACAAGACTTTTGGTGACCGGGTTCATTATAGCCCCGTTATACATATATTACCTACTATGGCTGGCAGCGCCCCCCCTTATTGATCGGGCTAACCAGAGCAACCAACCACCTGGTCGACTAATCTCTGGCTAATATCTAAGCAAAGAAGACTAACTCGCGAGCTATTAGACTGCTAAACTGCACGACTCAGGCGAGGAGAGGGCCTCCGTTTCGCCGGCGGCGCTGCGTGCATAGGGTTACCTAGCCGGAGACGAGACCCTCCTCACCCATGCCAATTTTATATCGAGCCGTGGCCAGGGATGGGCGCTCCTTTTGATATCGCCCTCCAGGACGGCTGTTTTGCTGCACTCCAACGCCCTGCCCCCCCTGGGGCTTTGAGGCTTCTAGAAGGCTGCTAGCGTCTCTTCTCTCTCGCCTGCTGGTGTGCGTCGCCGTTTTGAGTCGAACCAGCCCGTCGCCGGCTCGTCTTCCCGGCGGCGTACGGAGTCCGGGTCGCTGCTGAGAATGGCCGTATACTTATCACCATCACAGCTGCCTGCCTGCCTGCCTGCCTGCATAGCTGGAGTTAAGAGTAGCACGCCACCAGCCGAAAAGCACAGAGCAGGCCATCGACAGCTAACTGCAGCCCACATCGGCCGTGGCTCGGGTGTAGATCGATGCAGAGGATTCACTAGTGGCGGGCTTGTTGTGACCGTCGCTTGCTCTAAAACGTCTTGCCTCGACACGAACCATGGAACCAGGCTCGGACTATCTCCCTGCCATGCGTCTCGTTCCAGTATCATTCTCTTCTTGTCCGTTTGCCTCCAGTCAGTGACGAAAGCCGGGTTCCATGGTTGGGCCCTGGACGGAGCCGTTTGAGACCGTCCTACCCATGGGCATCTGCTATCCGCCGGCTAGCTAGCTAACCATCCAACACGGGTGAAACCCTTTCTCTCTCTCTCTCTCTCTCTCTTTCTTTCTTTCGATTGACTGCGCAGCAAGAACACCGCCCTGGCTGGCTCGGCGTTGCTCCAGGGTATACATATACTCTCGATATAGTATACCCATCCACACTCAAAGCGGTGGGATGGCTGGGGGGGGGAGGGGGCTTCTTCTTGTCTTTCCACAGGCCCGCCATTTCCGCCAGCATGAAGGACGGGGGAGAAATGGAAGAAAACAAGCTCAATAATTATGGGTAATATCGCCACGCTGCAGAAGAGGGAAAATGCAGGAGAGAGGAAGAAGAAGAAGAAGAAGAAGCAGCCAAAAGGGCGTCAAAGAGTGTGTAACATTCAGCCTGCAAAAGACAGAGCAGACAACAGGCCGGGGCTAATAGTTGATGGAGGCCAGCGAGCTCGAGTCAGCTAGCTACAGAGGCCGGCCAACACTACCAACTTTCCACGTTGCTGGGAAAAGAAGAAAAGAAGAAAAGAAGCCCTTGCTAGACTCGAGACTATCGATTCGGAAGATGCTTTATCCAACGTAGAGTTAACTATAACTCTGCTTTTCGACAGCTGCTGTGGTGTTGGTTGGTAGAGGCATCCTATGGTTAGCCTCTCGCTACGGCAAACATACGGGGCATCTTGCGTCTTGATATCACCATGCGTTTACTCCGTACGGTGCATCATCATCTCTCGTCGACTCTGCTCCCTTCCGGCGGATCTCCTGCTGCATAGATAGGGACTTAAGTGCACGGCTGCATCTATGCATATCTTATATGTGCAGGCCGCGTGTTGTACTTTTCTCATCACCAAGTATACGGAGTCCAGTTGATATTATAGTCACTGCCATCTAACTATATGCATGGATGTTCGACGCCAGAGTCTGGTGGGCTCCCCTCCTAAGAGTTTAATGGACAGGGACATGGACAGGGACAGGGAGCAGGCATCTGAGCTGGTCGGAACTTACCATGTCTGCGGTCGAGGGAGACGAGGACTCTCTCTTGCGTCTCACATAAGGCGAGATTCGCTGGACGCTCTCCTCCCCGTCTGGCAGGGATGTCCGGAGTAACCGTATACTTTGTCCCTCCAGGGCAGAGGCCGGCCGTTGATGCGTGCAGCGCAAGATCAGGGCCTTGCTCATCAACGGGTGATAGCTCACTCAGTCTATCATGCTGGAGCCTGCCATCATCTGCTTGTTGGATGCGGGAAGGAAGACGCCGTGGATGGTCAGGTCAACCTCCCTAGGCCTCTCGCTTGGGCTGGCAGTCAAGATATATCTCGTTTCCTGCACGATGTAACAGATCGGATGGAGTGCCACAGATAGATTGCCCTGCTGTCCCCGTCCGTCTGCTCTATCTACCTCAGGCCAGGCATCTCCTTCACCCATCCTTATACTTTATGTAAGTATGTCCAACTTTCTAGAACATCTTCATCCTCCCATTTCCTGGGCGTCCCGCAAGCCCACAGGCGTCCGGGAGACTTGCTGCTGCTGCTGCTCCTCCTCCTCCTTCTCTTGCCTCCCGTCTTCCGCCCCCTGTGCATACTTCGCGCCTTGCTATGATTCATGCGGCGGATGCTGCTGGATGCGAGGAGGATGGATGCTTGCTTAGAACCACACACGAATCAGACAACCCAGACGCCCATGTCCGTCCACCGTCATCGTCGTGTGCACCTCGTCTCGTCTCGTCTCGTGCGCAGCCAGCCATGACTTGCATCGGCCGCCGGGATCATCGTGGCCAATGAAACACGCGACTTGACCAATTCTGTTGACGAGCAGAGCCATTGGTCCCATATGCCCGAACGACGGAGAAACTTACACAGAAAGCAGAAGAAAAGACAGCCTGCTTTTACTCTTATTCTTCAACGTCCATTATCCCGTTGCGGTTGTTGTGGCTGCTCGTCTTTTTTTTTGGCGGCGGGAAGGCCGGGACATCATGCACTGAGCAAACACGGGGAGTATCGACAACGAGATTGCGATCCAACAGCTGTGCCAGGGCCACGGCTGATGCCGATGGGCTTTCGCCTCCGCCTGTCTTGCTCTTGCGAATTCGCTGCTCCACGATAACTTCGCACTCATCCACCTCGCTCTTCATGCACGGCGTTGCCTGCCAAGCTGCACAGCGCTGGAGCAAGGTCTCATCGACGCTGACTGGCCTCGTCCACCCGATCCCTGGAGAAACAACAAGTACAAGTTGTTTGTATGTACACTGTGCATGATGTTGGTGACGGTCCAGCCATATGCAGCCTTCCAGCGGTGAACTGATGGATATCCATCATGATTCGCTGCACATCCCCGTTTCGCTGCTTGTCAATCACTCACTCACTCTCTCTCTCTTCATCCATCCATCCATCCAGCTCGCCCAGCCAGGAACCTGACAGGCTGCTGACATACCCATAATCCATACCTATCCCTTGGCTACGTACGGAGTACTATCGACCTGCAAACATATGATAACCCCAGGGGGGGGAAAGCCACGAAAGCTCGTTTAAATAACGCAATCAATGTTTCTCCCCTGGTCCATCATCCATCCCCGGGTACGTAAGTACCTGTGTTCGCAGTTGGCAGGACAGGGTTGTCTTGGGGGATCTTGCGAAGCGAGCGAGCCCTCCAGCCCATCCAACCAACTATGGGATCCGAGAAGGGGGTTCACCCGTTCTTTGCTAGCCCGCGCCAGGCCGATATCTCCCGACTCAGTGGTCAAAGAGTTCGTTGTGATGGGGGTGTTGGAGGGCTTGTGCGACGGATATACGAAGATGTCTCTTTCTTCCTTCCCCTGCCGAACTGCATATGGAGCTGGGGCAGGAGGATACGCAAGAACAATTTACTAATCTTCTTTGGTAAGGTGAAGGACCTTGAAAAAGAAATATACATTTGAAATCTGTCCAAAGATCCAGACACTCGCACAGGCTTATCTCACTCTCACTATGAACCAACGCTGCAGGGTTCGGCGGTTGAACTGGAGGCCTGAGCCGCCCGCGAACCTCCGAGGCTGAAAGGCGCAAAGCTGGATCGAATGACTCTCACGATAGACAAATTTCCGAGGTGAGACAGGTAGGCTATGGAGCTATCGATCTGGCTGATCGTGGACATGCAGAGATTTTTTTTTTTCTCTTTGTCTGAGCAATATGGGTTCTAGAAGGCATAAATGAAGGCAAATTTCTTCTATATGGGGTAGAATAGGTATTAAGTGTCTTAAGAATTCCACTTCTTGAGAACTCCATCGCGGCAAGCGATTTTGATCCCTCCAGCCGGGCATCTCCAATTCAATTTCCAGTAATAAAAGGAGACCTAGAAAAAAAAATTGCAGGAGATATTGACCGAAGTACCTTCAGCTTAGACCCTTTGCTCAAGTATGGTACGCTTGTCTCTGTCTAGCACCAGGACGAGACTAAGACTCGGTTCCCGTCCTGCGACTTTGACTGTCTATTGTTTGATCGTCAGAATCGACGTCATGCATGTTATCCCAGGCTCATGTAGCAGCTGGAGCGTTGGCAACGGGCTGGGCCATGGACGAACGGAGGTAATTTTAAGGTCGAAGGGAAAGTTAAGACACCGCAGGCGGGTTCCTGATACTCGGAACAACCGAAAGCTCATTTCCAATCCTATCAGATATAGCTTTCCGTCTATATATCGTTGATATATAGCATATAGCCATATTAGAACCTGCCTTTTTCGAAAAAGTGCTGCTGCAGGCGAAAGACGGGGTAAGAAAAAAAAATAAATATAAAAATTTAAATATGAAAATAAAAAGGATATAAATTAATTAATTAGTCGACGGACATCTGATATGTGGGCAATTGTGCATTACTGCTATGCATCTGGCTTAGCAAGGAATGTTAAACACCTTCCAAACAGATACCAGGCCTCAGCACGTCATATCACCAACCATATGTTATACCCGTACGTCCATCATGATCAGATATTTCGCCGGACGAACCGACGAAAGGGTTCCCCGTAGTGTCGATAGTCCGTAAGTATATATCTTATCACGCTTGCATTTGACAACAGCGGAATTAAACCTAAGCCATAAAAAGCTTCGTTAGTCAATGCGTACCGACAGATAAGGAGCAATGCAGACATCGAGATCGGTTGTGAGGAATCAGAAGTCCATTAAGATCATTGAAGCTGGACCAGAAGAGGCACAGCTTCTGACATAAGAGGTACCAGAAAAAAAAAAGTAAAGTGAGATATCATCATGAAAGCCAGGTGACAAATATTTTGTGCGGTGCGGAAGATTTCAGCGCAATTGGAGGGAGGACAGTACATACCTCTCTTACATGGCAGCTACCTAGGTCGCAGCAACGATCACCGCATGCTTCCTACCTATGCTCATCATATCTCACCTGTCTCTCTCTCCACGGCTTGCAAAAGGCCAAAAGACAGTGAGTCTCGCATCGCTTGACGCTCGCTGAGAAAGAAAAAGGCCCAAAGCCTGAAGTTGAACAAACGAAAAAAACTTCGCTGTGGACGAAAAGAAAATAAAAAAGAGAAGAAAAAAAAAGCCGGCCAAATAAAAGGAACCATCACGTGACAGATCGACCGTGGCTGCAGCAGAAGCTTGCTTGACCCTGTGTTGGAGGCATCCTTAATATTGCGGCCAGGAGGGTAATTCGCTGTTCGAGTCTGGTGATCTGTGATACCCCAGATGATGATGATGCGATCCAGCCTGGTCGTTACAGGGCTCGAGAACTAGCCCGCCGTTTACTCGGTCGATATCGTCGACACATGCGGCCAGCAGGACTACTTAAAACACTGAGGGCTTCCCCAGGAAAAAGGAGGTCTCTTTTTCCCCCTCTCCCCGTGAAGACCCTGAGCTGCAGCTGTGATCTGGCTATCCACTGCCTGTGAAAAGTTGACACACAAAGTCCGCTGTCATGGCGGTAAGCAGTTTTATCGATATGTTTAGGCGTGGCCTGGCGCCCGCCGAGTCCAGCCAGGCTGCTTATGAACCGAACAAGGGGAAGCTTCAGAGTCGCATGGCCGACGTTTTTCAGCGAACCTTTGACCTTGGCTTCACGTCCTTCGGCGGTCCACCAGTGCATTTTAGAACTCTTCACCGGCGATTCGTGTCGGACGCTGGGAGGAGAGTACCATGGGTTGATGAGCAAACGGTGTGGACATGTCACATCTCACTTCAACTTTCGCCTGTAGACTACCTGAAGCTAACCTCGATGGGGTGTTGTATAGTACCAGGAGCTCTTTGCGATAAGTCAGGCCCTTCCTGGGCCTGGGAGTACAAAGATGCTCTTCTGCATAACAATGATACATGCAGGCTTTCTCCCTGCAGTGGTCGCTTTCTTCCTATGGACGTTAGTGTCTCCCTTGCACCTCTTTTTTTTTTGTATATGCAGAATGATAATATTGATATGTTTTGAGTATATCATAGCCTTCCGGGTGCTATTGGAATGTTCGGTCTCGCTCTTGGAGTTGCAAAGCTTGACCAGAACCTTCCGACCATAGTATATGCTTTCCTTTCCGGATTGAATGCTTCGACCGTTGGTATCATCGCTCTCGCAGCAGTACAGGTAAATATGGCATCAAAATTGAGGAAAGGGCAGAGAAAAAAGAGGATCGAAAGGCTAACCACTCTTCAGTTAGCGGAGAAGTCTATTCAAGACAAAGTAACCAGAATACTGGTTATATTTGGCGGATCGGCTGGCCTGTGCTACCAAGCCATATGGTATTTTCCGATCCTCATATTGATTGGTGGTTGCACGACTGCAGTATGGGATCTGATCGCTCAACCATACATCACAAAGTTGAGAGATAAACTTCGTCAAAGGCGCTCGAGTTCCTCGGGTGACGCTGAGGCGGGCATTGATCATGTGGGGGTCCAATTAAACCATCCTCATCAATCTTTAGCACTTCAGCGGCGCCGCGTTCTAGCCGGGAGAGCGCAAGAGCCCCAAGCCGATCTTCCCCAGCTTCGACGTTCAGATAGCTCAACCATAATACCTGATAGCCCTAGCACCCTCGTGGGCTCGGATTCAAATCAACCGATGGACACACACTCTCACTCTCTGCATATGAAATGGGGTATTCTGATCATCGTCCTCTTCTTTGGTTCGTGCTCTCAATATTGCCCCCTGCATCCCTGAATACCATGAACTAAAGGATAAGTTACTATATAGCAAGTTTCGTTGCCATACTGGTGGTGCGCGAGGGAATGGAGAAGCCCATGCTTGACCTTGACCTCTTCTCCAACCTGTATCTTGCCGGAACGGTGATATTTGGCGGTGGCCCAGTCGTCATCCCTTTGCTTCGTGAGTATGTTGTAGGGCCGGGCTGGGTCTCTCCACGAGACTTCCTCATCGGCCTAGCCCTTATCCAGGCCTTCCCTGGGCCAAATTTCAATTTTGCCGTATATCTAGGCGGGCTTGCAGTAGCCTCAATGCATTCTCCAACTATCCTGGGCTCTGCAATGGCGTTCGTTGCAATCTACATCCCTGGAATGGCTCTGGCCGTTGGGTTCCAAAGTTGCTGGAGTGTCCTGCGGAAATATCCACTAACAACAAGCTGTCTCAGAGGAATGAACTCAGCTGCAGTAGGCCTGGTGTTCACCGCTGTGTATCGCCTCTGGGAGATCGGCTATCTGAGCGCCAATGCATCACAGGGTCAAAGCCTGGGAATGGAGCCCTTTTGGGTTGTCGTGGCGGCTATAACCTATGCTGAGAATGCTTGGTTCAGAGTGCCCCCCGCCATTGCTATTGCCATCGGTGGCATATTGGGCCTTTGCTGGTATGCTGTCGTACAGCGAAATAGTTGACCTGTTCCTTTGATACACATCATACTCGAGCTGCCTCCTGGCTCTCTCCTTATGAGTTGTTCAACATCTTTCATGTAGACCTTATAATATAAACTTTCAAGTGAGATGATATTGATCACGTGGATCGTCATTGTAATATATATATATACTCGTAATTTTGGTATTTTTACCACCTAAATACACGATATAAGCGACAGCCGTTCACGTGATCACACATCCGCCCGCGATTTTTGATTTTACCGACAAAAATTAAATCTTCAATTTTGCGACGTGAAGGAACTTCTCGACATCGACACATCTCATCCGCCAACTTTTGCTCTTCGCCAGCGCCTCCAACACCGTCAATATGGGTCGTCTTCACAGCAAGGGCAAGGGCATTTCTGCCTCTGCCATCCCTTACTCTCGCACCGCTCCCGCCTGGTTGAAGACCACTCCGGATCAGGTTGTCGACCACATCTGCAAGATGGCCAAGAAGGGTGCTACTCCATCTCAGATCGGTGTTGTCCTCCGTGATAGCCACGGCATTGCCCAAGTCAAGGTTGTTACTGGTATGTGCATGGTTGGAGCTGAGACCTGAAATCCGTCTGAAATCTGTCTTTGCGCCAACAACATTTAAACTAATATGTTTTCGCGTATATAGGAAACAAGATCCTCCGCATCCTCAAGTCCAACGGTACGAATTTGCATAGACACCCTTCATGTGGGAGGTGATATGATTGTTTAGAGGAGCGCTTCAACGTGAGAGATTGTTGAACATTCTCTAAGCTCAATCACCTCATATAATATAAAGATTGAACGTTTTCAGCGCTCCTCTGGGGCCATGTTCTTTCCATACTGCCTCTGCTTGGTCATGATCGGCTGACAGAGTGATTTTTGTAAACTTGTATAGGCCTCGCCCCTGAAATCCCAGAGGACCTTTACATGTTGATCAGAAAGGTAAGCCTATCCCGTTTTTTGACAGCGTACCCCTGACTATCTAGAAACTAATCTCTCCCTTCTTAGGCCGTTGCTGTCCGCAAGCACCTTGAGCGCAACCGCAAGGACAAGGACAGCAAGTTCCGTCTGATTCTGATTGAGTCCCGTATCCACCGTCTCTCTCGTTACTACAAGTCTGTTGGTGTCCTCCCACCAACCTGGAGATACGAGAGTGCCACTGCCAGCACCATGGTCGCATAAGCGATTTCAAACCACATTCACGACTTCAATGGACCAAATATGGATCTAAAAATAAAAAATAAAATCAAAATAGCGCGGGTCTGCACCAGGGCGCTTCCAAACAAGCTACCCAGCAGAAATGCTTGGGGTTTGTACGGAGCTAAACAGCTCTTTCTACAATAGCAGGAGCTGAGCGTTAGATATTATTCCCATAGTTAATTGAGTTCTTCCTGACTGGCTATCTCTTGAATGTGCTACTAGCAATTATGAATAATGAACTAAGTCACTTATGTCATTACCGTAAAAGACCAAGGTGACATCAATTCCTTGGACGTATCAATTATATATGCATATGGCAGTATATCCAAAAATCTAGTCAACATTGTTTATATACGCCTGACCTCGCGTGCTACTGCGTTGCATAGCTCGACTTTGACGCCTGCCCCTGTAAGAACATGAATCCAAAGGCGTTGCGTATCGCTTAAACGGTCACTCTCTGACTTGACCTCCGAAAACATCACCTCCTTAGTATCCATCCGCCAGAGGAAAAGATCTGGAATTCCTCCGCCGCGTTGCTGGTACTCTTGCGCCATCACCTTGCATATAGTTGCCAATGCTTCACCTCTAAAGCATTGAGCAATCTCAAGGAGATCATTGAGCTCAAAGGACCAGTCGATACCTATAGCACAAGTTTGTTTCGATGCTTCACGTGTATAGACTTCCTTGATGAGCCTTTGTGCTTCCCCGTTTGATATCTCAGCTAGCCTTGAATTAATTTCAGATATTCGAGATGAGTAAAATGAATCTGTATGTAAATCCAAGGGGCAGGTCTGGAACGGAGTCTGGAAGACGTTAGGAATATAGGTAAATATAACATCATAGAATAGGTATCCAAACTGATTAGTTAGTGTTAGCTACCAGCTAATGTGAGGTAGGCCAGGGGGTTTCTTAGGTACTACTCACAAGCGTTCGAAGGATTCCACTTTCGCAATGGAAACCTTTCCATCCGTGATCCCTATACCAGCTCAGGCACATGCTTTCAACCCGACATTCGCCTCCTCCTTCCCGTTCATCAACCCAAACAGTCGGACGACCTTTGTTTTTTGCGTTGCTATTTCCCGTAGATTTCCCGTTAGATTGCTTTGCCGGAAGCTCTTTTTCAATCCGAATCCCTTCAACCGTCCGTTCTTCGGGTTTCGCGAGCATGACATGGGAAAAATCATGCTGCTCCCTCTTTGCTATTTTCAGGGATTTCTCCAGTTTCGTTATCCGTTTTTGTAGACCATAGTGAAAAATTATATGACATTCTGGGTCTTGAAGTCCATCTTCACAAGTGCGGAGTGCCTGTTGTCTCCAGTCCCTCTTTCGAGCATCCTCAGGCCGGGTATCGGTAGCATCGAGTGCCCACATGTAATGCTCTTCAAGGAGTGCCTTGCGCTGGTACCAAGTTCCACGCCTCGCAGCATGGAAGAGGCGCTGATCCAGCAGCTCCCTTAACGTCTTGTGTTCCTGTTTATAGTCCTTAAGCCGTCCAAGAGACCACAAACTTTTATGTATGATCCTGGTGTACACCCACGCAGGGGAAAAGCGACGAAGATATGCACCTTCTCCGTAATCGTATAGCCGCTCTTCTTTGGATCGTTCTTCCTGTAAGAGTATCTTCCACCGGGGATAGACAGTTTCTGCAAATTGCTTAACAGATTGTATCTTCTCATCAGTTGTGGAGCTGTTGGATTCCATTTCCTTATCCAGATCAAACTGGATGCGAATGGCAGCTTCAAATTCAAGTAATTTGGATCGTGATGGAAATATGGAATTCGAACGACTGACAATATAATCAGGGTAATTCCTCCTGGAAATCTTTGCAAGTATTATGGCGGTAAGAGACTTTTCTGACCATTGGGTCGAACGATAGAATAGCAGGTGAACGCGTTCAAAAAGTTTCAATGGGCCGCTGGAAAGTCGTATGCAGTCACCGGTGCAGTCAAAAATCTTCTCTCGGAACATAACGGCTCTGTTTCCAGTTTTGAGGTTGCCGAAATCTGATGCTATTGATGCAGTTTTACTGCTTTCGGTGCCTTTCGTATCGGCTGAGGAAAGCCAATTTAGCCCTGTTTGACTGGTGCTTGCATCGCATAAACTATTGATAAGATCTTTCTTATTCTTCCCTGAAACCTTTAGGTCTCTTGCGAAACATTTCAATTCGTCAAGAAGGAGCAATGAGGAAGCTTCTTCGATTGACTGTATTTCGTTCATATCGTCTGCAAATCGAAATTCACCACCAATTGAAGTCACAGAAGGGGAGTCCAGTCCTCCAAAACATGGTACATGGTCGTCAGTTGATCCAGGCAACTTTCTCGTCTTTCGAAGGTCGGCAACTGCCCTTGACATATCTGTAATGTCTTGATAATAGCCCAGCTTATTGATGCGATGCCAAGCAGATGTTTTGCGTAGAAAGAGCCGAACATAACTATGGGTTACTTGTCAAAAGGACGTTCTCGATGTCTAACAATGGAGTTTTTAATAAACCAAGGGGTATAAGAAACGAACAGGTATTGAGATTCATAAGAGAGCCCTTTCCAGTAATCAAACACGGCCTGCTCTGCTTCATTAAAAAGATGGCTCTCATCTTGAAGGACGCTGTCGAGGGCGTAGTTGAAAGCGTCAACATAGATGGAGCTCTCCCCTTTGACCCATCTTCTTTGGGTGAGCCGCTGCTGCGTCCCTTCCAGCTGAGATTCGTTATCTAGCGAAGCCTTCCACTGCTCGTATTCCTCAACGGCATCTTTGCCTGTTTTCAAGGAAGGGAGGGACTCCTCCAAGCCAGCTTCCTGGTCGAAGGGTAAAGCATCATGCCCGAGCTCCTCAGTAGATATTCCTGGCTTTTTATCCGTCGACGCAGATCCATATATAGCAGGGGTATCCCTCTCAATAGCAGCATCTGATCGTTTGCTCGATGAAGAGTCGTCCGGGCTTGATGAGCTACGTCGTCGCTTAGGTTGCGAGGACCGAGGTCCTGCCATGGTCAAAGAGAAAAAGAGAGAGAGAGAGAGGGTCATTAAGACAAAAGGAATTCGAGTAGGCCCTGCATACTCGGGTGCATATCCAGCAAATAGACCAGATATCACCGCATTCCACACGTCTCAAACACGGGCTGGACGCTGTGAAAGCGACAAAACGCCGCTTTTTCAGCTTGTCTGCGAAACGCGTTGGCAACACGAGATCACATGATGCGCCGCAAAACCACTTTAGCCTTTTTTTGCGTGTGTTTGCTCTGTTTGCATCTGAAGCTCCGACAACAAACTCGCAACTCGCCAGTGGCAGAAGACAATTTGATATCTCAAGCTGTCAAGCTGCGGGCTGAGGGAAGAGAGAAGAAACCTGCCCAACTACGGCAACCAATTGACCAAGTATATAGACCTTGGAGGGTTATGGGATCTTAGATAGCGCTGGTTCTTCATGGCCGATGCCCCGTCACAGCTGCCGGCAGGCAACTCGCTTCCTTCTGGCGCCGGATTCCAGAATGCAGAGAGACAGAACAATGGAGAAACACCGCAAGACAGGCCAGCTGTCATGCAGGAGAACACTGTATGTGATGAGGCCCCATGAGTAATACCCGCTAGTTTGGGCCGTGACCTTATAGCCTTACAACTAAGAATATATATACCCATCCTACCTAGCAGAATACATCCCACAACACAGACATACCCTCTTTATAAGAAAAGAAAACTGACTCGTTGCGCATTGCCTCTCAGCATCCAGAATCAAGCTCCACCCCTAAACTCGGTGCCAGTTTTCCTCCTCCGCCGGCTACAGCTTCAACCACCTCCCGTGGTGTCACTCCGTCTGTGGACAACGAGACTTTAGCCAATAAACACCACGATAACAGGGACATCATCATGAGCGGTGGCTATGAAACAAGAGGTACCTACCGGGGGAATGGCGCGACTGGTACTGCCGGGGTTGCCAATGTTACCCCTCAACCCCAGGCTACGGGTGCGCCTGCACGAATATATATGAACGAAAAGATTGTACCATATCTTCTGGAAGGGATGAAGATGGTGGCCAAGGATCAGTGAGTATTTTACCCTCCTGTTTTATATCAGTTTCTTTAGCGTGCTAATGTATCGCTTTTTAACAAAAACCTTAGGCCTACAAACCCATTGCAGGTGCTAGGGGAATATCTTATACAAAAGAGCAGCGAAATCGGAGAGACTGCTGGAGAACAGTCGAATACCTGATATGGCCATGACCCCCGATCCAAAATGAGGAGATTTACACGCTAGACAGAGTGTGCTAAATCAATACCCATGTTTTACGGACTTCCTCCAAGGATATATCATTTGGGCTTTTATGGGGGCGCCTGTATTAAAAGTGGTAGGCGCCAGACGAAGTGAATTGAAGTATGGCATATTGCTACAGCACCTGAATGCTTTAAAGATCATCATATGCTATATCACTCATAGCTAGCCAAACCTAGCAGGGTTTAGTCTTCTGTAGTAAAAGCATGGACTCAAATGCAGATATGTATAAATCAGCAACGCTGAGGTATTGCAAAAGGTTACTCCTGTCCAGTTAATTGACAATCATTCTATGCTTCCCCTATGCTTTTAAGTGGACTTGTTGTCTGCTTCAACCGACGAACGCTAACAAACTCGACGTCAGTAATAACAATCTGTAAAGGAGCACTTACCAAAGTATGTTACAGTTGGGTCTTCATATCTAGAGGATGGGTACATGTAGATGGCGTCGTCAAAGGCAAAGTGAAGATCACGGCCTGGGAAGTAGCGTGTCACAGCAGAGGGACAAGGATATGGGAAATCCTTTCCCTCCCACCATGTAGCCAATATAACGGGGGTGTCAGGGGCTTCAGAGAGACGAGGAACTGACATCGGCTCTTTCTTAGAAGCTATGTTTCGACTACGAGGACCGGCAAAGAGCGAGAAAGGCGAATCGCTCCGGGGTTTCCAGCTGGAGGATTTTGTAGCGTTGTAGAAATTTGAGAATTGTTTTGATAGCGATTTGTGTTTTGTTTTGTTTTTTTTTTTTGTTTTTTTTCTTCTTTGGAAGCGTGAGACCACTCCCGGGCCAAAAGTGCAGGAGTCGTTACCCTCAATTTGTGTGAAGAGATGCAATACGGCGAAACAAGCTGACTACCGATAAGGGGGAGGGCCAACAGGGAAGAGATGGTGCGGAAGATTTTGCTGCCCACAAGAGAAAAAGCCGAAGGTATTACAACGTTTAGATATCCTGTGTTCCGCCGCCATGCTTCGTGATATTTAGCGACATGTAAAGAAACAGCTGGTTTATAGCGGACGGGTGACATGCCAAACAGACATTCGGCCTCAGACGTGAGCCGCGAGCCAGCTATTCGAAATTGTGTCGAAGCCATGCTAGAAGTGTGGGAGCGAAAGGTGATGTGTAACAAACATAGAAGCGCCGCCGTTACCGATTAAGTACCGATCCCAGCTGAAGATGCCGACAAGAAACCATGTGTGGAATACAGTAGTAGAATCAGAGGATGACAACCAGAGAAGGAAAAGATAAGCAAAGATAGAAACGGGGTGGGAACCGAGATCCAGGGAGCAAGCCTAGTAAAGAGGTCGAGCAGGGCTTGGGGTGAACCAAAACTCAGATGCCATTGTCGTTGGGGCCTGCATTGGATACCTACCTAGCGGGGGCCGGTTCTATCGTCCCAACGGTTATCGTAAGCTCGACTGCCAGAAGGCTCATAAGACTCACGATGGGAAGGGGCGTCTGCATAACCCCCAGAAGCAGACTGCGCGCGAGCATCATCTCGGTCATAGTAGCCACCGCCTCGACGGTCTCCTCGGCGATCCCCACGATCACGGTCACGGTCGCCTCCTCTGTCACCGCGGTCACCGTACCTGTCATCACGTCCGGACGTGGCGTAGCGGTCGACGCCTCTGTGACCATAGTCATCACGATAATCGCGACGACTGCCACGGTCACTGTAGGAATCGTAGCGAGAACTGCGATAGCCATCATCGTAACGGCGTCCATGGCCACCATACCCACCGCGACGATCGTCATAGCGATCATACCGACCGCCTCGACTGTGCCCACGGAGTTCTGGTATTCATTTTTTTTTATTTAGCAAAATCTCTCTTATCAATTGTAGAAAACTTAGGGTGAGACTATACCGCGCTTGGGAGGCCCAAAGTACTTTCCGGGCGTAGGGGTTCTAGGGCGGCTACGGCGAGCCTTTTCGATGCTCAAGGTACGTCCGTCGATTACCTCGCCCTGTAGACCCTCTCTGGCCGCTTCTGCCTGGTCAGGAGTAGCCATGTTCACAAACCCGAACCCACGCGACTCCTTGGTGTGAGGATCAAGCATGATAGAGCAGTTTTCCACCTCACCATATTTCTCAAAGAGACGAGTCACGTCTGCTTCACTCAGACGGGGATGGATCCCAGTTACAAACAGGTTGGTGCCTGTGTTTTGAGCTCCCTCTTCATCATCCGCATTCTTCATCCGAGTATCCGTTCCTTCAGCACTATTTAAAGTTAGACACTATTCGTTTTCATCTCTTGTCTCTCGTGCTTCTTTTACTACTAGCACATCAAAGGGTAGTTCGGTAATATGGATTTCTTACCGGTCAGTTCGGCCGTTGGGAGAAGCGCTGCGGTTCCGGGTAGCGCGATTAGCATCCTGGGGTGACGCGCTACGTCGGCGGTATTGCGGATCTTTTTTTTCACAATCAAACGACGGGTTAATGCCTCAGTTTGAGCAGAAGTAGAGAGTGCTGGCCAGCATTACCTTCGAACCGATCGTTCTCATTTTCATACTCCATGTCGGCCATGGTTGGTCGATAATCCAGTTAGCAAAAAAAAAAGCGGCTCTGGGGAGTTGCCACTGAGTCTTTCGTCCGGTCCGCCTGCTGCAAGCACCAACACACGAGAAAGCAGAAGGAATAGTACAGGCTGCAGCACCAGGCAACGTGAAAGAGAGGGAGAGGCGCGAGACGAGAGGCTAAAGATCGAGGAGGTTGGCCTTTTGATGTCTGGAGAAGAGCAAAAAGCTGATGAAAGCTTCACCTGGGCAGGAAGACGATCCTTTTAGCTATCGCTCGATCTGGACTAGCGCGTGGTGTCCTTGGCTCCCGCAACTCTTTTTTTCGTAGTCAATATAAAGTAAGCCGAATGATAAAGCACGGCAGCGTTGATATCCTGATATCCTGGTTTCATTTCATTGCTAACTACGTATTATCTTTCTAGTGAGGGGAATGTAAGGGCATAGAAGAAGGCGGAAGGCATAAGGTGATCATCTCCGGAGAGGTACAAAGAAAATACAACAAGTAGCAAAGGGCTATTATCTAAATCCTCGCCATCGCTTTCGCGTCTTCTGCGTCTTGGACCTGGAGGGTTCCTCTTCCGGGGCCGTAGCAGATGCAATATCTTGTCCAGTAGGCTCAGCTGGCGCATCCTCGACGCCATCATCATCTCCAGCCAAGTCACGAAGTTCCTCATCTCCAATATCACTAAGTTCCTCACTCATGCCCCGAACCAGCTCTCTACCGGTCCAGCGTTCTTCATGGATGGTGGTACCAATGGGGTCGAAAGGTTGCATGTACCACTGGATGCCACCTTGGGCTAGGGGCAGAAGCTGCTGGCCTTCTGAGAAGCTGGCAGGTGGTGTAGGAGGCGTGGCTTCGTCTCGTGGAATCTGGGGTTGAAGAACGGGTGTGGATTGCTCTCCCGCCTTCTCCACAGGCAATTGGGGCGGTTCACCTTCGTTAGGGCCACTTTCTGACTCTCGCTTTTTGGAATGTGATGTCACCACCTCAGTGCTGTTCTCCTGGAGTTCTGGAGCATCCATCATTTCTGCGTCTTGATCTTCATCACCTGCAAGGTCGCCATTCGTCTCTGGAGCGGGCTTCTCGTTGTTGGCCTGCTCAGACACCTTCTCGGTAATCTCACTTTTAGATTCAGGAGTCAGGTTAAGGCCACTCTCCTGCATTTCAATCTCAGTTCCGTTTGGTAACGGCTGCGTTGCCATGTCAGTAAGTAAGGCAGCGTTGACTGCTTCTCCAGAGGAGGTGTTGATAGATCCTCTACGAGAGCCAACGCTATTTTCAAGAATAAGGTCAAGGCCCTTGAGCTCATTCTCATAAGGCTTGCCATTAAGCTCACTTTCTTTCTTCAAAGCATCCTCTAACAGAGGTTGAACGGATTTGATTATTCGCTTAGCAAGTTTCCGTTTCTCTCGTTGTTCGTGGCTGAGCTCAGGAGCACGACCGCTGATCTGCATCTGTAACTCTGCCGTATCTCCAACAGAGGCAACTCCAATCCCCGAAGTGAAAACCTGTGCTAAGTCACGAGAAAATTCAGAGACAGAAGTATAGTACCGCTCTTCTAGCTTTGACCGAATTGTCTGGAAGCCAACAAAGAATACGCCCTTTCCATCCAATCTGAATGTGCAAAAAAAAAAAGACAATATTAGTAGACGAAATACTAAGGGCAGCGACTCCCGGAACTCTGGGAACTTACGCATGGGCTTTCTCAAATACCGGCCACAGCATTGGAGGTATAGGGAAGTAAACTATGTCAATAATACTTTGAAGGGTTTCTGCATCCTTGAGTTTTTCCTTTTCACGCTTCTTTACCTCGCCACATAACATCCGAACCTTATCAACGTCGTGATATAGTCTTTCCGCAAAGTCTATCCGGCGCTCAAGGCGTACAGATCCCGCACGTCCCATTCCAGAGAAATTCCTTCTGGTCATTTCCATAGATGAGAATGTTTCCAGTTGAAGTTGCAGTCGCTTCAACAATGCAGCACCTCGCCTAGCTTCTCGTTTAAGAGTCCAATACTTGCACGCGTCCTCGGCATATTGCTTTCTTTGACGAACTGTGAAACGGGCCAAAGAAGCGACAACATTGTCGAGCACAACTCGTGGGATAACCGGCGCTCCAGAGGGTAATTTCCAGATCGTTCTTGGATTTGGATTGGCACGCTTTCGCTTATTGTTACCGCCAACAGTTAACGTTAATCGAGGCGTTATAGGTCTGGTATCACAGTCGTTGGGGTCCGTGCCTTCTTGAGTTTCCGGCCCCATGGCAAGGGCTGCGGCTTGGCTATCTCCCCATTTTTTCCCTTGCATGGCAGTGCGGTAATACTCCAGAGCTTGGGCGGTGGCGGAAGAGGTATTATGATCTGCCTGCCAGTCTGGTGGAACATGCTTATCACAATAGGCTTTGAGTTCGTTAGAGTCCTTTATTGCTGGGGCACCTGGTGTCAGTTTCATCCTCAGATAGAGATGGGCTCGCCTTCCACAAGTCGGGTGGAAAGCTACAAAGCAGTTCTTGTTGCTGCACTGTATGCAAGCTCCCATTTTCTGGCGGCAGATGTAACAAGTAAGTTTCCAACGGCTTCTCGGCACCTTTTCGATTTCGATCACTGGCTCCATTAAAGACGGGTTCCCTATCGAGACTTCTGGAATCCAAACCGCACAGAGAAGATGTGACCATTTAGCAGTATTTGTCTGCTTAAACGCACCTTCAGTGTTAGGGCAGAAGATACAAGATGGAGACCCTCGACCAATGAGCTGACATTTGCGGCAAAGCCACTGGCCCTCGGGAATATAAGGCACTCCATAACACTCCTGGTGGACAGCCAAGTCACAGCCATCACAAAAGACGATGGCGTTAGCGTTCTCACAATCCCCGTCGTCACATACAGCGCATTTGCTATCTTGTTCCTCTCCTGAGCCAGGATTCTCACCGTTCACTGCAACTGCAGAACTGGAACGCGGTCGTTGCGTTTGGGGTGGTTTGGGGTTAGGTTTAGGTATCCGTCGTTCTAGAGCATGCCATTCCTTTTCTATTTTAGTCATGGTAATTTCAAATATCGCAGGTTTGATCGGTTCGAATTCTTCAAGTTTTCGCTGCGTGTTATATTCTTCGAGCCATCTGGCATCCTGCTCGTCCATGTCGTACTCCACCCTACCCACGTCCGCGTTTGGAAGAGGTGGACCAGCGTCCCCCTCAGTGGGCGGAGGCGGCTCTAGATCAAGATCACCATCTGTTACACCTTCAGATAGCCGGATCATCCTTCTCTCGTGCCGAACGAAAATGTCACTTTCCTGGTAGCCTACGCTCGCCATGGTACGGTCCACGTAATTTTGCTGTCCAACACCCTTCTGCTCAAACGGTAGAAACGGATCTTTGACGACCCAGGATGGCTTTGGTAGCGTAAGCTTTTCTCGCGGATTCGACGTTGGCAGCAATATTCCTTTAGATTGCTCCGGTGTGTCATCTGCCCTTTTCGGGTTATCAAGACGACGTTTCGACGGGGACAGACTTGGTCCTCGACATCCATTCGGCGTACTCCTACCATCTCCATTAGCTCCAAAACCATTCCCATTTGCTCCGTTTGAGGACGAATTCTCGTCGTTCACCAGTCCGTCTACTTCTTTTGAGCTAAACACGGCAATCTGGGCGTCAATATCGAGATCAGGGTGAAACTCCTCCCACCCACGTTCCTCACGAGGCATGTATCCTTCACTCTGGGTTACCGCCAATACTGCAGCTGCAGCAGAGCTATATCTCCGGGCCTGGGTTCTCGGTCGACTTGAACGCGAGGAAGAGGGAGTTGCGGGGTGAAGGCGTGAAGAGGCGTGGGAGTCGCGAGCAGGTCGAGTCCTAGGAGTGCTAGTTTTATTTCGCATCTGCGAGGATGCTCGCGGTGGCGGATCTATATCATCCACCTCGATATACCGTCCACCTCCTCCAGGACCCCCAGGAACATATTTTAGCTTCTTTCGTGGTGGTTCTCCAGGAGCTTGTACTGTCGTGTTTCGAGCCCCCTTCTGCGCTGTTTTGGGTCGTGGCTTGGGTGCCCGGGCTGCAGACGTCTTCCGCTGCATATTGGCGGTAGATGATGCCATCGCTTCGCTGCCTTCCCCCCCTTGTCCGCTGTAATAACTTTACTAGGTCGAAAGGTAGAGGCGAGCTGGTTCACTTCTCCAAGGGTCTCGCTTCGTGTCTCCGTGCTTCCAACAGTTGTTTTCTTCGTCTGCGTTGCTTCACTGCGGCCTAGCGAGCAGTATCATGGTCCATCAATGCAGCCAAAGTAACCAACTCCATGCAAAACAAAAAGAAAAGGAGGAAAATTCCCTCCTAGCAGAGTAGCGTTGTCTTCAAGGTTGTCAAAACGTCGGCTATCCTCAAACGCCGTCACCAAGAGGTCGTCGCGGCTTTTTCGCTCTTTTTCCTTTTTTGGGTTGGAGTAGGCGCGCGCTAGCTTGTTTAGGTAAAGCACATGCCAAGCTTTTTGGCCGCCGGAAACAAGCGCGACTTTTTCCCGATGCGGAAACATAAAAACAGCTTCAACCTCTTCGTTTTCCTTTCTCGCTGCGAAGCGCAAAAAGGGGGGAGCTGGTTTAGCCTTGTCTCTCGACTTTTGATTTCCCCTTCGAAGGGCGAAGTGCAAGAGAATTTTCTGCGTGGTTGGTAGCAGCATGAGCGGTGCGGGCGATGACAGGTACGTACGTGAGGATTTTTCTTTTTTCCCATTTTCTGGGGAAGGGGGTTTTTTTTTATGGTTATCCTGACGTGAGCTCGTAGATGGCGAGGTGGCCGTGGGTATGACCATGGCCGTCCCCAGGGCCAGCGGCACCATAGTGGAGGATATCGAGATCGTCAGAGCGGCAGCCACGGCCATCGGAACCAAATGAACAACATGACGGCGACTGCGGCGTGGACAGGTCCTCCAAGCGGCCCCTCGCGCGAACCGCACATTCCTGTTCGAAGTTTTAACTCGGTTGAATTGAAGGATGCGCTGAGAAGAGGTATGGGAATACTATGTGTGGGATTTGATCTCGAAACCGAGCCCGGCTTGTGCTAATTACAGGTGTTTCTTTATCGCAGATTACAAGAAGGGAGGACAGGGCGGTATGTCGAAGCCACGCCCCCCACAGTCTATATACCGAAACTTTTCTCCGTATAGCTAATCCTTGGTGGTGGATACCTGGTTTAAAGAACCCCAACCAGTGATATATAGACCAACAGGCAAAGATGGCAATCCAGTTCGACCCAGTGGGCCTTGGGGTTCAAAGCGTATGCCTCCCAGACCTTCCATTATTCCGGCGTCCGCATGTTTATAGGAACATTTGAAACTGACAGGGGACCTAGCAAATTCTATGGCCAACGGCAAGGATTTCTTCCTTGAGCTGCGAAAGCAAATATCTGGGCTCCAGCAATCCAATATCCAGGGCGGTTAATACCGCCTGAAGGATCTGGCAGAACTAGGTAACGTGCACAAAGTAGCAACCAGAATCTTCTGTGGGAGGGAGGTATCTCTTGGAAGATAGATAGGTTGCAATAACGTGGCCGGACTGAATGAGTAGCATCTTTAGTCCGCTCTTCCTCGCTAGAGATAGAACGAATGGCATCATTTTTTTTATCTCTTACAATTGACAGTTTTGCGTATATTTCTGCATGAATTACGTAGATCATTTCTTCAAGCCAGAGCTGAGAATAGTAATCTGTTTCATGTCGTGCTATTCTTAGGTTACTGTAGTTTCAGCTTCTCATGTACGATAAAACGGTCTTTCCTGCAGGTAAAGTCGTGATACAGGAAGAACATTGAGGTCCGGCCCCAATACACCTGTTCTTTGGCTGATATCTTCACTCATCGCCTGCTAAGACACTGGCACGCCTGTCTCTGTCTGCATGCATTCTTAAGCCTCACTCCTCTCCGACCTGTCTTCTTAGGGTGTTGCCGCAAGTGTCTGTTTAGAAGATAAACCGACATTGGCCCTTTTATCAATCGGGCTGTCATGACTAAAAAGACCAGTTCGAGGGTGCATGGCAGTCCTTTCTCCTGCTTGCCGAAGTCCTACGACGATAATACAGGCGGTACGATCCCGGACATTTCTCTGATGCATGATATATTCAACGTTTTAGCACCAGGCCGGCGGCTAGAGGTCGCTCACTAAGCCAATCCAATGCCTCCTTGCACGAGCCAATGTACAGCATAAGGTGCCACGACACTAAAAGCGGAAAAGGGGCATATATGCATACAGATGAAGTAGTATGGCCTGTTTCATCAAGGGCAGGCGGCCTTGCAGGAGCTCTCTCTCCGTTCTCTGTGGCCGGTCCGGGCACCCAGTGCTCCACCCAATCTCTGGATCTGGCATTTCTCGAACTCATCACGGACCCAGCAGGACAGGTGGTTGACACAAAAATAACGGCGTGCTGTGCCAGGGCATGGAGAGCCAATAGCAACAGCCTTACGCCTATTAATAGTGGCGGTAGATGTTGGTTTGGGTCCTCCTCCGTGCCGAGTCCCCGTCTCGAGATATAGGCGCGCTATATCTTGGGATTCCCGTCATATAGCCAGGACGTTTCGGCGGCCGGCTCCAGTACGCCATGTACACGTCAACAAGAGAACGGCGCGGTACGCGAACGAGTTAAGGGGGGCAAAGAGAGAAGAGAAGGGGGTATCCTCCATCCCCCGGTGGCCCCCTTGCCACACCCATGAAAAAGAAAACACGGACTGTCTGCGCAACAATATTATAGCGTTGGATGTACGAGGAGCCGGCTGCCTGGCAGGATCTCATGGGCTGCACAGCGGGTAGCCAACTCCCAGAGTGGCAATTACAAGTACCGTCAGTACGAGCTGTGTGTATCCTTGGCTTATGCGGGCCGAGTGGGTTGGCGGCTAACCACCGGTGCAATTGGTCGCTATTCCAGGGAGCGGGCCGTCCGTCAACTCTAATATCAACCAGGCCTGAGGGTCCCGGCCAGTTTCGCAGGTATCTCTCTCCGTTACGGGGATTCAGTCTCCTTCCAGGGCCGCAGGGGGATGTGTAACTACCGAGAGGATCTATCTTACTTATTGGGCATGGAGAATCTAGCTAACTAGTCAACTGCTTCTAGTTTTCACGGCTAGGAGAGACGGTCGACGAACGAGCTATTCATCCAATCACTCGACGGACTAACTTCGTTAACGAACGGGTTAACCGCCAACATGCTGATCTCTATTGGAATGCCTCCTCGGTCAATGGCAACCCCGGAAAGGTACCTGTTCACCAGGCTGTCTCTGCGAGATGTAGCATATCTCGTACTCGGTTTGACCACAGCGAACCCTAAACGCCAGTCCTCTTCCAAAATTAGCACCACCCTGTCAGGCCAGGCAACTAATGCATCCCTCGTGCTGCATATTACTATGCACTTCTCCTCTCAGCAAGACGCTTGAGAGATGATGTTGTCCTAACTGGGCCGGGGAAGCACCGTGGCAAGAGCTGCAGCCCGTTGGCATATTAGGGTACGACCCAACTCAAGATCTGCTTCAGAATCGACCAGGGTCCGACCCATACAGACCCGCTCGTTTTGTCGTTTTTACCGGGTATGACAATAACTATGGGTCCTCGCAGAGAGCCGCCTATATGCTAACAATGCGTCTGACCAGTGCTCAAAATTCTCGATACCCCCCCGGCCAGTGAGCATTGCAGATTTGCGCGATTCCGGAAACCCATGACACATATATACTCCAGCCTAGTGCACAATTCAGCATTGTCAAACGCACTATTGGCTTTATTTGTTTTTTAGTTTGCCCCCCCTCTCCGTTCCATCGTCGAAGCGCCAGGTGTGTTTGGCCCAGGCTCAGGCCGCAGGAGCAGAACCCTCTTTTGGCCGTGGACAAGCCTCATGCGCGCACCGTGGTACTGGAGTACAAAATCCAAGTGACGATCCACCGCCTCCATATAAGAACCAAACTTTCTTCTTCTCTTCTTCAACCGGTTCTCCTATTCGACCTCATATCAAAAGTTGAACAATTTGGCAGACTACCACGCTCTTTTTTCCCTGGGAGGTTTGACAGCTTCACTCCTTGCCCTTTGATCTTCCTCCATATAAGTCTATATCTATATTTTCTATATTTTCACTGCGCCGGCGCAGCCTCCTGGTCAACGCACGCCCTAGGCTAATACAGGCAACAGTAGGTCAATTTCTCGCAAGGCTGGCCAGCGTGACGCCTACTGAAACCTTTCACTCTATACAACCCACTCTAATACGACTCCCCAAGTTGATTGCCGTTCTCTACCCATATTCAATATAATATTTTGTTATGATTCACGACTGTTTCCACATGCTTATGCCTATTCCTACTTTCCTTACCCCTCTAATACACACAATCAATCCTCACTTGTGAACTCCCATTTGCCGGCAGGACTGGAGTACGAAGCCCTTTTACACCAGTGAACTCACTCTAGCCTCTCGTTGCTATCACCTCCTGGCTTTCCTTTTTCTCATCCCCATATTCCTTGCATAACTTCCTTGACGGCGCACGGAGTGATTTTGATTTCTACCCACAAAAACAGTGCGAACAGCCCTCTCTCTTTCTTTGCAACCCCCGGGGAGCTCCTTTTATCTGAGGAAAAACGGAAGACTGAGATGCCGAAACAGACCCCAGTGCGATCACCGAAGAAATCTGGTCCATATCCTTCTCCGAAGCGAAGGCGAGCGCTATCCTCTCAAACCAGAGTAGGAATAGCAGCCTCTCCATCAGTCCCAGAACCTGAGCCTGAGCCTGAACCAGTCAGACCGGCAGCTATGAATACCAGCCGAATGGCGACGGGTGTCTCCGCTACCATGGCACCCCAGGCAGCAAACCCTTGGCAGAGAACAGCAACCCCTGTATACTCTATGCCCCCTCCCCTCTCGTATACACAGCGGCTATCAATGCCTGAGAGGCTGCCTATCCACCCGCCTCCGAGCCCTGGAACCCCCGGCCACCTTCCGAGTGCATCAACCCCTTGGTCCGCGCAGGACGATGAAATTTTGCTAGCCGCACGAGCCCAAGCCCATGGCTGGAACCAGATTCAACGGGATAATTTTCCCACCAAGTCGTCAAACGCATGTCGCAAGCGCTATGAGCGACTGATTGCCAAACGTCGTGGCTCAGACTGGAATGATGAACGAGTTGACAAAGTCGCCAGCTACTACATGCAATTGCGGGAAAAGACATGGCAGCCCTTGGCTGAGGCTGTGGGTGAGGACTGGAGGGATGTGGAAAAATTGGTAAGTCAAGACCAGCTAGTTAGCCCCCTGAGCCAAGTTCACTTCTCTGTCTACTTGGATTTTTACTCTGCCGCTGGCCCCCCGATCCCTCCCTTTTTCCCGCAAATACCGTCTCGAGTTGGAAAAGAGACTAATGCAAGACATACATAGTGCCTTGAGCGGGGCGCAAGGACTCTTCTCCCAACACTGGGACAGCGTGACCTAGCGCAGGGCGCTTCGGAACCAGTCAGTCGTCGTGGCAGCCATGATAGCCACGATGACGAAAAGCTGAGCATACACAACCTCCTACACTAATCCATCCCCTCACGAAGCATGGCTCCTCCTCCATATTTATTTTGTTACTGTACCCATTCTTAGGGAGGGTATCTGATTTGCTGCATGGCGTTTCGTTTTTTATCTTTCTCTTTCTCTTTTTTTTTTTTTTTTTTTTTTATTTTTTTTTGTCTTATTGCATGGCTCAGTGTCTTGTGTTCTAATGTCAGGGAGGACTGATTCTTGCATTCTGGAATTTTGGTATCATGGTTCCCTTTTTGACGGCCAATACCCTCTTATATCTCGTTAAAACTGGCGTCATCTCATCGATTTGATGGTTTCTTTTGGATGAATGAATGGGTTAAACCGAATCATGTGAAACTATGGCGCTTGCTTGCATATTTCGTGTACTGTTTTGGTCCTATTCTATATGTTTTCTTCTTTGGTATGGCAAGAATGTCTTTCCCATCTCCTACAATCCCCGCGGTTAGTAACTTCCTGACCAAAAATTCGAAAGTATCCTGGGACCTTTTCGGAGTTGCGCAAGAATGCTGTGTGCAGTATACATTTCGTTATTACGGGAATATCCTCCAAAGATATGGTCCAACAAAACGAAAGCGAGACCATTGCGAGTAGCCTTATCCTGTAATCTGTTCCCAGCCCTCGGGGCCAAGTATACCACCATCTGTAGCTGCAGGGTCTAGGTTCCATTTTCGAATAGTCTGTGACTTCCTGGATGTCCTCCAGCCTGCCTCGAACATCTCGATGCCAGCCCAACCAATCATAGCTGCATTATCAGTGCAGAGATATAAGGGAGGTGCGATGATATTGACGTCAGAGAACCCTCGTACATCCAAAAAGGAGCGCAGGATATGTCGCAGATATTGGTTCGCGGCAACACCACCGCTAACGACAACAGTCTTGACAGGAGACCCTGGTCCCAACTTTTCCATGTCAATACTATTGGTAGCGCCAGATGATACATTTTCTAAAGCCAGGACAATGCGAGAAGCAAGGTGTTCAAAACAAACACGCATAAAACCCCTGCAAAACTCAATCCGACCTTCCTCCGGGAGAAAATCAAGGTTGAGGTTGTTCATTTCTTCTTTGGTCTTCTTTCGTTGTACAGGTTTCCCATTCGCCATGGTCTCGACTTCTCTTTGGGCGGCGGATAATAACCCAGCGAATGTAAAAGCCATTGTTTTCAAGCCGGCGTATGGCAGGGTTAGAGACCAGCCATACTGGGCGTTTGTTATAGGCCTAGCCTCTTGTCCCCTCGTTGCTGGAGGTTTGTAGTCAACGTAATCGGCACAACCGTTTGGAAATGCGTACGCTTCCAATTGTTTGCCATACATTGTTGTCTTGCTTTGGTTGATGTAGGATGATGGTAATGCCATACGGGCAAATTTATCCAGCACATCCCCTATCGCCACATCAACAGTCGAGGCTAGTGTTTCATGGTTCGTGAGTGACTTGGAATACGCGAGGAAGCTATGTCCACCAGACACAAGGACCGATATGAACGGGAACTCCGGCTTTAGCGTACGTAAGTCACCATTCTCGGATCCAGGCGGTATATCAAGAGCATTCGCTAGTCTCGGCGTGAGCAGGTGAGCCTGCATATGATGCACACCAACAATGGGGACTTGCCAGGCGACAGACAGTCCTTTCGCTAGCTCCAAACCTACGGATAGATTAGAGCGCATCCCAGGTCCACGGGTAACAGATATGAAATCCGGCTTAAGCTTGGTAGATCTAATCCCATCACTCGTAGATGGCAGTTGGATAGCTCGCGAGACATAGGGGTTGGACTCCCCAGCTTTCTCCAGAATAGGCTCAGAAGGGGACGGTAAATGGGAGAGCGCTTTATCCACAAGGTCTGCCAAGTTAGCCTGATGCGATTCTAGTGATACAACGGGATGAATGCCGCGATATTCCCGGCTATCAGCGGTGATATTTTGGAGGAAGTGAAGGGTTGCGTTTGGTCTGGATGTTCGGCGGGACGAGGTGTCTTCAGTTTGGGGGCCATGTTTCTCAACAATGGCAACAGAGGTATCGTCACTGCAACCAACAAATATAAGAATTAGCTATGATGCCTTTAAAAATCCATATTTTTAAATTTCAATTGGGGGCTCGGTGAATATCGGGTGCATGCTACCATGATGTTTCAATGGCTAACGTCAATAGCGGTCTTCGATGTGAAGAAGCAAATGCAGCTTGTCTTTCTAGGCAATTCAGTAACTTTATTACCGGCCGACGATAAAGTGACATTGAGAAACAACGACGTTGTTGTCATGACCAGTTGCATCTGCTGGTTTCAAGGTCTGAACTTGCATGTCAAAAACTTTGACGTTGGATTTAGCCTCAAGATGCAACAAACTTGTTAGTGAACCAGCTTAACTAGGTTATCGATAACAAGCACGGGCTTCTCTGTAAAGTTATACCCCCTTTTATGATTTTCTTTTTTTTTTTTTTTTTTATTTTTTACCTGCGTAGAAGTATTGGATAGGACGGACTCTAAGCATTATAAATTATAATAACGGTTGATGCTATAGGCAGCTTTTACAAAGGAGTGTTTGCTTATGCATAGTTGCCTAATACGCAACAAATGTGAAGAGAGAATATTTCTGAAAATGAACGCATATGGTAGTTAAGCCTTATTGGATTTTTAGTAACTAAACGACAGAATAATAAGGACTTGTCTGATCATAAATTAGTACGTTATTTTCCATTCCGAGAACAAACCCGCTGATACCATAGGCAACACAGGAAACAATCATAACCTCATAAAGGACATTAATCCATCAAAAAACGTAGCCATCCTGTGCTATTACGCTTTCGAGCCAGCAAAAGCATCCCAATGCCATGCATGCTTGCTATAAGACCAAAAAAAGAAACCAGCGATTCCAGGAAACACCCATATCGCGAGGGTTGAAGCGTAAGTGAACCGATCATGCCTCCGTGGTGATTAGAATGAGGGAGACAGAGAGATCAAGTAGCATTGTCAAGTAACGATCGGTCTGTATCTTGTCATGACGCTGCGGAGCCTTTGACTACAAAAATCTGATAGACGGCTCAAGGAACTGGTCGGGATATGGCTGGAAGGGACAGAGAATTGAGCGAAAGGGGCAAGACTCATTCAAGAGTAGCCGGCGGTGGCACGGGCCCACCGTCTCTCTCGTCTATCTTCCTTGGACATGGCGGAACTGCTGCTACCATAGTATTCATCATGGTTCTCTATTGGTGTAAGGTAGCGGACCTCTGGTTCAGTGTTGAATCTTGTTCTCTTGTCAGCAACACCACTCGACGACGACTGTGTCTTCTTGAGGATGCTTTTGGCGTTGCATGAGTTGCTGTAAGTCGAGTAGCATGGCTGAGTGAATCTAGAGCTGTGAGTGGTGTTGTATGCAGCTGGACTCCGTGGTGACAGTGGCGTTCTGGGTATGGAGAGGGCGGCTGGGGATTTGAGGGAGAGGGAGGCCGTGTTGGTGGTGGCAGCGGAAATGCTCAAAGAAAGCTTTGGTTTGGCGGCACGAGCTGCTGAGAACATGATGACGGACAGAACGTGCCTTTTAGCGGGTTAATTGGTTTTTTTTTTTTTTTTTTTTTTTTTTTTTTTTGTTTTTTAAAAAAGTGGATTTTATTTGCTTGGTTATGAAGATCAATCAAGTGAAGGCGATCAGAGACTCGAATATGGCCGAGAAATAGCTGGGCTGACGCTCAAGTTGAGATGGGCGATTTCGTCGGATATAAATGTCGACTCAACAGACAATAACGAAGAAGCAGATTAGGTAGAATTGCGTAAACGGCAAAATGTATGTTGGCCCAGCCAAAAAGGGGGTTGTATGGTGTATATATTTAGTATTTTAGGGGGTTGGGGGAAGGGGATAAAACGACGGGTGAGCGTTTGTTGAAACAACCGAAGGCTAAAAAAGGGACTGAATAAAAAAAAAAAGACCAGCTTTTTTTTTTGTTAGGGGCAAGAAGTGAAACACAAACAGTCGCAAAGCAAGGGGCGCAACAATAAAAGGGCGAGTAATCTCGAAACAAGAGGGCGACGAGTGCGGGACCCCCGGTCCTATTTATGGACGCGCCGCCGCCGGGCTCGCTCATATGCAGCTGTATGCAGTCGGTGTGCGAGCTGGCGGTTGATTCGCCCTCGTCATTCGACTGCAGATGCCTCTTGCAGTCACACAAGCAGGGAAGGGGGGTGATTCCGGGAGTGTCCTTGTGAGGTCATGGCCAATGACGACGGCAGGTTTCCGGTGCCATCGCCTGCATATGCATCTAAGGAGCAGGATGATGTGACGGGCACGCTGCACACCAACCCAACAATGCCTGCGTGTGTCTTTGATTGGCCGGCTCGATGGCTGGGAGAGAGGATCAAGCCTTCTGCGAGGGCTTCCAAGGTGTTTGTTCGGATACTCCAAGCGAGGATGGTCACTGGTATCCCGCCCGTCCTGCAGCCACTGTCATCGTAAAAAGGCCCAATATCACAGTGATAAAAGTGAATTCTAGTTAGTTACCACATCGATAAGATAACTAGTTAGTCTTGAACCTTGCGGATCAGTTACCCCTCTCTGGCGAGCCGACTATCGAGGACGCTGAGTGATGGCTGATCCGTTGCTTGATGCGGGAGATGATGGTTCTCATTTGAAGTCCAACACGGTGTAGTTGACGAGTTGACGAGTTGCCGATGAAGCCGGCGATGACCAGACTGAGGTCGCAGCTGTTTTCTCCCGTCCGCCGGGTGCTTTGCCGGCCGCAAACATCTTTCCTCTGGCCCGTTATGCCAACAGTTAACTATCAGCTTGACGGTCCTGTGATGAGCAAAACCGGCTGCCACGTCGTGCTCTGTGTACGAGTTTTCGGCCTCGACGAAGGGCCTGTTGCTGGTGATACGCAGCTGGTTGAGACCGACTGCCCGATAGATGACATCTGGCACCTGTATTCTTTCCCACTTCTCTCTGTATGCAGCCTGATATAGTGATATTAGGACACACAGTCGCGGCATCTGTGACATGAATCACTAGTGAAGTTGGGCTGTCACTGCGGCACTCAACTGCTGATGTTCCCAACAACCAAATATCCTCGCTTTTTGGCCCTCGATATACTGTTCCACGTCTTCTCCGCGCATGACACGGCCCGACTATCCTGCTGATCAACATCTGCTGCTGTTGCCGGTGGTGGATGGTTGGCAGAGGAGGAACATCAGGAAACGCTGGGCGGCAACCTGTTCTGCTCAGCACAACGCGAGACAGCCATAGACAGTGCCCAATACTCCGTCTATACGCCCAAATGCTTGTCAAGAAAAAGAGATACCAAGTTTGTAGAGTCACCCTCCAAATATAACTGGAAGTTTGGTGATCTCTTGATACCGAAGCCATATCAACACATTTATATCACCGAAATAGCGTTCATGTGTCATATTCCAAGTTTCACTGGTGTTTATCAGTCCTCAATCCAGGTAAAGGTCATCTTTTAATTTGTAATTCAGTTTATTGTATACTCCATTTATATATCCAAAACGCCGTTTAAACCAAAATAGAGTGCTAAATTATGTCACATAGCATTATATGCCAGCCCTCTCTACCCAAAATCCCACTGATGCATCTTTCCAACAAATGACCCTAGTTGCTATCCGGATACTGCTCATCATAGTTTGTATCGCCCGAGATAAGTTTTGGGAGATTCAAACTCGTGCTCCATCGGATCATTTGAGTAGAGGCCTGTTCGATCATCTCACCTTTATGCACTGCGATGTCACTGAGATGGCTACCATTCCCTGCTGGACGGTGATGGTTAAACAGTTGCGGCTGCACTGTCACACAAATATTTCTGACACGGCCTTGGATACCCTCACATGCATCCCGGAGCATAAGATCGTAAGGGGCATTGAACTTCTTCACGCCAAATTCATATAGGAGTCTCCGTGCCGATTTCTGGGTCACGCCGTACACAAGGGAGCAAACGGGCGTCATTGCGTGGTGGAACACCCTTGTATGCGGTGGAAATACTGTTTTAAACTCTTCATTTCCCGGGAAGAGCACGAGATGCTTCTGTTCGGGGACCGTGGGGTCATTCCTTTGGATAACTCGACCCTTAGGTATATCCTTTCCAACATCCCGAAGAGCAGGGTCTGGAAAATTTACTCCACAATGGCCTGGCCACAGTATATCCCAATTATCTCCATAGGGAGAATTCACAGGCGGGATAGTATCGTTGTTTATATGGATTTCTTTCAGCGTTCCTGGAGAATTTCTAGGATCAAGGAAGGTTGGGTCCGCATACGCAAGATGCTCTCCCCCTGAAAGGGGCTGGACCAGAGCCCTGGAGGCAAGTGCAAAATCCCTAAGCTGTGATTTGATGCGTATATCCCAATCTGCATCATCCTCAAATATCAGGGCAGTATTTATATTGTTTTCCACAATACTAGGTTCACTGAATTAGCACCTAGATATCTCAAATATCAAAGTTGTGCAGTTGGAGGGGGGGGGGGGGGGGGGGGCTGGGCTATACTCTGAAAGTGCATCGAGATGACCCCTCCAGCTCCCAATATTTGCAGCCTTGAAATACTGGTGTGTTGCAGGTGGTGGTAAGGCCTTATCCACAACGTTCTCCCCCCTAATACCGTCAACCCAGTGGAGTTTGATGCCAGTGACAGCAGCCAGCAACACAATGGCATCACGCCGGTCAGTCCGTGAGGGGAGATTAACAACATATATTCGCTCAAACTATGCGCAAAATTGAGAATCGAGTTAGCAAAAAGGGCCGCGTATTATAAACCTGGACTACTATGACTATACACCAACATACTCCGAGAGTAGAATTGAAAACATCATTCAGATTGTCAACGTCCTTTTGTTGAGTATAAGGGCCAGCAGTCCGGGAGTTTCTCCAGTATCCGGGTCGATGGAGGGTAAATAAAAGCGCAGTAAAGAATACCAGGCTCCCCGCCGCAACAAGCAGCAGTAATTTCTTGTTGAGAAGCTTTGTCTGTTGAAAGAGAAGCATCGTGGTATTAAACTACCTATATTTGGGGGTAATGAACGAGAGCTGGGAATGCTTCGGGAGAGTGGTGAAGAGGACTATTTATCAGATTTAAAAAAAGGGGGGGCTACTTCAATGGATATATGGAGGGCAGAGCATCACCACTAGTTAGCGAAGTGGGAATTCTGAGCATTGTTGGCAGTTATAGTGGAGGCCAGTGGGCCTCAGATATAGCCTGGAGGGAGCTAGACCGGTGCATCCTCAATTCTTTTCTTTTCTTTTCTTTTTTTTTAAAAGTCCGCGGCAAACGTATAAATAACTACATGACATGGGCATTTAATACGATGCGTCAAGGGATTCTGGTAGCCAATTTGTTGACGAGAATCCCCTATTCTTGATCTTAAGGGGCTGTGTTATTGGCCACTACTACATACATAACTATTGAGTGTTTAGAGATCCCCTATCAAAACTAATCTATACTGAGGCATGGGCCGTACTTCCTCATTGACAGGAGAAAAGAATTTGTTTGAAAGCATGGCCTCTGGAAATCCAGGCGCTTATGAGGCGGCGTAAATATCTATCTACCTAGTTAACTAGTCATCCTTTTCCATCTCTCTGCTCTTTGCTAATGCCGGGTAGGCTCTTAAAGTGAATACCATATCCTCATTTCCCGGGAATCTGTGGCAATTCTTACTACCTCCTAACTTACGGCACGTTAATAACTGGTAAATCATGGGAAAATTTCCAAAACTAAACATCAGGGTAATACATCTCATTGTATTCGAACTGATTGCTGTTGCATTGGCGTTTGGTAACAGCAAGAATCGCTTTGTCAGTCAACCAGCGTCCGATTCAGCGGATAACCCTCTCCGATACCTGGGAGAACAACGGGCGGTCTCCTGGATAACAGAGCCAAAGGACTATGAAATTGCTATCTGGCAGCAGTACCCTGAAGAGAACGTTGCAAATTATAGTGGAGTGGTGTTTTGAGGGTTCCGGTTTGGTCAAATGTGCCTTGCTATCATAAAGGTTAACTAATATTGCAATAATAATAATAACTATAGCAACGCACAAGGGGTCCGCTAGAACTTTTACTTGGACTGTACAAACCTACGGACGTGACCTGGGATTCTCCAACGTTTTCTTTTTTCCTAGGCTAGACGAGGTGACGAGAATAACCTTAACCTACCTCGAATTACTTCAATATATCAAGGGGGAAAACCTCCATCCCATGTTACGATTTCTACTCCGGAGCCCTCATCGCCCCAGCCTCAAAATAATGGCTCAGAACAGGAGAAGCCAGGTATCAATTACAGTGAAAATCGCATTGGGAGTTGGGTTATCAATGGGCATCATATTCTTGGCTATTGCATGTTTCGCCGCTCACAAGTTCCTCTAGTGGCAAAGGCTAAAGCGGACGAAAGGTCTAGAGAGTCCACGGGTGAAAGGAGAGGACACGACATCAGAACTCCCAACCAAGTACAATCCAAGCCGTTTCTTTGGGCCGGCTGAACTAGATGACAGAGGGTTTAGTCGCAGTTAGCAACAATGACCAGTCAACTAGCCGGTCCCTGACAGATAACCAGCTAGGCAACGAATCAGCTGGTTAACTGGCCCCCACCCAACTCTTAATTAGTTATTTAAAGCAGTTATCAGTCTGGAGGACTTCCCTTATCTTGAACTTCAACTTATTTTTAATTGATCAATACTACGGAGTCCTCCGTACGAATTCCATAATATTGCTGGATCTTCTGTTGATCGAAGCGTCGGTGATTTAAGCTCTCGGGTAGCAAACCCAAAACCAGCCAACGCGTTGCTCTTTGCGCTCGTCCGCGATCGACGGGAACGATCAAAGTTTCGCCTTGTGGGGCCTGGGGCGCTTAGTTAGTTAACTCTAATTTTCAACCCGATGCGCACGGCTCCTTTTTGCGCACGAGCGGCCCGGCATTGCCAGGGGAATGTTGAGGAGTTGGGTATAAACAGTTGACGTGCACGCCGTCCCTATAGCAATGCGTAGATGAGGGCCACTTCCGCGCCTCACGACCTGACAGGACAAAACGGCAGTTTTACAAGTTTGAACGTACTTGGCCTTCAATTAAGTATATGAACTTGGAGGGATCAGTCTTATTCTAAGTAGTTACTTGTTAAAACTACCTCTGCAGAGTTGGCCAGTGGAATGAAAACTTGAATGAATAGTAAACCACGGAAGTCAAGTGCCTGATCTAGGAGCTCAAGCTACCGCAAACCCATCCCATGTCTTCAATGCATTCTGGCCTTCTAATTCATACTGCTTAAGGCCACCAGCATAATTGAGTTGCTCGCGCTTCTTGCCCGGGATGTTCATACCCATATACCACGAATCAGTCAGTGGAAGAAGAGTGGCGTTTGACACTGCATTGACCTTGTTTTTCCACTCTTCCTGCGCCCGGCCTGTGGGCTGTATGTTCTTCCAACCATTCTCAAGTATCCTCTTGATCACTTCCACAATCCAACGTCCCTGGATCTCAATTGATGACGGCCCATTACTAAACGCGGTCGGGCCATGGGTGGCATACAGGTAAAACATATTTGGGTAGCCCTTGATACACATGCCGAGATAGCTCATTGCTCCATCTTTCCAGGCCTCTTTGAGAGGTTTGCCATCAATATCACGGAGTCCCATGTTTGTCATACTTCCGGTCACTGCGTCGAAACCTGTAGCAAGAGCAATCACATCCAGAGGGTAGAAAGTACCGTCACTGAGGAGAATGCCGTCTGGTTTAATTTCAGCAATGGGATTTTTTCTAATGTCTACGACATCAACGTTAGGTCTGTCGATCATGTCATAGTAGTCTTCTTCGAGTGAAGGTCGTTTCGTCCCAAATGCATGTGGTGGGTCCAATGGCGCAACTATATCTTTCTTTCTGGTATCATTTATCCTCGCTCGTGTCTTTTTTGCCCAGAAATCGTATGCGTAACGATTCGCCTTGGGGTCAAACAGGATATCTGAGTAAGTGCCTACCCAGAACTCAAATCCACCATTTTCCCATAGGCTCTCGAAGTGTGCTTCTCGCTCATCGTCAGACTCCGCCGTAGCGACTCTACCAGAAAAATCATATCTCATGCCAGAAAAGGTTGTCTCTCTGTTTTTGAAGAATTTTTCGTAATTCTTCTTTTTGTCTTCCTGTTCTTCACGGGACAACTTCCCCTGGCGCATAGGAAGTGCTAGGTTAGGAGTCCTCTGGAACACAACCAAGCTACCAGACTCCTTCGCTAGTGCTTGGGTTAACTGGACACCCGTGGCTCCAGTCCCAATTACTGATGTTCTCTTCCCCTTGACATCTACGCCCTCTCGAGGCCAGTCTGCGGAGTGACACATTATGCCTTTGAAGGAGTCTAACCCTTTATAATCTGGGACATATCGTTTGGCGCAAAATCCGGTAGCAAGAAGAAGGAACCTGCAGTGTGTAGTGCGTCCATCTTCAGTTTCCACGTCCCAGTTATTGTTCTGCATGTTAAATTGGGCACCAACAACTTTGGCGCCAAACTCGACATCCTTTTTAATGTCCCACACTTGGTCGACATGATCGAAATATTTAAGGATCTCTTCTCCATTAGGATACTTTTCTGTCCACGTCCAACCAGACCACAGCTCTGGGGCAGAGTACTCGTAAACAGGGACTTCGGAGTCAACGCGGAGACCTAAGGCACAACCAAGGTCAGGGGTATTCCCTCAAGAGCTCCTAAGCTAGGCATGAAGATCAGTCCGCACCTGGGTAAGTGTGCCAATGCCAGGTTCCTCCTAGACCAGTGCCGGCTTCGTATATTCTGCATTTGAGGCCAATCTTCCTAAGATGATATAGGAGAAAGATACCAGAGAAGCCTGCCCCTACGATCAGGGCGTCGTATGAGGACGCCTCACCGGACATTGTGTGGCCGTCTATGGGCTCGGCAGCCGTCCTAGATTTTCCTGAACGGCTAGGCAGGATTAATGCGGGCAGGAGAAAGGAGAGGGCTGTGCAGGCTGTCGTTCTTGTTTGGACTGGGTATCTATAGAGCAACGAGGACGTTGCAGCTTCCGCCTCTAAATAAATACTCGCCTTCGCCGTGTTACACCGGTCTCACTCCCCTCCTCCTCTCGCCTCGCGATGCGAGTCTGCATACTTTCAGAAATCCATCGCTTACTCTGCAGCAAAGGTTACATGGGTTTTCGTAATGCGAAGAAAACACTTATCTATCCCCCATCAAGGGCCTTGCCAGCCTGCTTTTGACGTCGTGAGGTCGGTCTTCTCCGCCATGCTGTCTCAATCTCTCCTTGCGTGATAAACGACCAAGCTCCGTCAAGTTTCAGTGCTTAACACGTAACTTGATAATAGTTATTCTTCAGCCTTCATACTTCCACTTGAATGCCTTCTCCCGTATTTCAAGGCCACCAGCTCGCTTTCTACCACTGCTTTCTTCTTTGCGGCCCCTGAAGCTCGATTTCAAACATGGCCGGCGATGGAATCGATGCCCTCACGTGAACTCGGGGAACCACGACCTCCCTGGCCGCCAGATACATCCAAGAACGATGCACAACCCATGACTTCGACGGTCACTTTTATGCGGGACAGGCGGCTCGATAAATTACCCAGATGGATGTCCAATCATATAACACGGCATTCGTGAGGCATCAGCGGACGCATGCACGCTGCCGCTCTAGCTCTGCCGTGGCAGGGCGAGGAGATACTCACCCCTCGTTGGCTATCACCTGACGATGCCCTGGTGAGAATTTGCAGCAAGCAGGGGAGAAGGAGGCCGTGGCGGGATGGGACAATCACTTGCGGTGTCGTTCTATGCAATCAATCACTGCGCCTATCACATATGACCCGAGTAGTATAGACCGTCCGGGGTTTATTCCGCCTTGGTGTGTCCCAATAATACCACGTATATTGCCTGCACAACGCTCCGCCAGTGATGGACCAGCCTATTCAGACCATAATACCTGTTCCGGTTGCTTTTCTGCAAGGATATAACTGGAATGAGGCTGAGAATTTGCGGCACAGCCGTTTGTCTCGGTTTTATAGGCCACTGACCTTCTCTAAAATCACCTATCTTCTCTTTAACTACTACGCAGGTTGGTTGGTGAAACATGACCCCAACTCTCTCTTGGGGCCAATGACTCTAAACAAAACTACAATATCTATACCCAATTTGTATCATTGGTGGTGTTCAGCTTCTTCCTGATTCTATTCCCTCAGTTCGGTCTGATATTACCGCTCCACTCAATATATAAAACTTTATCACTGAGACAGATAGGACGCATGGCTCGAAGAGGTAATGTTACAAGCCATTTTATCGCATCCAGATAGGTAGCTAATTTTAAGCTTGTAGTGGATAGCATTGAAGTTCTCGAAAGAGCCGCTGACGGCTTTAAACTTTCTCTGTTTCTAAGCGCTGTGAGCTGCGAGGTCTTCAATGGCGGCATCGAAACTCACAGCATTGCAAAGGGGATATCGCTTCTGGCCGTTTCCTTGAAACATGCGGGGAGAATCCTCCAGGAACCTGACCCCATATACTCCGTACAAGCTGCAAACACCATCGGGGAAATCTCGCATCAGAGTGCTGCAGTATTTGACGAACTCAAGTCAATGCTGAGCAATGCTCAGGCTCGTGACAACGGAGCATCCAAAAATGAGACTTTACGAGATCATTTTCTCCGTTGTTTCAAAAAACACCGTGTCACATATCTCATCGCCTACATGGAGTCACTCAATCTTAGCCTCATGGCTATAGGGCAAATAATAAACTTAAGGAAACTATTAGCTTCAAAAAGGTAATGAGGTAGTTACTGCTTTTTGTTGTTTTTGCACTCTTGCTCATTGTGATTTTGTGATTAGGTATATGGAGCAGGGCCTTGCTACAGCTTTAATTGAACAAGAACGCGCTGAAATTCAGAACATGCTTATCATTCGATGCTGGTCCTTGAACAGATTAGACAGGCTTTACGATCTGGCTCGCCGAGAGGCAGAAGAATGGAACATACCTTGTATACTCAACCCTGCTTTTGATCCATCAATACCTGCAAGTCAACGTAATGCTTTCAGAAAGCTTCGTGCTGTTTCATTTGGAAATGTCGACATCAGTTTACAGCAAATCAAAAAGACACCCAAAGACATGGTCCAGGTATCTGCCGAAGCAATCGACCCATTATTGCAGCTATGGGTGCGAAGAAAACAGGTCTCATGGAATTTAAGCTCTTGCCTACATCATGACAACTGCTTTGAGCTACCATGCGACCCTCCTACTCCTAAGTCTGCGGATGTGAAGGCTTCAGAAGGCTCGGAGCCACCTTCTCAAAGAGCCAAAGTATATGCTGATGATCTTCAACAAGGATATTCCAAGTACTGAGCTACTGTTCAAACAGATTCGGAGGAGAGTGAGACCGAGGATGATGAGGCCTTGCCAAATAATGTTACCGATCCGTCATCTTCGTCTTATATTTCTCAGCATGAACAGCCTGGTTCTTCTGCGAGTGATAGCAGTACCCAGAGGTGCCCGAGCTTACAGAGGAGTGCCAGTTATACCACAGCGTATGCTCGTCCTAATCTTAATGCGGATGAGCAGTGCAACTCCAGACCACGAACGTTCCTTCCCCAAAGGTCTAGGACTGGGCCTTTTGACAACCGTGATACGTACAAGATACCGGTACATAATTTCGGAGATTCTTCCCCTAATGCATCGTCAAATACGGATACATGGAAGATACCATATAATGCAAATCAACCAACGGGACAACATCCTAGCGGGCCTTACTACCCTCCAACAGCTACCCCATGTCCATATCCCAATTATTCCCCAAAACATCCGATAAACCCTCCTCATAGATCATACACCCATCCACCTGGGCCTTATCCCCGCCCGTATGCCAGCTCATATTACCGCACATCTCAGGTACCCTTATGCCCGGGTCAACCCCAGTCAGGAACGCTATTTCACAGTGCTCCACCCACCCATGATGCCCGTGCTTATCGTTCTAGACCCCGTGTTTCTTTTGTGGACGAGCAATCCTCCGACTCATCAAGCAGCGAAGCAAGCAGGGATAGGTTACGAAGAGGGGACAAAATGAAGGAGCAGAGAAGGCAGAGATCAAATGTGAAGGATAAGAAATCCAGGCCTCCGACAAAGAGCTCCAGACGATCAACGTTGCACAGCGTTTTAGGTACGGGGGCTATCACGGCATTTCTTAAAGCATTGGAAGGAATTTCTCCCGGAAATTGGTCCCTTTTCATGAAATACTGAGTAGACGTAACGCATTTTGCTAGGTGAGCTGGTAGATCAGTTATGCATTTTATTTCTCTTATGGTGTGGTTCTTGGATACTTTTGCTAATATAGCCGTAGGTAGAAGATATATACTAGTACCGAGCTTGTTGAGAAGGGCAGTTTCTTTGCAACCGGTTTAGTCTAAATCTAAATTTCCTCTGGACCTATCCTTTTATCTTCTATGCTGTCGAAGAGAAACAGAGAAAAAAAAAAAGTCAAAACAAGCTAGAATATTTCAGGAGACAGAAGAAATTGGAAAGGAAAAAATTAGTTGGTTCCGTTTCTCCTCTGCCAATATGGAGGCCCAGTTGCAAGGGTTTAAAAAGTATCACAGCCTCCCCAATAAAGGAAAAAAAAATTCAAAAGTTATCAAAACTTAATAAAGAAAGCACGAGGTGAAAAATAGATCAGAACGGTCTAGATATGCTTAACAAGAAAATTGACCAAAGTACCGGAGAAAAAGCAGGGAGGACAAACGGAGAAATCCAGATAGTAAATCGAGGTGTTATGAGAATATGGAAGGGGTATTGCCGGGTGCTTTACAACTTGAAAATTTTCCACTTGATGATCAAAAGGTGACGGTTGAGGTTGAGATTTAGACAATTAATATCATGATTCGTTAGATGGGTGGGCGGGGAAGGCGTAGCTTTACTTGCTCAGTACCGGTAAGCTAACACCCGCTGGAGGCTGCAGGCGGCCGAAGTTCGGCTCGAGATCCAAAATGAGTTTCAGCGCATTGCGCGATCGAAGATAAGGTAGTGGACCAGAGGCTGGTTGTAAGCTAGCCTGAGGCTCCACATAGCCGGTTGGAGTGACTACTTCATGCTCTGAGCCTGGCATTGGCAGCCATTTCTGAAGCACTTCATACGCAGCAAGGGTGAAGCCGAACTGGGGAGACGAACGCAGGATACGAGCTGGTCCACCTTTGAAAAAGGCTTTGAATCCTTCTTCCTTCATGATTGTGGCGGCACAGTGGCGGAGAGAGGTGTATTTTGTCTCTCCCTTTCGAGCTTCGACTTGGAGACGGGTTTTGATGACATCACACGGGGTGGTGAGGTAGGCAGCAGGCATACCGGCTATGGCTCCGGCAGTCAAGAGTTGGATAACACCCAGCTTCTTGGTGGGAGACTCGCCGAAGAAGTCTGTTTTCAAATGGGAGTACGTTGGGAAGTAGATTGCCGAGAATGGGACTGTTGGACGGTATGTTAGCAGGGGGAGAAGTTACATATTATCAAGAAAAGGGGGGGTAGTAGCACACACCATCACGAAGGAGACAGGCGCTAGCTCCCTTGTAGAGTCCCATGAGTCCCAAATTCTTCACGATCCACATTGCGGACCTACGAGGGGCTGCTGTCTCATTGACATTCTTTGCAATTTCTCCCTGGATCTGTAGACGAATCTTGACGATTTCTAGTGGATTGGTGAAGACCTGGACAAGGTTAGTAGATATATCCAAGACAAGAGCAGAATTAAGATGGGGTGAAGACACATACGACTTGACAGGCACCAGCGGAACCACCAGCAATAACCTCATGAGGCCACCATATCTTTCCGCCCTTATCCTTGTCTGCAAAGAAGCCTCGCACCAGGTCGTTGACGGTAAGCTTAATAGCCTTTTCAGGCGCAACTCCAATCAATTGAGGGATGACACCAGAATACAGTCCCAGCACACCTTCATTTCGGACTACCTTCTTAGCACAGTCGAGCGAGTTCATATACATCTTCTCACCGACACGTGCACTTCTCTGGTTCTGCATTCTGGTTTTGACGAGATCGATCGGATAGACCATAAAGGCACCAAAAGCACCAGCAATGCTTCCGAGAGCGAAATGGTGAACAGATTCTAGTATGTTGTGAAGCACCTGGCTGGTTGTTCCGGTAACCTTTTCGGTTGCCTTGGACGCACCGGCCAGCGCCTCCCTGCCCAAAACGCTGGCACTGTGCCACGAAGCATCGATAACCTTTGCAAAGTCGCCGAGTTCGAGTCTACCAGAGGGGGCATCGAGACCGGCGAAGTGGAAGAGGATATCGGCTTCCATTGGTGTAAAGAGCGAGAAGCGGGTGATGCGGGCAGCCTCGTTCAGGAAGTCAGACCGCGTGATCTTTCCATCGTCACTCTTGCGAACGGCACTGCGGATGATGTAGTCTATGATGTCCATTTCTCTGATGATGTTCTGGAATGCACGCACGTTTGCGTATGATATCTTGCTGCCGGAGGAGATGTTGCATAGCGTGGGCAGGTTCTCCAACAGATGGTCTGACAGCTTGTGTTGCGAGGTTTCTAGGATGATGCGCTGGAAATCTTCTGGTTCGATGTAGCCGTCCCCGTCTTTATCGAACAGGTGGAATGCCTGTCTTATCCTCTCTCCTTGGAGTCCGCGAAGCATCTGCGCAAACTGCGGGTATGTCATGTCGTGCCTTGTCTTTTTCGAGCCGGTATAGAGAGCAGCCCAGCCCGAATTCCAGTCGAAAGGGATGGTGTTGTCACCTTTGGCAGAGCTAAATAGCTTCTGTAGCGTCTCATGCTTGACTATTCCCGTTCCCTCGGTGTCGAAGAGCCTGAACGTGATCTCGTACTCTGCGTCCGGTTTGGCCAGAAGGTCCTCAAACATCGACCAGTCCTGGAGATTGATCTTGCCGGTGCGTCTTCGGTCGGCAACATTGAAGAGAATGCCATATTGTTCCCGTTTTATTTTGTGCTGCAGGAATAAGATCACGTTAGCTTCTATATCTGTTCTTCTCTACGAGGAGGAAGGGAGGTGTTGTTGGGTTATGCTTAAGAGTTAAGCTTATGTGAACGAACGCCGATAACAGCCTAAAGCCAGCCAACGCAGCCATCACCATGCTTCCGGAGTAGAAGGGAATGACTTACATAGTCCTCATTCTTAGGGGCAATGGCATTGATAAAGTCTTCTCTTGTCATGTATAGTTCACCAGACTCACTGTCCACCCTCGCGTGCTGCATGAAATGGGCTTTGACATGTGCGCTCAGCGGTGTCTCACTAGACCTGCCCACCAGCTGCTCCTTTATATTCTGCGCCATGATGTGAACGTGCTAGAACCAGATCCTGAAGCTCTCTTTGCCGTAATCACTGTCTCTATACGAATAATTGGGGCCGCTGCAGTTGAGGGTTGCGCTAGGGAGGATGTGTCCTGGCAAAGAACCGGGGGGGAAAAGCTGGAGAAAGCTCAGCAAGCTGAGGCCGACGGGACAAGTAGGGATGCTCCGGATGCGAGTGAATGGCTGTCTGGACTTCACGGGAGCCAGCCAACAGAGTGACGGAGGGGATGCGAGGAGAGGGATGACGGGAGAAAGGGAGGAGGAGGAGAAAGAGAGAGCCGATCCTGAGGAGTTTCTTCGTCTTCGACTTCTGGGTCACTAGAAAAATTTATCTGTCTTTTCGCTCGCTGCTCAGGAACTGGAAAGCTTACCCGATTTTCGGTCGCGGCAAGACTTGGCTCTTCTTTCTTTTTCTTTTTTCTTTTTCTTTTTTTCTATTTGATCAATATTGATTGATTGATATTTGATTTTGATATCGACAACTAGTCAGGAGCTTTATGGCATTATTTTATTGCTTCTACCAGTCTCGCTTTAAGACCTCAAACATCTTCTCTCTCTCTTTTTAAATCACTTCTTCTTCTTCTTCTTCTCTTCTTCTCTTCTTCTCTTCTCCTTACAAGGCTTTTCTCCAGTGCAGTCACGTGTCATGTGGGCGCCGGGTCGGAAGGCAAGGACCAATCACAGGCCGCGGCAGGATCGTATCGTGTCAACCGAAGGGAGCAAAGCAGGCGGGCAGGACAGCGAGGCCATGGGCGCCATGCGCAAGGCGGCAGGGGAGCGCAGGGGAGCGCAAAAGCAAGCATGGGAGCCGTCAGCAGGTGGCAGATAAGTAGACGGACAGACAGCAGAGGGCAGTGGCTTCGGGAGATAATCTGATAACTTAACTAGTTAGTTATCACGACGGGCCAGCTGTCGCCGCCTGCCGGAGCTTCACCCGGTGGCCATCTCCACCAGCTAGTTAGTTAACTACGGAATTGAGCGATATCTTCCGTTGACAAGTCGGACTGTCAGCTAAGCGCGAGTTACATACTGCTTGCTGGCAGGGGAGATTCAGGAGGCCTCGGAGTGCCACATGACCATTTTCCAGAGTCGGCTGAGCTGCGTTACCCTCCGATAAACATGAACAGCCATCTCTTACCGTACCCCTACAACCAAGGGCATCGCAGTCCTCCGTTCTCTGGGCTCAAGGCCTTGGCTAATGCGCTCTATGGCGCTTACCTCCGTTTCCAGCCCCTTGCTGCTTCACCAGCCGGCACCAAGCCTATCCAGCTTGTCTGCATCTCGGATACCCACAACTCGACCAGAGAGGTTTCACCTGGCGATCTTCTCATCCACGCTGGCGACTTGACTCAACGTGGTACATCCGAGGAGCTTCACAGTCAATTTCGATGGCTGTCTACTCTCCCACATACCCATAAAATCGTTATAGCAGGAAACCATGATCTCCTGCTCGATTCAGATTTCGTTAAGCGTCATCCTACCCGCATTCCCAGCCAGCCTGGATCATCTGTCTTCAGTTTGGACTTATATGATGTTGAGTATCTTCAGGACCGATCTGTCACCCTGGACTTTCCAAACGGGAGGAGATTGAATATCTACGGCTCGCCTCAGACACCGGAATTCGGTATTTGGGCCTTCCAGTACCCGGCAATTCGGGATGTTTGGACTGGTAGAATCCCTGACAGTACAGATATAGTCGTGGTTCATGGGCCACCCGTACTCCATCGTGATGATGGAAAGAAAGGAGATGGGTATTTGTTAAAAGAGTTAAGAAGAATAAGGCCGCAACTCGTTGTATTCGGCCATGCTCATGATGGATACGGAGAAGATTACCTTCTCCATGACGGGGTACAGAGTGCCTGGGAAGATGCAGTCCTACAGAGAAGTGGTATAACTGTAATACTGCGCATGAGTTTCTGGATGTTGGTAGCACTGCTTAAATTCTTCCTAGGGCTCCCACAACCCAGCCCAACAAGACTAGTAAACGCAGCTCTTGCGCCGGGAACAAACAGCAAAACAAAGAAGCACCCTATTATACTAGAAATATAATCCGGTTACTCCTCTGTATATATTTGATATAAACCAGCCCTCACCAAACAGAAAACTTGTTGTCCATCAGCAATTTCTACTCGGTAGGGAGCCTTTAGGGAATCGACGTCGTCAAAATGGGTTTGCGGGAGCCATTCACCAGAGAAACTGCTTTAGCGAGAACATCACGGTCATCCCGAAACGTCAAACGCTGTATGGCCTCGTCACAGCTGAAAAACTGCGCAGTAAATCCTGTCTCGCCATCCATCTTTCGGACGCCTTTCTCGAGTTCCGCGATATACCACCATATGAGCTTAACGTTATATTCCCCAAGCTTCCGGGTGGAAAGCATGAATGGCTCCATTAGACAGTGATAAACTCGCGCCTGATCGGGGATATTATAGGTGCTAGATGCAGCTGGAGCGCGGGTTGGCATTGCGACAGGATAAAGGTGGCAGTGGTATCCAGTCTCTTCTTGGACTTCCCGGAGAGCAGCATCGCACCGCCGTTCATTGCAGTTTCGCCGTCCCTTAGCAAGTAGCCATTCGTCGTTCTTGACGTCGTGGATCAGACACACTTTGGCTATACCTGCCGAAAAATCAAACAGTATTGCACCGCTGCTCTCGACAAATTGCTCGCTGCTGTATTGGACTGTTTTGAAAGCCGACGCTGCCATGTTGATTTGCTGAAAGTTTGGAATGGCATTCTAGACTCAACTTTGTGATGGGCTATCTTAAAGTAAGGCGGTCTTGGAGTTCATGTTGGAGCCGGCGTTTGGCCAGCGTCTCGGATAACTATATGATCCGCTGTTGCCGCTACCTTCTGCATCATCAGATAGATAACCATATTGGAGTGCTTTTTCTACAGATGTTAATCTTTGATACTGCGGCATCACTTGCACAAGATATAAAGACGTCACTGGTTTCACCTCCCTTTGACAGTAAGCGTATGCGGAAGCCAGTGCAATGGGTCCTAGTCTTCATTAATATCTATACTCTGGCTAGGTTCGCCTTGAAAGATGCTAATAGAGAATCTATCACGGATGCTGTCATACTGTATTTAACATATTGTTAAACTAACATCTATATTTTAACCAGTGAGAGGAACCAAATTATTGCCCTAGCTCTAAGGGCTGGAGCAAAATACCCCGCGGGTTTGAATTTAGTAGGAGTGCAAACAGGTCATTCAATCTTGCTATATTCAAGCCTGCCCAAACCCCGACCAGGCCCATACCAACAGGCCCCCCAAGTTAAGCTATCGTTCATCTTTCGTGTCACAATGCCTTGATTATCTGACACTGGCTGAAGTCTGCATAGTTGTTTCAGATGTATGTGAAATCATACTCACCCTCATATCCATAAAATCCATCGTTGCATTAAAAGCCGCATAGATAACAGCGATTCATAATGTGGTTAAACCTCGAGGATATCTTTTATAAATAAAGGAAGAAGATATACTCCTCAAACAAAGTCTATGGTGCTGGCAGATGATCACCCAGTACTCAGATGTAGCGCAATCTTCTGCTCCATGTAAGCGCAGTCTCACCTTTGTGAGTAGAACCTCAATGTTATCCTAAATTCCGGTGTAATTCTGAGTATTTTACAAATAATCTGAGCGGATTTGGACATTGTAGATGAGTCTCTTAAGTTTGACAGTTACCCGTCTCGCGAGCCATCGAAGAAAGGTGAGCCCGAAACAAGGTATCTTCGGCCAATATTGAGCCATGTATCTCAATCTGACCTAATACTAGTTGCTCATGCAAAATGAATTATAATCAGGTAACTATTAAAAGAGCCATAGATGGGCTAAATGATTTCGTATGGTAGTATAATTCTGTCCAGAGCCTTGATTAATGTGTCACATGTTCAGCACCAGACGGCGGGCGGCTTGGTATATAACTAACTATTTGCAAGTCTGCCGCCCTCGAGTTCTAAAACTTGAATCCCCCACGAAGGTCGTGCCCTATCGATTGTATATGTCAAAGTTCCGAGATAGTATATCTGAGAAGCAAATATCGTGAGAAGTTGGGCAAAGAAAGACTGATTCAAAGCGGAGAATTGACTGCTTAGTTGGTTAGTTAAGTTATGGGGTGTTTGGAACCTTTTATACTTGGCTAGTTAGTTAGTTATTCGCCGAGCTAGCCGCCAAAGCCCCGCCCATGCGGGTTTCCTGTCGCCGACCTTAACTATATATAGTAAAGTCCCGTCTTAGAGGGGTGGTGCTGTAGGGATAACAATACCAATGGTGTTAATATGGGCTTCATCAGTCATTGGCAGTTGAATTGAATTACCTACCGAGGCAGTGTTATCACTTATGTCACATCAACAACTAGTAATTAACTAGTACTTAATAGTGAGCTCTATGGCTCCTCTATCTCTCGAAAGATTTTGCACAGCCGAAAGATATCGGCTCTTGGGTCTGTAGCCTTGTTTGTCAGCCGGGACAATTTTTCTGTGTCTCTGTTACACTATGCACACAGAATCTAGGTTTAGTCCTCCATACCACAATTATTTTCCTTTTCTGAGAGACGCCTTGGTGGATCCGACAACTTGATCTGCCTGCGGTTATGACCCGGTTTCATGCTTGGCCTTTGTCCACTTCCAAAGCCAGGAGTAGAGAATATAAGGAACCTCCACAAACCCTTTATGTTAATTCTGCCATCGTATGCTCGGAGTCACTCATTCTGAGAAGCCACAGGCTAGCTATCCTTATGAGCACTATTCGGAAGAGTATTGAACGTATATTTTACCTAAAGAGATCTTGGGCTGGACTTCAATGTTGGTTTGACTTAGGTAAGCACCTGAGATGAGGTCCAAATAAACTCTCGGATTATTAATTATCCATAAGCACGTGAAAAGCTTAAACTCTCCTGTTTCCAATTTAAAGCTTTGTTCAGGGAAGAAAAGACAGACGAGAACGCGAGGCAGACGGAATTGATGCAAGGGGAAAAAGCTTCACAAAGGCCCCTGAATTACCCTCGTCTAGTTTGGCCTATACCTAGCTATGGGCAGAGATTAGCCCGCAAAGTAAGAGTGAGATATCCGTGGGCTTCGCCCGACGCCTCTACCATAACCAAGTAGTTGATGCTGAAGCTAATCGATCTTAGATAACTAGGGGTTGATTCCTATGATCTCATGACCTATGGTCTCTGTCTTTTCCTCCATCTACCACGACCAAACGATAATGAGACATTATATATAGGCCGTTTTCACTGCTTGTTTCATTTCCAGCACGTTTAACGCCCTAATTTACCGTTCTACTCATTTTCCCGATACACAGCCCCCGATATTGCCTCTGCCAAAAGACGCCACAAACCAACGGCCCATTAGACAGGTATCGAGAATACTTAACCACTTGGCTAACTGGGAATGTCGTCCCTTGCTAGTTGGGAAAACCTTTGCGCTGGAACTCTTGCATCATCTGATCGTGGCGGTGAGAACGACGTTGACCTATAATGAACTCCATAAAATCTGTGGACGGTAATATTGAGGGGAATGGAGACAAGAAAATGGTAGAGGGCAGTGCCGGCCATGAGGAGGCAGGCCAATGTGGCGAAGGGACTGGTCAGAAAGGGCCGGAAATCTCATCGACCAAAGCAGCTACGGCCAAAGAAGAGCTCGATGATTTTGGGTTGCCGGCTAGGCCTGGAAGATCAACCCCGGCAGCAAGATCTGCGTCAGCACAGAGTGTATCTCCAAGTCTCCCAGATAGATCGAAGACACCCGCGGGTTCAGATGTCCCAAAGCCCGTGGCCAGACCTGTGTCTGGACATCTCGAGGTGCCGAAAAGAAAGACAGCCGATTTACCTGTCGACGAACCAGGATCCAATATAAGCCATGATAAGACTCCGGTCAGTTCCTCAGACACACAAGAGAATGACACCTCCACGAAACCTAGCGCTACCGAGAATAACAACGCTTCTCCGCCGCCCCATGAGGCGCATTCAAAGGATGTATCGGAGTGGTCACATCAAAAGATAACAACAAAAGATGACTCCGAAGAAGAAAAAGAAGAGGATACATGGCAAGATATGCCAGCACTGGGAGAGTTTGATGTTTACGATGATTATGGAAGAATAGTGGCCCGAGGTGCCAAAGATGATGACGCTATGGCTTATCAAGGCCTAGGAGGGGCTGGAAAGGGATATACCCGAATTCAAATTGACGAGGATGCTCAATCTGCAACCAGCATGGACGAAAATACGAGCTACTTGTTCAAGGAGCCCCAAAGCAATGCTCTTGGCGTTGAAGACGATGATTTACGCGATCCAACATCACAATTAGAAGCAACAAAGGACCTTCTTACCGAAGGTCAAAGAATTGCGTATGTTGGGGCTACGAGATTAACCATTTTTCAAATGGTTAAGCAAGTGGAATCATACGAGTCATCATCAAAGACGACGCGCAAATTTCTCAGCACTGCAGTAGATTCAATGACAAAATGGGGTCAACAAATAATGATCAGACTCTACGGGCATATGGAGATTAACTCCGATGAACAAGTTATGATTGAACAATTGGCAGAACATGGGGTTCGGCCAGAGGACCTAGTATCTCCGCTAATGCGGAATTCTCGTGTGAAGAATCCTCTTGCCCAGGAGTCTGAATCCAGCTCCAAAGGACCAGTCGACCAGTCTGCTGCAGATATTAACAACAAAATGTCCAAACTTTCTGATGAACCACCACGATCACCCACGCCTCCACCGCCTTATGAATGTAATGACAGTAACGAAATACCAGAAATTCAATCACCCTCCGAACTTCAACAGTCTAAAGATCTAGATATAGACCTTCGGTGGACTGTTCTTTGTGATCTATTTCTCGTTCTTATTGCAGATGCAACGTACGATGCAAGATCTAGAAAGCTGCTCGAATTGGTTGGAGAATCCATGCACATATCCTGGACTCAAATTTGCCGTTTTGAGAAACGCATTATTGATGCATTAGAAATGCAACAAGAAGCTAACAAGGAGACATGGGATGAAGCACAACATTTGGAATCCCGAAGGAAGGCTGCTTTGAAGCAGCGTTATCTGATAATGGGCTTGGCAACGGTTGGAGGTGGTCTGGTAATTGGCCTCTCGGCTGGGCTTCTTGCACCCGTTATTGGTGCTGGTCTTGCTGCCGGCTTCACCACTATCGGAGTCAGTGGTACGGGTGCCTTCCTTGGTGGGGTTGGTGGAACAGCTCTGATAACCTCCGGCGCAACCGTTGCAGGGAGTACCATTGGGATCAAGGCCTCCGACAGAAGGACAGGCGCTGTCAAAACGTTTGAGTATCGCCCTCTACACAACAACAAACGACTTAATCTTATTGTCACAGTTTCTGGATGGATGAATGGCAAAGTCGATGACATTCGATTGCCATTTAGTACTGTGGATCCTATTATGGGCGATATTTACTCTGTTTTGTGGGAGCCTGAGATGTTACAAAGTACAGGACAAACAATCAATATTCTTGCTACTGAGGTATGCTGTTCAGCTCCTTTTCTTTTTCCCTTAAAATTAGTGTATAAGGAAATAAGTTAGCTAATGATCTTCCTAAGGCGCTTACACAAGGTCTTCAACAAGTCCTGGGTGCCACGATTCTTACCGCCCTGATGGCGTCACTGCAATTGCCTATTGTTCTAACAAAGCTGTCGTATCTCATTGACAATCCCTGGAACGTGTCACTCGCTCGTGCGAATGCTGCTGGGTTAATACTGGCTGATTCCCTAATAAACAAGAATTTGGGAAATAGACCTATCACCCTCCTTGGGTTCTCACTGGGCTCGCGCCTAATCTTTTCCTGCCTGAAGGAACTTGCCAACAAAGGCGCATTTGGGCTAGTGCAGAATGTATACCTATTTGGCTCTCCTGTCGTCGTGTCAAAGGACGAGTATACCAGGGCCCGAAGCGTCGTATCTGGGAGGTTTGTGAATGGTTATTCTTCAAATGATTGGATTCTCGGTTACCTTTTCCGGGCCACCAGTGGCGGAATTATGCGTGTAGCTGGACTCGCCCCTGTCGAAGGTATTCCGGGGATCGAGAATGTTAATGTTACACATCTTGTCAGTGGCCATATGGCCTACCGTACTGCGATGCCTCGACTTCTACGAGAGGTTGGATGGGATGTAGAAAGCGACGAGTTTACTGAAATCGAAGACCCTGATCCGGACAAGCATGAAGAACGACAGCGTGAATTAATGCGTGAAATAGACGAAGCTCGCAGACAAGCCGAGTTGAAACCAGACAAGAAGCGGTTTGGTTTCTTTAAGAGCGGGAAACTTGCTCAAAAGAAGCGGTGGGAAACTTATGATGTGAATAAGAGCGCAAAGGAGTCGAGCTCGTCTGGAAAACCGGGCGATGCAGATAGCTCCGTTCTCTTTGATATTGATGCCATCAGAGCTGAGCTCGCTGGTGAGCATATTGAGATCAAACAGCTAGAGTCTACACTGCCTCCTATTAACCTCGACCTGAACAATGATTCACCTACCACTACGAACGCGCAGACAGATTCGACTCCAACAGTGTCAGCAGAGGACACGACGAATAAAGATACAGATATAAAGCCAGATCCCGTCCCCATCTTATCTCCCAAGTCCAACACCTCGCCAGCGTCGTTGGAAACCAAAAGCCAGTCAAGAATACCCATGCATACATGGCCTGCTCAAGAGGAAGAGATTGAAATGACCTTCGATACCTCCTACAGTTCTCCAGTCGCCTCACCTCCTCAGAAATTAGCATCTGATTCCCCAGTATTCTCCTCGATCTCCTCACCCAACAGTCACCACGGACTTCCTGATATCAATCCTTCTCACAATGCTTGGGCCGACCAGCACGATGACTATAACGAGCCTAACATAAAGATGACATTCCAATAAAATGGTTTGATTTATGAGCACTATGAGCACCTCGAGGACACTAATGCGGTCAATGTGTCTAACGCTACTTTTACATTTCTTGTTGTTATTTTTCAAATCCATGAAACACATTTTGTATCTATTTCAGCATTATGTGACTTAGTTAATAAACTGCATCTTACATGAGATAAGGAGCAACTACATGGACCCTCATGGCCTGGAGTCATTATTCAATGCCATTCTGAACCGTCTTTTCTCAGCGCTTCGCATAGATATAAGTGCTCGATGGCTTCGTGTCGGTAGTATTAAAATGTTCTTGTCGTTAACTGGTTGACTTGGCGCTTAACTCGTTAAATAGTTATCCGCGTCTAAGTAACTAAGTTAGTTAATCTCCACCAGCAAACGGAACGCGCGAAACGACAGCAAACAACCGCTTCGACAAGCATTGAGCGAACCACGGAACGGCTATAGTCCCTACCAATCCCGACCGCCACCGTGCTGGCGCCCATGAGGGATGGCTCCTGCCCCGAGGCCAGACCCTAGCTACGCATCAACCCGATTAACAACGAGAAATCATGCTGGAGGTCCACCACTTACGCAGGTCGGAGGGAGGCCAACACGGAGCGCGCAAAGGAGAGTTGCGGAAACAGGGAGTCAATCGCCAGACAATCCGGCAGAACAGCCGAGCCCTACATTAGCAAAGCAAAGGGCTGAACCTGCGACCGACGATGAACCCCTTGCTTCCAGCGACGAGGACGAAGATGACTTTGGGGAGGTAGAGGAGATATCAACAATTCGTGATCCGCAGAAAAGAACCCTCTTTTCACCAAGGGACTTGGATTACCATATTCAACAAAGTGACGCTGCAAAATATTTGCCAAAAAGCCGCCTGGGACAGAGTGATGCTTCGGAGAATGAAAATTCCCCGAAGAGACAAAAGAGAACCACGACACCTAGGAAGAAACAGTCGAACACATCTAAGAAGCCAGCGGCTACACGCAATATTAGGAGACCTACAACTCATCCTTACCAAAAAGATAAGGAAGAGGAAGGTATATTCAAGGCATTCTCAAAGCAAGGCCGAAAACAAAAGCAATACTCAACAAAGACGTCTCATAACATTCATGCTCCAACTCCCTTGAAACATCGGGCGGCGCGTGAGCTTGAAAGGGAACCTTCGAGCGGTTGTGACGATAGTCCTAAAAGCTCGCATAAGTCCCAAGCTGACAAAGGGCTCCAGTTCAAGGATCCAGCCTCCTTCATGCAAGCTCACGCTTCTATTCCAGCTAGCTCTTGCCGTGAAAATGACCCTGATATTCTGGACCTTAGTGATGGGTTTGAAGCCGTGTCACCGCTAAGCTCTGTATCTTCGTCGTTTTCTGTCCATATACCCCCAGAGCTCCAGGAGGAGATTGACCGTCGCTCTGCCCCCGTTACAGTGTGTCCCGTGTGCGAGATACCGGTGGACATGGAACTGTTCAAATCTTTCAAATCAATGGAAAAAATGGGTCAGCAATCCCGGTTTTGCTTATTACACCGGAGGAAATCTGCGGAACAGCAGTGGAAGGAAAGACGTTATCCAACTATAGAGTGGGAATCGTTCCAGACACGCATTGAAAGCCATTTTGCAGAATTGGAAAGAATATTGTTACCCGACAGTTGCTCGGTTTATCGAGAGTTATTGAAATCATCTGCTTTGGAGCACAACAAGCAAGGAAACTTCCGTCTTAGTATTACTAACTCGGAACTAGAAAAGATGACTACCGGGTACTATGGTGCTCGAGGCGCAAAGAATATGTAAGAATTAATCCTATGCTTAGTCTCCCGCATTTTGCATGCTTACAGGCCTATTTTAGGATGGAAGTCATTACTTCCCGCTTTGCTCCGCGAGTACGGGAATTGGCTTTATCAGACTCGCTGGTACAGGCGGTTGGAGTTTCCGGTTATGTTCAGGCAGTGCTTGTTCCAGAGCTGACAACAATTCTTGTCAAGGAAGACATGGACGTTGACGATGAGGAAGCCAGACGCATCATGCAGGATAGCATGGAGATTGGTGACCTTTTGAACCAGCAACTTGACGATACTGTGGAACTACGGAACGAAAACTTGGACACCTAGTAGAGGTCAAGGAAGAACGTCCACGTACCCTGTAGCCGATACAGAACGAGCCTGCCCCTAACAAACTGTGAGATATCCGCTGTTTATTGTACACTTCTATTCATTCATAGCAGGTGGAGTTATTGGGCGAGAGGTCTAGGGAGGTCTAGGAACTGCGAACAGGAACATCTAGCTTGATAGCTCTCTGTACTTTGTAACGTTGAGATGTGAGCGTTTCTTTTCTAGAATTACATACTTGTTTCTACAACACAAGCGCCTCGAAACAACCCCTCGTCCTGCTACTTCCTACGATTTAAGCAGACGTCTTCTTATCTCGGTAAGCCAAGCCGAATGCGACCAAGCCATAAGTTGCCAATATGCTCAGTCCCACAGGAAGTGGTTTTCCACCGGTTTTGATAACTCTTGGAATGGAGCTACCGCCTAGAACAGCTGATGCGAGAAGGCCAATCTCCTCTCCATAAGGCTGATGAGCTTGCAGGCGGAAATAGCTTACGGCGTAAAGTGCACCGATTGTGAGTCCCGCAACAATAGATGGAACCGATCCTGTACGTGCATACCCGATGATGCCGCCGCAGGACGTTAGAAGGGAGAGGGCAGCGGCCGAGTAACTTGTATTTGCGTTCTAGAAAGCCTGATATTAGAGATGGCAAGCATTGACATAACTGCAACAGCTAAGTAACATACCATTATTGCCCGGCTATACAATGTGAAAGCTTTGGTTTGACTGGCCTCAGTGGTGCCTTAACAGTATCTTCTTATACCCACGAGCGATGTGTGGTTGCCAACCTGGTGTGTATAGAATGGGCATCTTCTACCTTCGCGCGACGTTGGCTGTTGCTCCTGCTTAGTCAACAATAGACGGTTATCATCACGTGATAGTTTGGCGACCTGTTCCTTTCGAGATAGCATCATTCACCAAATCGACTATCGCAGCGAGGAAGATGAATTTGACAAGAGAACGCACAGCTTTTACGCTTAATTAGTAAATATTTGAGGAATTTCTATACCACAAACAACTTGCTATTTGGTTTCGCGAGCCTCCTTCCATTTAATCCTGTCCCAATGGCACCAAAACGTCGAGAAGTACAGTCCGATGCAACGACTCTCCAGGCCAGCAAAGTGAAGCAAGCGACAGCTTCGTCATCTGTGCCCAAGCCACTGCTATCGACGTCTGCAAATGCTCCCGCGAAAGATATAATACTGAATATATGGGATAATTACATCACAAACACCCCCCAGCGGACACTACTTTTAGATATCTTCATGGCCTTTTTAGTCGTGGTTGGAGGAATTCAATTTGTATACTGTGTTTTAGCGGGCAACTATGTAAGTCTACACCTGGAAATCCTTGTGTTATCTGTTATAGACAGTCCATGAGAGGGTACTATGGCTAACCATTCTGTTTCTACTCAATCTAGCCTTTTAATGCATTCCTAAGCGGCTTCTCTGCTGCTGTTGGCCAGTTCGTCCTCACAGCGAGTTTAAGAATGCAAACCAGTGATGTAGGGAAAACTAAGACTGTCGGAAGTTCTGGCACTTCAAGCGGGGCAGACACGCCAATTCAAGACCGGGGAGAGGGTTCTAGTGAAAGGTCAGTGTTTACTTCAATTGGCAGGATGTCAGTTCATGGAAAACCACATGTGCTAACAGGTTTAATACAGAGCATTCGCGGATTACATATTTGGGAGCATTGTACTGCACTTTTTCTGCATCAATTTCATCAATTGAGCAATCGAATAAGCGTTAACCCAATAGGGGCTTCATTATATTCAAGTTAGGTTTCCTGGTAATCGAGAAATTCGAAGGAGAGCTTGACGTCAGTGCTTTCATAGCTCGTGTATACTACCCAAAAAGAAGTAGACCAACCTGATATTCACTGTGAAACGAACATTGTTCTCAGTACGAACTGCCGAAATGTTTTTATCTAACACCTATGCTGTGATACGAAGCTCTCGACAGCCGCTCTATCTCTCTATCCTGTTGTTCAAACCTTGAGGAGACACTGACTTCCACTCAAAATCCCCTTCCCACTCTTTTGGATGGCGGCCTCTTGACCACACTACCACTTGTGACTAAGCCACCAGTAGCCCTCCTTATCCCTGGCGTAGCAGTCGGTCTTCTCACTGCAGTTTGTATTTCCTGTCTCTTTTTAGCTGACTCTTTCTCAGCTTCACGGGCAGCAAGTTCCGCAGCTCTCTGACGATCTGCAGCCATTTGTGTTTCTATTTCCATTTTCCTATTGAACTCACGCTCTGTAACGCGGCGTTCGCGAGCAGAGTAGCCTTTTTCTTTAATTGAATAGAAAACACCACCGAGATCGGCAAGCCACTAGTAAAAGAATATATGTTAGCTAAGCTCTATATGCTGGACGAGGGAGGAAATATATTCTCACATGGGGATCAACTGCAGTAACAGTAGACATGTATTCTTTGCTGGTTAATATCAATTCATGATACACCACATAGTCAGGTAGGAAACCAAGACCGTATAAGGAGCTGGTGGGATGTAGCTGCACAGTTACACTCGTCCGCAAATTAATATACTCCCCAATACCCTTGACCCGGCCAGCTTGATGGTAGTAGCCGGAACAAATGCATTTTCGAATGATATCCCAATCCGTACCACAGCTTGTCAATTGCATTTTCTGCATTTTCATTATATCATGTAACTGTTCACGGATCTCCTTGGCTCGCCGAAGAGCCTTGGGATGGAGAAAGTGGCGCACACACCACCCATCTGAATAGCCGTTTGCTTTCCATTGTGTGTAGACATGAAGAAGAGTAAGATGGTCTGACTCTGGCACGAAGAATTTTTCTCTAGCTGCATCGGACTCTTCTTGTCGTTCCTTTGGACGGTAAAATACGCTGGGTACGGAGAGCATGGATACGATTGTGAGCATTTCTTCGCTGCAATCATACAGCTCTGATGAAGTAATTAGGAGTTTCGCAAGTGACGGGTCCATTGGGAATGCGCTCATTCGGCGGCCGATGGCAGTTAAATCCCCCAAATTATCGATTGCCCCGAGAGCCCAAAGGTCAAATAGTGAGGTTGTGATTGTATCTTGAGGGGGAGGGTCCATAAAATCGAAATCCAGCAGGTCCTTGATTCCTAGTGATTTGAGCAGGAGTACCGTGTTGGCAAGGTTTGTCCGTTGAATTTCCGGGATTGTTTGTATATAAAACTCATTCTTGAATGCAAGCTCAGTATACAAATGATATGCTTTCCCAGGCCCAGTTCGGCCAGCTCGGCCAGCTCTCTGGGAAGCATTGGCCTGTGAAATCGGGGTGATTTGGAGTGTGTCCATACCCATTCGCGGATTGTACACTTTTAACTTTGAAAACCCTGCATCTACCACATACATAATGCCATCGACCGTCAAACTGGTCTCGGCAATATTGGTAGCAACGATGACTTTCCTGACTCCTGGAGGAGCCTTGTCGAAGATTTTGGCTTGTAAATCTGCCGGCATTTGGCTGTATATGGGCAATACACTAATCTTCGGTGGGTCATTTAGAAGAGCCAACCTCTCGTGTATCAATTCGCAAGTAGCCTCAATATCTTCCTGCCCCGTCATGAAAACTAGGATATCACCCGGTCCCTGGGAAACGTGGATGGCCAACACTTGCTTGACAGCGCTATCAACGTAGTCTTCGCACGGAGAACGAGAGTATTGTATATCAACAGGAAAAGTACGTCCAGGAATTATAAACTCTGGAGCTCCTCCATAGAATTTCGAAAATCGGTCAGAGTTCATTGTAGCAGATGTCACGATAAGCTTAAGGTCCCTTCTTCTTGCAAGAACTTTCTTGATCAAGCCCATCAAAACATCTGTATTCAAAGCTCTTTCATGAGCCTCGTCCATAATAATACAAGAATATTTGTCAAGATCGGGTTGGACCAAGGACTCTCGTAAGAGAACTCCATCCGTCATATCTAGAAGAAATGTTAGCCACTTGCTCCGTTATACCACTGGAAGGACCAACTTACATTTGATCACCGTTTCGCTGCTCGTACAGTCTTCAAAACGTATAGCATAGCCCACAAGCCCTCCTAATTTGACTTCCATCTCTTCGCTGACTCGTTTGGCGACACTCATTGCAGCAACGCGGCGTGGCTGCGTACAGCCTATCAAGCCAAGCTCCCCATAACCATCCTCATAAAGAAATTGAGTCAACTGGGTAGTCTTTCCAGAGCCGGTCTGGCCAACAACAATAACGACTTGGTTATCCCTTATCACTCGTAGGAGTTCCTCTCTAACGGCAAATGCAGGGAGATATTCTCTCTGTTCCCGTAAGGTCTTGCTCCTGCTAAAGGCACTGGATCCCTCCGACTTTTTCAAATGCGACGCAAATTTGCTGTTGTTGCCCGCCTTTTGATCTTCTTCCCCTGGAATTGCGGCTGCGCTATCACCCTCATCCTCTTTAACTCCCATGATATTTCCCAAAGTCGTCCCGGCAGCATTCGTTGCGTCTTGAGCTTGCTTCTGGCGTTCCTTGCGCTGCCTCCTTTCCTGTACAACTTTACTTCCTTTACGGCTAAAAACAGCCATGTCACTCTGCGGGTCTCGTACGGCCGGAACAGGTTCAAGCTGCTTCGTGAAGACTGTACGGCCATCTAAAAAGGGAGGACGGAGATCATGGACAAGCAAGTGTACTCTCGTCGAGTCGTCGTCGTCTTCAAAATCAGCGTCATAGTCCCTCCTCTGGGCAACGCCCGAGGTTAGCATGCGATTTGTCTCCCACGCATCCACATCCTTTTGTTTTTGTACAGCACGGGCATTGAAGCGGCGACTGTTCTTCTTCTCTGACAATGCTGCCTCGCGAATCTGATCTGCCCAAGCACTTTCTGGGGCGCCAAAGGGGTTATGCGTCTCATCTCCGAAGGTGTGTCCGGATTCATCACCCATGTACCAGTCTCGGTCCAGGGCCATAGCATCATCATCGTTCACGAATGCTTCGGGGCCATCAAATGCGTGCTGGTGGGGAGTTGATGAGCTATTTCGTCCCCTGCTGGGCCGTTCCTGGCCGTCATCGTCGTCGTTCACTGGGGGTCTGTCGCGCCGCTTGAAAATGTGTCTAGGGCCAGGGCCGGTGTAGCTCTTTGGTGACGAGGGTGCGAACCTATCGGAGTCTATCTTCCGCCGCTTCGGGCTCTCTTCACGGCTCATGATGTTCTCAGTTGGTGAGCATGCCAAAATTTTATACAAGCGTGGCACAACTGATTATCTGTAACTTGGAGTAGTCCCTTGGAAGGCGGTAAATTGAATCTATTTAGCGCCGGGCAAGACTAGCTAGGCGCTTATGGTTTGTGCTTAGACGCGTTTGCCGCCTGCCGCGATGGTCACGACACAGCTCAAAACTTCAGCTTCGGGGTAGAAACTCATCCACCTGGTATTCTGTCCCTTTTTTTTTTCAAGTGCAGCTCTCCATAGTTATACTGTGTATTTGGGGGTACAATCTTAATTCTTTTATGTAAGTTAAATTACCGTCCCCTTTTGGCGAAATTTTACTCGTGGAGATACCATCAGCAGCCCGAACGGTAGTAATCCTTGTGTTCCTTACAGGAGATTATAGTAATACCCAAAACTGAGGTTCTTAGACCACCATCTATACCCAACATCTTGAAGACGGCTAATAACCCCGTCTGCAGCATCATCGGTTTCTTAGGATATAGATAATGACACAGAACAAACGATTGTAAAAAAGATAACTCTGCTAAAAGATGGAGATGAAAGAAAAGGCAAAAGCAAATATTCTACTATACCAGAGTCATTTCTGATACTCTCCTATCATTATGGATGGATGGAAAATCAATCTTGCACAGCTTCATTCATACCATTAGCTGCTGATGTGGATGAATAAATGATTCGATCTTTAATACACGAATAGCTTCTCCCATACCCGGAGACTGCTAGAGTGACCGGTCCAATTACTGTCTCTGGTGTCATTCGCATATTCTCTATCCTTCCACATCTATGAAAATTTCTAGTCTGGCTGCTGCGTGGTCACTTTAGTGATCTGTTTGTTTTGACCCGAAAAGTATAGTCCATGGAGAGCTTTGTAAATCCTCGAGCTCTAGTACAGCAAAGACAGAACGTTGTGCAATGAGAATAGTACAGCTCTCCCGGAAGAATCATACCCCGTGGCTTCTGGCAGCATCCGCATCCCCTTGCGCAGCATCCTTGTGCGGCTTTACACTGATGTTTTCCCTGTCCATATCCATCTAGAAAAAGCCAAGATTCGACCAACCGTCTCACCCTCGACGTGGGCGGCTGGCGCCTAATTAAGCAAGAATAGTACTGCTCCCATGTCCCGAGCCTCTGTTTCGAATCGGCTAGCTTTAACTTCCAGTTCTTAGGACCGATCATATCAAATGTTTCAATCTCTTTAATTTTCCCCATCACGACACTAGCTAGGACCATTGTTCTCAGAAAGATGTCTCTCTGCCTGAAGACATTCATGTCATGGGCTACATCGTCCAGGCTGGGACTGCAGTCATTCTTCACTTGGTTCTGCACCTGTGGTTGGGGGGCTCTGGGGTGAACCCTTTTCATGTTGGCCTCCCTGATAATATCCACAGCCCACTGTGCACCCATATACTCAAGCACTATTTCGAGGATCGGCTCAAGCAGCCAAATTGATAGCCGGCAGATAATCAAACATGCTGTGACAAATATGGGCCCGAGGACGAAGTAGGCCATCACCTCTTCAGATGTCCATTTCGACACCATCTTGAAAGAAGACAGAGGTAATGTGCAGAGCAAGCAGTGAGTGGGTGACGGTCTAAGCTATAATTAGGAGAATTAGTCAAGAGAGGCGAGCAGAAAGTGGGAGTTTGTCCTTTTTATATACGTAGAATCGCTCCTGTATGTTTGCAATATATGATGCAACTGCGGCGTGGCGCTGGCGCGGCGACGCTGCTGGTTATGGAAAGCTGAGCTGGACCACCAGCATCACACCGAGGCACTGTGGTAGAGTGGTTAATACGTTGCACTGCTACCGTTATACAGTTTCTCTGCATACATAGCCATGCAATTCCTTCGGGAGCCAGGGTTCGAATCCCTGCGGTGTCGCTCTTTTTTTTTATTTATTTTTTTTTTATTTTTCTCTTTTACTTTCCCTTTCTTTGAACCGGTCAATCATGTCACCTACCACTACATAAAATGGTTAGTATGATAGATACCGGCGTGCAGTACGGAGTAGTTGTGCTAATGATGTCCGGTGTGCATCTGTACTTCGTAAACGGCCTGTCGTGGTGACGTCCTGGGTGCCAAGAGGCGAGGGCCCTCCCAAGCTCAAGACAGCTTGGTTGGAACCAACCGCACGACGGCCCGACATACTGCGAGACAGCAACTATCTAAGCTACGACAACGTATGCAGTGAAGCTACAGGCACCGTCTGTGACGGAACAAGCAACAAAGATGACGAAAGACGGCAAGCACACACCAACCACCGACGAGCTGCTGGCTCAGTTCGACGACCTGAGCGTCGATGCCGTCAGCGCCAAACCACCACAGCCAGGCAAGCAGGGAGCCGTCGAGGACGACGTGCTTGATGAATTCCAGAATCTAGTCTCCCAGAGGCCCGCAAGTCGCCCTGCAACGCCCCAGATCTCATCGCCCTCGACCAAGTCACCGAAGCCGGCGGCGGCTACTGCTACACCCACTACCGACCGGTCCAGCGAGGAGAAGTTACAGACCAGGAAGTCAGGAGATAGCACAAGAGCATACCATCGGAGCATCACGCCCTTATCAGAGACACAGAATACACCGCCGAGCCCACCACAGCCGCAGACCAGTAGCAGTAGCGGCGGCGGCGGCGGCGGAGGTGGATGGTGGGGTGGTCTCTTTGCTACGGCTACTGCGGCCGTCAAGCAAGCTGAGGCAGCAGTGCAGGAGATCCGGAAAAACGAAGACGCTCAGAAATGGGCAGACCAGGTCCGTGGTAATGTCGGTGCTCTTAGGGGACTCGGTGAGCTACTATATTTGTATCCCAAGAATGGCCCGGATGATTTACCTGCTAACCACGTAATATAGGGGGAGAGCTACGCACACTCGCACTTCCAACGGTTACATCCCTTCTCCACACTCTGGCTCCTCCAATATCAACTCATGAACGCCTCCAAATACATATCACGCATGATCTCCAAGGCTATCCTGCCCTAGATCCTCTCATATACAATGTGTTTTCCCGAGTCATGGCCCAGGTCGAGGGAGGTGACTTACTCGTCATCCAACGCGGCCAGGAAGCTGCGCCAAAGCGTGGAGAGGGCGCGGGTACCAGTCAATATAGTTCAGCAGGTTGGAATGATGGGCCATGGTGGCGCTATGCCTCTCCAGGAGGCGGTCGCTCGATCTCTGCCATCAAGGGTACCATGGTAGCCAGCAAGCTTGCGCGAGCGAGTGCAGAGTCTTACGCAAATGACTTTTTCGCAGCTCGCGGCGGCATAGAAGAAGCTACCCGTCAAGCTTCCGAAATTCTATCCGACACCAATCCCGTCAGGAATAGTGACATCTTCCTCGCCATCCAAGCTATCAGCCAGCCCCTATCAGAAGACCTTTTCCAGGCCGGGGCTGGACCCAGCGGAGAAACTGACAAGCCAACCAGCGGCGTCGTGGAGGCTGAACAAGAAACTGAGGAAGAAGTGTCCTTCGCCGTGTACCTGCATGATCCCATCCATGGCATTGCTTTCCATACAATATCCCAGTCTATTCCACAGAAATGGATCGACTGGCTTGATGCTCCTGCCCCTGACCCCTCTTCCGCAGATCAAAGCTCTGCCCCTCAAGAAATGCAATCAACTGTTCCAGAAGCCATTGCTGAAATAATTGAGAGCGGAGGAGTTGATCCACGTGAATGGGTGGCCGAATGGGTTGAAGACGCAATTACTCTGGCCGTAGGTGTTGTTGCACAGCGCTATGTGGCTAGGAGAATGGGCGTTGGTGTCGGCGGTATCAACAAGGGAAAGATGAAAGCTGAGCAGGCTACTGTTGTTGACAGCGGAGCTGGGGAGGCTGCTAGGGCTATTTAGGAGAGAGCCCCTTTCCCTCCCTCCTTACCACCCATTATCTAGTTGGCGTTTGTTTATTTTATTTTATTCTTTATTTTTTTATTTTTTGTATACTCCTGTCCGTCTATGTTTTTCGGAGTGTTATTTATGCCTGTTGATATCCTTATTGACGTCATTGATAATTCCCATATTGACAATACAATGTATAGTTTGTATTTCGCACGAAGTAGGTGATGCAGGCGGTAGCCAATATGAACACCATCTACCCTACCCTTTTGTGGCCCTCACATAGATAATGGACACTTTCTGATATATTGTTGGTGGCCCACATCACAGTTCAATTCCTCCATAGCGTGTCCGCACTTCCAACACCATACAATATGCTGGTATGATACTTTACCACACGTTCATCAACGGCGCAAGGTAATTTCCTCCCTTCATTCAGAGCCGTCCACTCCGGCAGCAGTGCCGTTGCGCAATGTTTCATCCCAAAGCTTGTTGGCATCTCGCGGCACGGCAGAGTGTTTTCTATGGCGCAGATTCCGATTGAGCGTTGAACATTAAAAGAGCGAAGCAATTAAGCCCTCAATCCTATAAGACTGTGTTTCACTTCTTCGAGGCCTGCTTATTGTCTCCCTTCTTATCCTTTCTTGTTCCTTTTAATAACTCCAGATGTCCCGCCTTTTCGGCAAGTAATCGCTCAGTCTTCCCAGTCAGGCCGGACGTTAATTTCTAATGAGGCAGAACAGCACATATCAGCTCTGATAGTAACACACAAATTCCAAGATGGAAGGCTTCAATTTACCTTGACCATTTTCTGTTGTTTTATGAGTTTCGCTTTTTTAGGTGCGATGGTCTTTGCGCCTCGTTTTGGGCCTAGGGTTGTTGGCCTAGTTAGAAGGGTTAGTGGGAGAATAAGGATATATCAAGGCCATGCGATATAACTCACTTCTTAGCCGGGGCAGGCTTGGACTTCTTGATTGCACCTTGAGCCATGGTTGTCTTTCTTGCTATGGTGAGGTGTGTACTCTTATTGATTGTTCATCGTGGTTGAAGATTCTCTACGGATCTTTTTTATCCAAGCCTGGAAATTTCCAGCCAATTAGAAATATAGTTCTGTGCTTATCTAAGAATAACTAACTGTATCACGTGAAGCGTTTAAGAAAACCATACTCCTTTGACGCGAACCCTACTTTTATATGCCGACATAGGGTGCAACGACTGTCAATACTACCAAACACATCCTTTATCATTCACAAAATTACAAGAACAACATCAGGCTCGAATTATTGATAACATATATCACTGTAGAAGTGAAACTCCTAGAAGGCGGAGCTAGGTTTGATGTTCCAATCGACAGCTGGCATATTCTACGGAGTAATCGCAATTGCTTGCCAAGCCATCACCACCACAAATATAGAGAGCTCTTCAAGTGTGTCTTCCAGCAGCCCTTCGGCCAGCTGCTGGTCCTCATACCAATTGCAAGTTTTTGCACTATCCAGGAGCCTTATCTCTAAATAAAAACGGCGGAATCTCACCCTGATGGTTAATCTCGACCTCAAGTTGAGACTCAAGGCTTATTCTTAAGCTGGTGCTTGAAACGGGCCGAGGTGTTAGTCACGTGAAGTCCCGGAGTGAGCCACCATTGGACAAAAGGTGTTTCTATTTTAAGAGTTGGAAAGGCACTCCCATTCTTCACAATAATAATAGTAGGGTGTCTCCTATGGTTAGTGGCCAGTACAGCTACAGTACTACTTGTGAAGGTATATTTCCCGCAGGGGTACACTATACCGGCTCGGGAGATATAAGCCCACCCGCGGCAGGCGATGCTAGATCCGTATGATGGACAGGGAAGAAGGGCCTTGCCTCTTCCATAGAGCGAGGCTGTATTAAGCGTTGGTCTAGAGCCCTCCTTTCCAGCCATGCTTGCTGCCTGGAGCGCGGGTGGCTTTTAGTGGTGTTGTCCTTTTGAAATTTTCGGCATTTACCCGTCCATCGATGGATGGAAAGCTCTCGTCTGCTACTTCGAACTTAATTACTCCCTTACTCTCTTCCGTCCCAGTCACGGCGAAACTGAAAGGCTGTGTATGACTCCCGTTCAGGTGTGACCTTTTATAACTGGCTGGATAAGCAGCCCCTGGACGAAAAGGCCCAAGGAAGAGATGTCAACCGCATGGCAACGAGTGTTGCGAGCGCTCGTTGTAGCCTCCATTATCAGCATCGTACTCATCTACTCGGCTCGACAGTTTGGCCCTGCGTCTGTCCACACGCCAATACGTGATCGCCCAGATGATCCGCATAAACCCTTCCAGCCGCCAGCGCCTGCGCCTGACCAAGAGCCTCCATCATTGAACTCGCACCCACCACCGGTCATACCAACGCTGGCATCATCCTCGACAGGTACACCAGGGATAAAACCTTCCAGCACGTCATCAGGTACGCCAACAACTTCCGCGGCATTGACGACACCGTCATCACACTCTGGAAATGCCAACGGAACAATCCCTGGGATTCCTAGCAAGATATGGCAAACAGCCAAACATGCGAACCTCAGCAGTGAGTATGCCGACATGAGCAACACATGGATAGTGAAGAACCCTACTTTCCGCCATGAGTTGCTCACCGATAAGTCGAGCGATGACTATGTGCGTAGCCGTTACCCTGGCTCAGACATCGTAGCTCTTTATACCAGGCTCAAAATTCCCATACTCCGAGCCGATA